TGCGGGTTTATGAATAATTTTTGCTAAGTGAATTGCCACACGTTTCTCCTCAGTCATGATACAAACTTGTTCGCCTTTCGTGTAGCTCTAAGTTCCACGAAAAGGAGCGATAATTTCGTGGTTAGAGCTCCAATTAAACATTTTATTCTTGCTTTCCGAGGTCGCTTGAGAATTACTGATAGCTTCCCTGAACATTTCAATTCTCCAGACAACGTACTCACCTTAGACAAGAGTTCTCTTGCCTCAGATCAAAACATGCTTTTTTTTCTTATCTTTGTTAGTCTTGAGTCGCTGTATGATATTTTCCTTACGTGTTAGTAGAATTTAACTGAATTGCCTCAGTGAACGTGCTTTCTGATGTGGAACGGGTAACTTTAAGTATTATGGCGCATGCGCAGACAAAATGACTATTTCCTCATCCTTAGAGCTTTCGGTTTCAAAAAAAATCGAGTAGTCCTGGTTACGAAATTCTTCAGGCCTAACACCAGTCCCCCATAAATATAACTTTTTTTATATAAGGTTTTTTAGCTGAGATATGACTGATAAAGCGCGAATTTATGTCTTCGTTTTCGAAAAGTAATAACACTATATGCTGCATATCGTTGTTCTTGTTGTAGCTAGCAACGAGCTAACATTGCAAAAATAAAACTTTGATTTTGGGAGTTAAATAACAGGTTTACCTTTTATGGCTTAATTGCGCAATTTTTCTTTCACATAGCCGATGCATCTATTCTTTAAATCCACGCAAGTGCATATTACAGAATTACCTCTTTTCGAAAATTACAGATTTCTAATTCACAAATGAAGTATTTCCCTTTCGCAAATTAACGATTTGAGTTAATCTCACCAATAACATTTTTTCATTTTGTTTCGTTTCGTAAATTACAGTAAGCCCTCTTGGAGACAATGACAAAACGACTTCTATGTTTTGCAATGACTCGAGAGAACACAAAATCTCTTTCCAATTTCTGAAAAAGTCAGAGTGATAAGTGTGTGCTAACCGCAGGCCAAATCAAAATATTATGCAAAAATGAGGAAAAAACCGAATTTTACAAATAAATTTAAAGTTTGTGAGCTGTGAGGAAATGGGCAACGATAAATTTTCTGTCTATACCTATTATACCACCTTTTTTGTTGCATTTGCTGTTATCGATAAACAATAATTGACGCATTATTAATAATCTGTAAGAATTGTCATTTCCCTATGTACTTTAGAGACCCAGCTCTTTATTTAATTGATTTCGATGGGCTACATAGAGGGAGTCTTTGTTTCTTGAAAGTTGCGCCTTGCAAGAGGGCGGAGCTGCCATACATTTCTATATTTAAGTTCTTCTTCCATGCTGTATCCACAAATGGAGGAAGAAATTTCCTCACATTGTTCGACAAGCCGACAGTCTCGTAAGAAGCTACTATTTAAAAGTAGCGCTACAAGTATTAGAGTCGGTAGAAATTGACCTTATAATAGCAAAACGTGATGAATAATCTCTTCCTAAAATTTGTATTACTTTAGCTGCTAATTAATGCATACTACTGAACGCTCGTTTAAGAAAAAAAAAAGAATAAAAAGAATAAAAAAAAAAAAGAATAAAAAACGGAAGAGTGGGCGTGCTACATGAATACTCCCACGCGATAACAAAACTCTTAATTCATGCGCTCTGTTCGCAACTGTTGGAACAGTCATTTTCGTTAAACAATAAATGCAAAATGAGTTATCTTCATGGAACGAGCAGTGATCGATAATCATCGAACGTAAAGTCAGTACTCATACAACCGGTCAATTGTATCATTGGGCTTCCCCAGTGAACATTGATTTTGTGATAGTAAAGTCACTCCTCCAAGATATCGAATTTTCTGTCAGGCTAATTTCTCCGATGAATGCAAGCTTTCTCACCAATCACTGGAAAAGCCGCTTTCGCCTCTTTAACAAAAAGGCTAGACCTGTTAACCGTGATGAGGTAACCCTGATTTGCGAAACGAAACAAAATGAAAAAAAAATTTTTTTGTGAGATTAACTCAAATTGGTAATTTGCGAAAGGGAATACCTCATTTGTGAATAAGAAATCTGTAATTTTCGAAAAAGGTAATTCTGTCATTTGCACTTGAGTGGATTTAATGAATCAGTGCAGTGGCTATGTGAAAGAAAAATTGCGCCCCTAACCCAAAAAAGTCAAACAAGTTACTTGATTTATTACACCCATTTTGAAATCACTGGTGGTCCCTGTAATCTGACTAGCTCTAATTGGTGCGATTTATTCACGAATCGCACCATTTTTGCTTTAAATCGGATCTTTTCCCCAGCCAATGAGGAGGCCGATTTCAAGGCCTGTTTAAAGAAACCAATCAAATTGCAGGAAAAATGAAAGACAAAGAGTATCATGTGGCAAATTTTGCAACTTTTGTCTCCAAAACTCTTATTTTTCCCCCAAAAATTGATGAATTTAATTTCAAACCGGCTCAGCACTGCATCAATAAAATATTTGAACTGACCAAGTCCTGTATTTAAGCTATTTCATAATGGATGTAATAAAGTGGCTATTGAACCTCGTGTCGTACAATTTTGGTCTGAAATCATACTTGTGATTTCAAATCACGCGTATGGCTTCAGCCCAAATTGCAATCTACTCAATTCAATTACCATTGTAAATTATCCAGAGCTGACGCTGCGCTGTTTTAATCATCAATGTAAGGAGTGGAACGTGTGACATGACACTCAAGCATGTGTTTATTGTATCAAAAAGGGGAAAATTGTGTATCTGAAAAGTGAGAAGATTTCTTTGTGCGATTGTACCAACAATGATTTTATATAGTAAAGGTATAAACGTTAAATTTCGATAGCGGTTGTGAATTCTATGCTGCTAAGTTAAGGGTTAAGGACTGCAGAATTCCATGATCTTGCCTAATAAGGTCAATTGCAAAAGGAAGATAGATAAGTTCAGTCATGATATACTAAATAAACAAAGGGAAACGTAAAGCAACTGACGGGTGCACAGGTCGACTCAAAAGCCACACGCGAAACTCAACAGTGAGGGATCGTAAACGCGCTATTTTCAATAAAAGTCAGTCGAAAAACCGATCAAAATAATTTGTATGATCGAGTAAAAGCTCTTTTAACCAGTAGCGTTTACTATTACAACAACCTCCCACCCTCCCTGCGTAGTAATAGTCCGTCTCTCACCCCTCCCTGAGTGATAACACTCTGCCTCCCACCCCTCCCTCAGTACTGAGAAACTGCTTCCCCCCCTCCCTTAGTACTAATGGTGTGCTTTCCCCCCACCCCCCTTATAAAATGATCCAAAAAAATGGTCAAAAAAAATAGTCTAGTCCTCATTTTACCTTATGCCTGTTACATTTGGCAGTCATGTGGCAAGATTTACACGTATCATGTTTATTATTTAGTTTTTATGGTCTAAAGTTAACCTTTACAACCAAACAGTTTGTATTTTCCCCCATACTGTTCTCTATACATTTCTTAAGGTGCAGACAAGGAGAATCTGTTTAACAGTCAAGAGCCTCTTTAGCTGGTGATCATTTCCTTTATTCTCATGACCTTAATGTGCAATTCAGGAGTGATATTGTAAGGAGAACTTAGATGCTAGTCACTCATAGAGGTCAAGAAGTTAATGAATGATTTGCTGGAAGGCTAACCCATCCATCTTCCTACATTCAGCAATAACAGCTCCAAGTCAACATGCACGCAAACATTATACTGTCCTCTTTTCTCACTGTCTCTCAGGTCTTAAGTTCTATAACTGCAAAATGGCCTCAGAATAGGAAAGTAACAGGGGCCGTGACATACATGTTAATAATATCTCATCAAGTAATATTACTAAACTCATCAAGGATAAATACACAGTCAGGTATAATATGTGTTGTGATCTGAAGTTAATTTTTCTTTATTCTCATCACACCACATGTTTGGTTCAGCTGTGATATTGTAGGGAGAATTTGGATGTTTTTAAACCTGTAACTTTCATAGTAAAGGTGTTGGGAAATTTTCAGGAACAGTATGCATGAAAATGAATGATCTGTTTAGCTCTTTCACTCCTGGGAGTGACCAGTAAGTGATAACTTCTCACAATGTCAAAATGATATCAAGCATAGAATTGATGAGAATAATGAAAATCATTAACGAGGGAATTACTACTTGATTCAATTCTAAATTCTAAGAGCTAACTATGTAAATATGTAGATACAGAAAAGGAAAATTAGTCTAAGTGAGCCAGAAAAAGGTGTCACATTGTACATATCATGGTGTAAAGCTTTTGTAATTGAAGTTATTGGAGTTAATAAACAAATAAATATACTTAGTGATGATGAAAAGGACTTAAATCTTTTCTGTGATAATTTGGATTTGCAGGTGGATGGTGAGAAAGTTTCTAGAGATGCTGTCCATTCTCATTTCCCATTCAATATACCATATTAATCGCCCACAAATATTTACATGCAGATGGCTTCTAATGAGGGTCTTTTTTCTCTTTGTTATTTGTGTTTTAATTTATATTTTTTGCACATTATTGTGGTGAAAATTGGTTTTCAGAATTTTTGCTAGTTGTTTCAATAGCATTTAAGAGTCAAAATTGTGATATTTAAATGCTGGTGTTCAAAGCCCAACATGCAGAGTAGCTCAGTAACGATATAAACACTTAAACATGGTTTAGTGAAAATAAATAGAATTTTAAAATTCAACTGAACAATTTTCAAATGAAGTATTTTCTCTTGTAGTTTTATGAGTAATAAAAAAAATTAAAATATGGAAATATTTCAGCTTGTGTCTTGACAGTAAGCTCAGCCTACCAATAAACTAAAAGTATGGATTAAAGTTTAGTGGGGAAAGGAAGAGATGTATCGTACTCTTGCAACAACTTGTCTGGCTCTATTTTCTAAATCTTCTGACTTTTATTCCCCTCAGGGTCTCTCGACTTCCTACCCCCCTCTCCACCTAATATAGGTTTGTGGAAGAGAGACCCTGGGAACGAAGTCAATGGACGAGAGAGTCTTTCCTAATGTTTTCCATCTCCAACAGCTTCTGGGTCAAAGTCTTGAATGATGAATCGAAAAGTGCGATTGGGCCAACATACAAAAATCTCAGCTTTGGCAATGTAATATTTTCCATTTTCAGGAAAGTACAGAGTTACAGTATCTTCAGACCTCTCGTTGTAGGCATTCAGACCGTGCAAAAACTCTGCGTCAGTTATGTCTGTGAGGCTTATTTTAGTTTGATGAAAAATTTTTGACAATGCAAATTCGATAACTCTGGTATTCTTGAAATCGGAGCTCAACATATTGTCTTTTAAATACAGAATAATGTACCCACCGGTAGAGAAGCCGAAACTAGCCTCCCGGCGATACGATGAGTGAGGTGCAACGATTTGCTCAAACTTAAGTTGGTTCCCTTGACTCCAGCGGACTTTACCCGAAACAACCTTCATCGGAAGGTCAGCTTCATTGATAAACTGAATGGAATAGGAGATACCAAAGTACTGTAAAAGAAGCCAATTGCAAATCTCTACTGACCTCAAAGTCACTGCCTGTTGACTCACTTTCTTTGCAGAAGACTCGACGGTTGATAAATCCGGCATTGGCGACAAACCCAAGCTCTGTCGAACGGTTTCTACCAGGTTTCTGTCATGAAATCTTCGGCTTAAAGCCAGAATTTTGGTGAGTTTTCCGCCCTCAATTCTTCCAAGAAATGTCAAAAATCTCTTTTCTGACAGGAAAGAGAGTTTCGCTTTGGCTTCTTTAATTTGGAAAGTCATTTTACGGTCCATAATGGCTACGTCGTCTTCGTGCACCATTCTTAATTCTGTATATTTTGCTTTAGCAGCGAACAGAAGAGTCATGAAGAAAGAGTGAGCTTCAGAGTACTTAACTACGGCTGTTACGAAATCTTTCACATCGGGATCCTCTGTCAGGTAGTTTTCATACTTGAAAGGAAGCGGTGACTCAAACCTGATCGCAAGCTCACCCAAAAACTGGATGTAATCATTCCACAGAGAAGGATCATCTAATTTCTCTCCTTCTTTCATTCCCTGCAACTGAAAAATTTGTTCTGACACGCGAATTTTAAGTGCGTTGTATTTCTGATCCAATGACTTTCTGTTAAAGTGAGTCGTGTCATCGTGAACAACATTTACTAGTTGGTGTACCACACTTGGCTGATTTGATTTGCTTTCTGTCAACAACACGCCAACAGCTTCCGAAAGAATCCCAACAAAACCGCCCTCAACCAGGTTCATAATGCTTGAGGAAATGTCAAGAAGACCATCAAAAATTTTCCAAGGCTCTTTACTTTTAATTTTTTCAATGCCTTTTATAATGCTTGCAACAGCTTTTATCCCTTTCATTATTTTCCTCAAAATAGTCCCTATACCCGATTTGCCCTCGGAACTGTCTTTGCTTATGTCTTTGGTTTCTTCCAAATAGGCCTTTACCTCATCAATTTTCATTTGGAACTCCGGAAAACCAACTGACATTGAGTGCAGATCGTTGAGCGCTTCCTCTATTTCAGGAGGAATGCTTTGACAATTGTTGCTGTTCGATTCTGTCGCTTGTGTCTACAACAAACAAAAGACAAATAATTACTTTGCTAACTTGTTTATGAGTAAAAGTTTCGAAAAGAGAAAAACACTCTTCTTCCCCCTTTCCCCCCCTCCTCTAGACGCGGATTGAATTTTAGACTTCTCATTAGTCCGTTTATCTCGGTTATGAGCTCATATACATATCGGTCTCCGAGGCCTGACTTGGTTGAACTTAGACAGTTAACAGCGTTTTGTTTACTATATTGCTGTTTAAATAGTTTCAATCAATTCTTTTAGACGCCTCAAAAATGTTTTTTTTTTCTTGTTTTTAGCACAAAATTTATTCCACTGTATGCTCACTACATTTAATTACATGCTGAAAATTTTTATTTTTGGAAACTTGATAGCAATAGGAACCGGTTTGAATAGGAACAGAGGACATATTCTGGAGGCTCTCAATGGTTTAAGTTTTAGCCGTAAACCAGTCAAAATATTTGATCGTTAGGCGTAACAATTGATAAATTTTAACCTTCAGTCGTAGAAAAAGTTAACCCTAAAAGAAAATTCTGGCGAAAACAATTTAAAGATGTTAACCGTTAGCTGTTAATTAGCCAAAATTTTAACCGTTCGCCAAAAAAGTCGTCACGCCATTGAGACCTTCATAGACTGACTTGAAATCATAACAGTTAGAAACCTAATATTGGTAGAAATATAGAGTCTCAATTAAACAGTAATGACTGATGATATATAATAATTCGTTTCTTACCCATTTGGATCCCTTTTTTCCACATTCGCTGTTCTCCTGTGAGCTCACGTGGAGGCAAAGTACATTGCAGGTGACCACATATAGTACAATTTGTAGAAAAGTGATTTTGACCATTGCTTGAGCCTCTGCAATATATAGGATTGGGCGAATTTAACGAAAGGAACTCAATTTAAGTTTTCATTTGAGAGTTCAGAGTGTATTCTTGAAGCAAACGGAAGTACTGAATGTATGTCACGCTAGCTTAGCCGACGTCACGCGAATTTCCAAGAAAACGAAAGTTATTGTCTTCAAGGGCCGAATCAATTACCATAACCCTGCTACTTTTTTCTTCAGTTTTTCACCTGCGAAAATGTATGAATGCAAGACCACTGGATTTTCAGTTTGTACATGGAGAATTGGAGTTTGTGGTGACTATAACATTGCTAATGAATTTAGTATGTTAGGAAATTTGATCTCAACGACCCGCTTCTGCAGGTGTTCTGGATAATTTCTGCAAAGCGACTTGCCACATGTTTCTCGTTTTCCTCAGAAATAAGGTTGCAGGATTGTTCGCCTTTCGTGTAGTTCTAAGCTTCACGAAAAAGGAACGATATTTTCGTGGTTAGAGCTTTAACCGATTTTGTTAAACTTTTTATTCCTACTTTCCGAGGTCGCTTGTGAATTATTTATGATGCTTCCTTGAACATTTTGATTTCTCTAGAAAACGTTTTCATTTCAGTCAAAAGCTCTCTTGCCTTAGATCAAAACATGCTCTTCTCTTACCTTTTTGAGTCTTGAGTCGCTTTATAATGTTTTCCTCACGTGTTAGTAGAATTTAACTGAATTGTTTTCGTGAATTTGTCCGCCGACCTTAGATGACGCGTTTGCAAATCCGGGTGCTTCCTTATCCCCAGAGATAATCGAGTAGTCCTGGTAATGAAATTCTTCAGGCTTATCCCAGTCCCCCATAAATATAATCTCGGATTTCAGCTGAAATATGACTGGTAAAGCGCGAATTTATGTCTTTGTTTTTGAAAGTGATATGATGCTATATTCTGCATATCGTTCTTCTTGTTATAGCTAGCAAGCAACTAACATTGCAAAAAAAAAAAAAACTTGTTTAGGACACTCATGGCCCGCGAAAGGGTGTTGAGCAATGTTTTTAAAGTTTGTGGCTGCGCAGATATTTCATCAACAGGTAACCTTGCGCTATTTGCATTAGTAAATAAAAACAGTTTATGAAAGAGCTACACTGCCATGGAATAATTTTATAACTTTTTTATTTACCTGATTAACTTCAAAAAAAATCTGGAGGAAAAAAATTTATTTAAACTATGAATGTAGGTTACCCAAAATGATAACCTCCGAGAGTACCTCAGAAGAAATAATAGAATCTTGAAAAAACCGTGTTTAGTCTTACAGTTCAAGTTATTAAATAAATGGCGAAAGAAATTCCTAAGTTAACTGATATTCGCGAAGTTTTATACCTGAGCTCTACATCTGATGGCTGGTCAAGCTTCATGTATAATGTAAATCATGTGTGATATTTAGGATTATTCTACGGTGGATATTTACTCGACACATTCTCGTTTTTTTACCACCAGTTGGACTTACTTATTTAAGTAATGTATTTTACAAGAACTGATCGATCAAATTTATTATTATATAACTTAACACGATGCGAATGTTTGGTACTGTAAAATATCAGTGCGATTTAGATCATTAGAAGATAAAATTATTTCGCTGTCAGTGGGGAAAAATTAGGTAGAAAACGTGTATGTTGGAGTCAATGCCACCTTCAATAGATGCAGATTTATTTTAGAGAATTGTTAAATAAAGAGGTACCACAGTTTTGCGCAAAATATGGTTCCATGATTCTTTATTCCTGATAAACAGTGTTAGATAGCCCAGCGGCGATGATGCAGAATATCACTTTGAAAGTCTATGGCTTTATCGGCCCTCATCTCAATGATAGAAGTGCTGTGTGCCAGTGAGAAATAAGGTCTTGATTACTTTTATACACTTTTGTGCCCGTTATCCTGTAATATGAATTTTATGGATGGAAATTCCTCTCAGTTAGTCAGCCTTAATGTGGTTCTTGCTGCTTGCAGACTTCTCTCTCTCTTTGCTAACCTCAGAAGATGTTTTCACCATCTTCTTGAGAAAAGAGACATACACAAAAGATAGAACAACCACTGACCCAACGAAAACGCCAATATCCACTGCGAACAACATGTTTTCCCCAGCTGAAGTGTAACCCCTCAAAAGTAGCAAGAATCTCCGACGAGAACAATACCTCCTTTCGGGCTTTATGAACCCTGCCTCTGGCGACTTATTTTCGGCTTTTTCTAAAGGAACGCACTTCTTTCCAGAAACGACGCTCTTTTTTCTGCTGAACTGTTTAGAAAAGATGAAATGACGCATTAACTGGAAATACCCGCGCTATAAAAACTTGATGAATTTAAACCGCAAAAACGTGACAACTCCGCGCATCTTTCTGTTTAAATATGGTAGCTTGTTTTTCCTTTTTCAGGAAAAGTCGCTTATTTAGCTTTGCTAAAGACAATCGTGGATTGATATATATACACGACCTCTGTAATAACCATTTTAAGTCGTCTAGCACTCTTTTGCTGTCATTTTTCGATGAGACCCAATCTTGCTGATGTATGCGAAAACACATCAGACTCAATCTTGCGCATCTATGCGAAAACACATCAGGTAGCGCAAGCGTTCTTTTTGAGGACGCGACGCCACAACTGCCGAAAATCTGGGCAACAAATGAGATATTACAGAGTTAAGCACCTCGTTCACGGCAAATAGCAAACGTAAGATCGTTTCACTTTCTGTCCTCTACTTCTGCCCCTAGTGCGTAAAAACGAAAATTTTCGCATCGCTAGTGATTATGAGCCTGTTTTGCTATTTTTCTGAAGGGACGATTTGAAGAATACGGGGAGAATTAATAAAATTTGCTGTCTATCATTTCCGTAACTAAAATGTCACTTGACTCGCCATTTGCATTTCCATGCTGAACTTTATAACTTTCAAGCCGTCGATTCTTCAATAGAAATGTTGATCAAACATTTTTTTCGGTCATTTTCACATGGAGATATAAAATAGACAGAATTTCGGGTCAAAATTTTGCCTCTTTTATATCTCCATGTGAAACTGTATTGAGACGTACGTCTAAACTGGAGGAATATACGACATTTAATAAAATGACCCAAAAAATGTATGATCAACATTTCTACTGAAGTGAACACAAGCTAAAGGGGAATGAAAATCGTAACAGTTAAAATTGTTTTGAATAACTCTTATCCATATTTGCAAATGAATACGAGTCACAGTCATTGTTGGTGGTTTTTTTTTCTTTTTTTCACGCTTGGAAGAAGTTGTTAATTGAGGACGAATATTGAAGACGTTGACTCTAATTACTTTCTTTTAAAAGAAAATTGTCGAATTTCTGTGTTTTGTTATTTTTTTATTCTCTTTTGTTTGTTTTTTAGCATTTGGCCATAACTTGCAAATTTATTATTTAGAGACCCGACAGCATGCAAACTTGAGTTGTGAGTAACCGTATAAAATTTGTACTTTTTTAATGAGACTATGGAGTACGCAGTTCCAGGAAGCACATTTTATAAATTTTTTCCGGCAACATTTCATTCATTTGAACCAAAAAATATCCCACAAAAATATTACAATATCTACACCCTTTTTAACTCTATCTCCATAGGAACAAGCCAAACGACCAAGAATGATGAAAATATTACGCAACCGTACGATTCGACCTTCATAGACCGTTTTAAATATTCGATTAGACGAGAAAAATAAGAGTCGTTTCTAGTTCAAAAGATAATATTCTATGCAAGAAGTTTTGATTGCAGTATTTGCAAGTTTATATCTGTTCACCTTTGCCTGTCAATGTTAGTCAGCGGATAAAAGCGCTTCCTCTACTATGCCGGTGATATCGCATTCGTAAGATCCTTAATTGAAGTCGAGTCCCGATTATTAACCAATGATTGCGCATTATTAATTGATATCAGTGTCCCTATCCAACTGCATACTCCCTCTACTGTCAAAACTACAGTTGGAAATCCATGAGGATAAGTAGCTGCAGAATTCTAGCAGACTGATGTCCTACGAAGTTGCCAAGAACCACGTTCTTTAATAATACGAATGTCCCATATCGTCTTTTTCAACAGGCTGGAAAGCTGACTCTGATTTCTCACGAAATTTGCTGCCACCAAAGTAATACTTAACCACAACAGCATTCACGACGGAGAATATTACGACACCTGTGATAACGAGACAAATTTCGAGTATAGGCATTATCGATCACACTTCATCACAGCAACGAGGCTGTAACTAAGAAAAGACAAGATCGCATAAGTGACTAGCGATTTTCACCCCACTCCTATCAATTCCCAGTCGGTTGCTCTCAACCCCTGCCCTCACGAGAAATTCTTGTTTGTAAATCACTTTGAGTTGTAAGAGGACTTGTGTGAATTTTCTGCGCCAACGCTTACTAATTATAGAGGAATTAGAAAAGAGAGTGTCCAGCATTTTTTTCGATTAAGTTTGATCATTATAGTCTAATGGGGCGATCGGGTAAATTTTATGGTGACACGCCAAAAGTCCTCACCCCACTCCCCAGGTGAAAAACTTTGATCGGTCTCTTCCTAATATATTCATTTATCCATTGGCAGGTTAGTTAGGCCATTATTAAACGAATGCCTGTAAATACAACCGAAAAGCTTTACCGCCGCCGATCCTCGTAGTGCGGATGGAGAAAATTCAACTCGTTTTTCAAGTGTGGACGAGAGACTTTGTTGCATTTCTCAAATTGCGTTTTCAAATTTATCCAGCGCGTTGTGAACAGGGAATGAATAAGAAACAAAAACCCTACGTGTTAATTGTTCACAATAAATATTTATTTATTCAAAAGCGAAGCAATTGCACACTCATCCGGAAAATGTTTTATGATATGCTCTGCGGGAAGATCGCAAAACATTTCTGTCTCAAGACGTTCACACCACCTGTTACAGGCGATAATAATACAGGTGTTAGCGTCATAGTGAGTTTCCTAGCACATGGTGATACAAAACTGTTCCGTGAGCTTCGAAGAGATGTCAGACATGCCAATAATCATCCCGGCTTGGTGATATGATATGAGACTTGGGTGATATGGTAATGCCAAAGTGTGTTGTTCGGAGGCATGCTTGGCTGGTTAATAATCACTGTGACTGTGTTTGGATCAGGATGTCTTGCTTACTGTTATTACAAACTTTTGAACTATTTCATACGACTCAAGTTTGAAAGCGAGGATCCATATGAAGACGAGCCTGGACCACCGAGATCAAGACGATTTCGTGCGCATGTACGAGATTGTGCCGATAGCGACGAAGAAGATTGTTGCTTATTTCGTGATGAGATTAACGATGTTGATATGAAAATTCATCGAAGCTAAGACGTTTTTTGGCCGATATGGTGGTGATGTAAACAGACTGGAGCACAATGTTAGTTGCAGCGAGATTTTCTAAAAAAAATAAGTATAACTGGATTAATTAAACGGTGCTTGTTGAACTGCAACTAATTAAAAATCTTAAAGCATTCAATGCAAGACATGCTGGCAAAGTAATCATGCAAGTTAATTGTTATTGGAACACGAACGTTATCGAGAATCACGAGAATAATATAGTTTTTCTGAATATGTCATGTATGATATTTTATTGTGGTCCACATATTCTGTTCTGATCATCATTATGATTTATCTCCAGAACAGGCGTAATTTTGCGCTATCATGCGACTGGAGCAGAAGCAAACGCGAGGTGAACGCTCCTCTTTCCCCGCGTGTACTTGCGTTTCGCGCGTGCATCTAACCGGCGTGTTTGCGGATTTTTGTCTGCGCTAAGATGGTGAACAGCGAAGCCGCGAGAGGCTTGAGATGGCAAATTACGCCAGTTTTTCAGGTTAAAAAAGTGGATTATATTTTCAATCTTATAAACCGTCTTAGCTAAATCGGATTTAATTTATATTCATGGAAGCAGAAGACAATCGATACTAATCTAACTCTGATGGAAATAAAAAAGTTCCTTTTCTCTCACGAAGCGATTTCTTTCAATGACCCTTCTCCCCACCATAAGCCAAAATCACTTTCGTGCGTAGATCTCCAGCCATTTTTAATCACGCAATAGGATCTGGGAAGGACTTATCTTCTCTAAACTATAATCAAACTTTTTTACTTACTCGGCATGAAATGATAGTCGACTGAACCGGCTGGCCGTTTCTTCCGCTAGAAAAATTTAGCCACTGGACGTTGGAATTTTTAAGGTTTTCAAATAGCTGATCGTGAATTTTTGTCTGTTTCGTGTGCATTTTCACTATCTATTCGTTTTCCAGAATTTTTCCTCTTTTGTTAGATGTTACTCTTCAAATCAAATTTGTCGAGGCGGGCGGGCGACTCATTTTCACGATCCTTACCGAAAACGTCCGAAAGCGTACGGATATTCTCCGACGCCCAAATGGTCAGAGGGATTGTGGGATGCACGTGTTTTGTCCTAAACAGGCGATATCAAAAGATGTTTTGATATCGAAAGAAGGCAGGACAAAGTTTCTTGCAATCTCCTATAATCTACGGTTCCTTTTTTAACGCCAACTTCATTATTTCAAAGACGAGACGACGATTATCAATGAGTAATGAACGGAGCAGTCAAATTACAAAACAACGGGGAGCTGGAAACTGTCTCCAGCTTCAATCCGAAGGAAGAGTTTGAGAAGCGGCGATGGGTTCTCATTACAAATGTCCCAGATGGCGTCGATTTAGAGGTAAGATACCGAGATTGTTTACCATGTGAGCAAAATCTGAGAATCAGAAGTTGAAAGTTGTTGGAACAGGCACTAAAACAGCGATCGCAACAGCCATACATCTACGCCAATACGGTAACAATTTGCTATCTGCATCACAAGCTGACTGTACTGTTGAATTCCTTTTATGTTATGTATTTCTCGTTAGGTAGTTCTTGAAAATTATTGGTGATGATATTGACAATTGAGCCTGTTTTTACCGTCTGGGCTAAGAGTGAGTTTCTAAAAGTTTTGTTTCGATCGTGTACATTGCAGTGGGTGGATTCGGGGGGGGGAAGGGAAGCGTTATACGCTTACACTTAAAAACTGAAAAAACGACCATCTTTACTCTATACCCCAACCGAAAAATTGAGACTAGTGGGAAGATTGACTTGAGACTGGTATTTTGTCTTGCAGGATTTAAAGACAAATTTCCTTCAAGGCTTTGATGTTATTGATCTAAGAATAGAAAAGAACTCAGGTGATAAATTCATGCACAAGTATAACTACATTCTACTCAATGCAGGATCTCTCAATTTATTTATTTAATTGTTGTATCAAACAGATAGCCTTTGAAGATGAAACAAGTCATGCAGAATGCTTAGTATTGGCTTAAAAATGATATTTTAGTTGCTCTCCTCCAAGTCTTAAATTTGTACTTGATGATCAGGCCTCAGCTTGAATCAAAAATACAGATTCTCCCAAGTAATGACAGTACATTTCTCTTTGGTGATGGAATTAAGCGTTATATCCCTAGAGTATCTCTGAGTTAAGGAAATATCATTTCCTTACTTCTCATGACCTGTCTGCTTGACAGTATATTGCATTTGTAAGGAGAATTTTAGTAGTAATCACTTCTGGAAGCCAGAGATTAAACAGGAATAATTTCATATAATTTCAACAAGAAAGATAGGCTTTTGTGTTGTTGTTGTCAAGTGAAATAAGTTGTTTTTATCAATCTGGAGAAAGTTGGTTGTTTTTTCATATAGCAGTTAGGTTTTGTTGACTGGTATTTAGCAATCCAAATGTTTTAGGAGCATAAGAGTTTAAAATAGCATAATGAAAAGTTAAGTTAATTCTCCCCTCTAGCTCTAGGCATTTCATTATCACTTAGTTGCGAGAATTTGGTATTAGATCAAGATAGCAGCTTCTACCTGTTAAGTTTGTATATTCTCATTACCTTTTTGTTGGATAACGTTTGTGTATTTTCAGGAGAAGTTACATATTAATTACCTATGGGAGTTTAAATGTTAACTAGTATTTTCTCCCTTTATAGCTCATGTTCTTCTTGGAGCACCTGAGCAGGCTGTCACTGCCATTAACTCACTCAATAGGCAAAGTTTTCATGGCTGTGTCCTTGGTGTCTCTCTTGCTCCACCAGACAGTCTGTTATTTGTCGGTAATTTACCATTTGAGTTTAAAGAGGAACAGTTTAGGAGCCTAATGAGCCCATTTGGACCCATAGAAAGAATATTCCTTGTGCGGAGTATGTTTACGGGAGAAAGTAAAGGTTATGGTTTTGTGGATTATGTCACACGCGAGTCAGCTTGTCTTGCCAAACAACAGTTGATGAATACAGGATCAAAATATGTTGGAGGACGAATATTAAGGGTGAACTTTGCTGAGCCAAATCTGTTAACTTATGAAGATTTACATTCCAAGACTCTGTTTGTGGACAGACTTCCCAGAGACTTCACTAATGGAGAAGTGTTAAAGGAGTTATTCAGTCAGAGTGGATCAGTAACATTTGCACAGGTAAATTATACATTGAGAAGGAAATGTCTATGCCATTTATATTTGATGAAGTGCCCAACCCTCAAATGAGCACCCACCCTTAAAAATTGGATTTTTCTTTTGTTTACACTCCCTCATAAGGGGACACCCCTTGCATAATAATCAACTCTTGGCAATGAAATTTGTCTTGAATTTCTAAGTCAACAAAGATATGATCTTTGTCAGAGCATCAGGACAGTGGGGTTTTGTCAAATCTCCATTTGTCTGCTGGAAAGCAAGCTGTCTGTTTGTCAGAAATTAACAAGAGTCTGATGTAACACTCTCCCATAAGCAGAAATCCAACCAAGTTTTTTTTTGATGTCCACTGATTGGAATAATTCTTGTAATGGGAGAGTTCTGTCCATGAACTCTTTTTCAAACTCCTGAAGGTGTCAGCAGAGAGAAGAGGGTAAGTTTCCAAAGAATCTGTTGTGCTGCATTAGGGGAGAATGTAACAAGATAAGTTTTGGTTTCATCAATTGAGTTGATAATGTAAATTGGCCACTGCAAAGAGTTTCAAAGTTCTGACAAAGGGCTAACACTTTCAACATTGGCTTTGGAACTCTTTACAGTGGCCTATTTACATTATCAACTCAGTTGATAAAACCAAAATTATCTGCTTATGAGAGAGTTGACTATAATTGTTATGACAGAGAACTAAAAACGATTTTTATTCTGATCTTTGTATTAAAGGTTGCAGTGAATCCTCAAACAGGCATATCTAGGGGATTTGCCTTTGTTGATTATGGAACAGCAGAAGAAGCAGAACGTGGACAGAAGGCACACAATGGGGTGCTGTTAGAGGGCACAAATATCCGTGTGGCTTATGGAACTCCAGGAAGAACTGGTGCAAGCATTCTTGGAGGGCAAAACACCAATGTGGTGAGAACAATTTTTAAAATCTTAGTTTCTGTTTTTGGTATGACCAACTCTTTGAGATATAATATTATGAGTAGAGTTAGCCCAGCTGTCAAGCCTAAAAGCCTTCAGTTACTAGAAGCCACCAGGAAGGAGCACTACTACTCCCTTGGGTGGGATGTCAGCATATGATTTTGTTATCCCCCTGGTATTTTAATGGTTACCTTTCAGGATGTTGTAATGCATTTTGCTTCTGGGTAAAGAGAGGCTTAGTGACAGTTAATTGAAGAACACAACATAAAAAGCCAGTCAGTTATCCAACCTGGAACATCAATCCTCAGTTCTGCATTCCATAAGAGTGTCCCACTTTGCAAGGTGTACAAGGCTTTAATTTTGTTTTCATGTCTTGTTTGCCATGTCACAGGGAGGCCAGTCATCATTTGGCCCTCGTCCTAGGGGCCCTGCTCCTCATGCACCCCAAGGCCTTGATATGATGGCTGCCAGGGGCCCCCGCCCCCTCATGGCTCCACGTCCACTTATGGGTTCAGAGCCTTGGCAACAAATGCCACGAGGACATCCTGGAAGATCACCCAGACCTCTCAGACCAGGTCTCACAGTAAGTGTGACATAAAATACTGCTTAGGCTGACATCAGGAAAAGCTTCAATTTTTTTATATCATTAAGCTACTTGACGATTGAATTATGTAATTTTTAAAGAAACTTCTTATTGCTACAATGGTAGGCTAAAATTAGGGTTTAATTGGTAAAACATGGGTGATACATGTATGGAGTGCTCCGTCTTTGCAGGGTCCAAGGTTTGCAGCAGGTCGGCCCAGGGGACCTGGACCAGGGGGTGCAAGAGGACCCCCTTTTGGTCATGCACCTAGGCCCCTCATGGGCCGTCCCCCTGGAGCAAGGCCCATGATGAGACATCCAGCAGGTAAAGACAATTAATCAAATTCAATGTGATAGTTTTAGAACTACATTTGTAATTTTTTTTTTATTATTTGTTTATCAAACTGTGAAACTATGTTTCTTTTCACTAGGTCCCAGGGGCTTTGCTGGTATGGGTGTGGGAGGTCCTCCAGGGGTGAGACCTGTGGCACCCCGAGGGGTACCCCTGCAACCACGCCCTTTGATGGACTTTGGGGAACAGCCTGATGGGACAGTATTGCCTCCAGAACAGATGCAGGTACAGTTTACCAGTATTATGCAGCTTGCAGATGATTCACTTACCATGGAGATTTTACTGAGATCATGCAGTCTGATCATCTTGAGAAGGAATGTTCTCAGCTGTAGTGACTGATATTCCCTCAACCTATAAGGAATACATCATCAGAGTTAAACAGATTGGTCACTTTTCTGGTTTTTTTTTTTTTTAGCCAGGACCAGTGGGTCTTGATCCCTCCCAGCAACACATAGGTGAGACACCCATCCCTGCCCTGATGGGCGAGCCTATGGGAGGGGGTATCATTCCTCCTGCTGCTGAACAAGGAGTGTTTGGCCCAATGGGTGTGCAGCCTATGCTACAGCAACAGGAGGTGTTGGTTCCTGCTCCACCTCAGCAGCAGCAACAGCAGCAGCAGCAAGGAATGTTAGTGCCATCTCCGCTGCTGGGTCCAAGATCAGCTGTGCCCCAGTTGGTTAGTTGGATGTGCCTTTTTTCGTTTTTTATGTACATTCTCTAGTTTATTTAATGGGAAAGATGAGGTTAGAGTAAGGGCCTCGTGTTCAAGTCAAGTGGGGTGTGACACTGGACTCTTTCATTTTCTCTTCTTGTGAAAGATTATCATAACCTTTAACACCGTAACATCATTATTTGTATTGCATTATTTGTTCTCCTTACATTTCCTTAGGTTCTGACAAGGAGAATTTGTTTAATAATTGAGAACTTCCTTAGGTGGTGATCATTTCCTTTATTCTTGAGAAGCATGATACTGTAAGGAGGAATGAGATGCTAGTCACTTTGAGGGGTTAACCCTTTAACTCCCAAGATCTGATTGGTAATTCTCCCCTCTAGTTGGTACACATATTCTTGTACATTCATTGTAAGAATTTGGTGTTTGATCAAGACAACAACTTCTACCTGATAACTTTGAATATTCTCATTGGCTGTTTGCTGGATAATATGAGGACATTCTTGGGAGAATTTTCATATTGATCACTTCTGGGAGTTAAAGGGTTAAGTTCAACATGTTTCCAAAGGGGTCTGTTGGCAACCCTGAATTATAAAACGTTTGCTAGAGATGACAAACAAGGCACTAACTCACAAAAATTAATTAAAAAAGTGAGAAATTAAAGACAAATAAAACACAAACAAAAAAAGAAAGTTTTGTTTCTGTTTAACAAATATTCTTTTTTATTTGAAGATGCAACTTCAGACAGCACCAAGTGCCCCTGTCCCAGCATACCCAGGCACCATGCAAATAACTCAATCACAAGTGGCTTTAATGCCACAGTCTACCCAGCAACCCATCATGGTACCCGCTCAGCAGGTTCCAAACAATCAACCAGTGATGTATGCTGCACCCAGTGCTCTACCAGCACAGACTATGGTCCCTCAGGTATTACACCCTGATCCAGCCCCACTGATGGCAACTCCAGGAACAGTCATAGCAGGCCAAACTGATCCTAATACAGTGCAGTATAGCTCCCCAGGGGTACAGCAGATTGTAAGTGCGTATTTCAGCTGTTAGTAGGAGCTATTAGCTGGGAAAAGCCTCTGCCTAATCTGCCATCTTAAGGTTGCTACTTTCACCTAATATGTACATAATTGCTGGAAAAATTGTACTTTCATCAAGCAGCTTTTTATCAGTGTTAATCTTACCAGTAACAGGGTTAGATGTGTGAATGGCATCCACTATAACATGGCTGTCTGCTAATTTTCATTTGTGTTCTGCTTTCAAACTTTTTGAAAGCCCTGATTTTACTCTCTATTACTGTAAATGGATTTCTCACAGTCTCTGTTTTAGATACTGAAAGAATGATTTGACAATTTCTGTTTAGGCTCAAGGTGACCCTGCCCCAAGTGGAGCTGCAAATTCTGGATATGTTGTACTTCCTGCAGATGCAACGCAACAAACCGCTCTTTATGCACCGCAAGAAACCCAATCTTATACTCTGGTAAAGCACATTTAGTTTCTGTTCTTAGGTCACTAGGAGATATGATTGCCTAACGGTTATAATACAGGTCTTAAGCTGGAAAGTTCCTTCTACCCCCTGTGGTGCTTTAAAAATCCAAGGGGCGAGGTCACTGTGTCGCTGTTTGTGCTTCATGGTGTCTCCCACAATCTGAATGAGAATCTCCAAGGATGATGGATGGGACACTTGCCAACCCAGACCCAGACCCAGCATCTCTGATCTACGGAGAGTGGAAGTAATTTGCTTGCTTCATGTTATTGAAACCAAAACAAGCTCTGGCACTGTGGACCCCTTGGCTCCAGTCCAATATTTGACATTAAATCTAATGAAGACTTATTTTGTCTCGCTCCAGCCTCAATCTGTGCCAGGGCTGACAACACAACAACCCATGGTTCAGCTACCTATGGGTAGTGTTCAACCAACTGCCATCATTCAGCCACAAGTTTCCACATCTCAGCCCTCCTCCATCCCTGCAGTAGCTCCACCAGCACCTCAATATCAGTGGTATCAACAGATGCCTCCTGCAGTGGGTAGTGTGGCAGTGTCTACTCCTCAAGCTCAAACCACACCTTTACAAGGTACATATCCAGTTTTAATCATAAAATTATTGTAAGCAATATTTTGTAGCCAGATGGTGTTAGGATATGTAATTTTATTCAGTGGAATTCTTACGGACTGGTTTTCTGTTAGGATACACAATCCTCATAGGTGTGCAGAACCATCTTTTGTCAAAATAACGTTTGATTGAGCCTTGTGGCAGTAGTGAAATTACACTCTTTGTTTTTTTTTTTAAGCAACATCTGTGGGTGGCATCCAATGGGGTCAGGCTGAACAGGCATCCCAACCTTTAATGACTGTCTCAAGTAGTGGCATGTATGGCCAGTTCCAAACAACACAGCAATACCAACCACAACAGGCAGTGACACCAGGTTCAGAAGCTATGGTGTATTACCAACAACCACAGGTTTGCTCTGCAAATTATTTAACCTGTTACACCCTAACGTCAGTATGCATATTCTCCATACTGTCATCCATACATGTCTTAAGGTAATGACAAGGAGAATTTGTTTAACAATCACAAGCTTGTTAATTTAGTGATCATTTTCTTCACTCTCATGACCTTAATGAGTAGTTCAGGGATGATATTGTAAGGAGAAATTCAATGCTTGTCACTCTTAGGGGCCAAAGCGTGAATGTCAGAATGTATAATGAATCAAATATTTTAAGTAGGATTTACTAGAATTTACTGGGTCTAAATGCATAATCAGTGCTCGAAATTGTGACTGTTTTGGTCACTATGGTGATTGCAAAATTTATTTGGCGACTTAAATTTAGGCAAAGTTGCCAATTGGCAACCAGATTTGAAAAAATAAATTTAAAAAAATCTCTTGATGATTGAATTGTCAAATGTACAAATGCCGGTTATGCAACATGAATTGTCCACCCATTGATATGACGATTTTTTGCGGTGACCAAATTTTTCTCTATTATTACCATTTTATACCGACGTGGGCTTTTTGAAAAAGAGAACTTGGAGCCCTGATCATAAAACTGATTATGCCTCAAGGAGTGTTATAACCAGTGATATTTGTTTAGTTTTTGGGACTACTCTTGGCAAGACAATGGCGCTATGTAGTCCACTGCTACTATATGTGATGTTTGTAGCAAAACTGTTTTCAGAGTCATATCACACATAATTTGTTTCTTATTTTCATCAGTTACAACAACTTCAGCAGCCACAGGCACCCCAGCAACAACAACCTGTGCCTCTGATGCAGCCTCTGCCTCAGCAACAACAGCAGCTTCTCCAGCCACAGCCACAGCCTCAGCCACAGCAGCAGCCAGGTGCAGTTTACCCAGGGCAGATGGACATGTCAGGAGCAGGTCAGCCAGGTTATCCGTCAGTAGCTGGGCACAGTACTGAACAGGCTGTATACCCAAGTGCAAGTGTAGCTCCCCAACATTCAGCTCCTCCAGTTGTCTACAGCAGTCAACAGCAGTCACAACTGGTAAGCTCTTTGAGAAGCCCTTTCTATTAAGTTGTCATTTTATTTTGGCTGTTTTTCTGTTGCTATCTTTGAGAACATTGGCCCTTTGTGTGTGACTGATGTTAAACTAATCTGTTTTGAAGTTAGTTTTGCAGCCTGGGTAGTGAAGTAAATGAGTTTCTTTAGAGCAAAATAAATAAAATTACTTGTAAAGTTCATGCTAAAGCACTTTTATTTTTTTCCTGATTAGTTTTACTCTGTTCATTATTTAAGGGTGCTCACCCACAGCTTGGTCAAAAGAGAGCTGCTGAAGGAGAAACAGGACAGTATGCTCTGCAGGGACCTCCCAGTTACTATGACAGCAACAAGCGACTACGGTACTGACATTCTGAAAGGGCAGCGGCGGGTGTTGTGGTGAAGTGTTTTTGAACGCTGATTATAATGATGATGATGATATGATAATAATTTTGTTCATGAACATGCTAAGTATTATAATTAATTACATGTACTAATTACCCATTTCCAACACCAAACCTTCTCTTTCATTCAAAGTCAGGTATAAAACCTCTAGCATGAAAATTAAGTTTTTGTATTAGCAATAGGTACATTTTCCTATCAAGAACTTTACTTGGCTCTTGCTTTGAACAGAGGCCTCTGGCATCTTGGAAATGGCCTAGGAATTTTTGAGATCATGAATATTTAAGCATTTGTCTGGTATCAGATGGTATGGCGATAAAGAGTTTTAATTGCCTTAACCCAGCTATTCAAGGTGGGAGGGCTACTTTGCCTAAAGCTCCTACTTAAGTTTATACGTTTTTCTCGTAATCAAACGAATGTGTCATCATTAAGAAAGAAGTACATGTAACACATACATGTAGATATAGATTTGAGGAGTTGAGATCCTGATAGCAATTAACGTGCAGCACTGACCCTCATGCCAAAACTAAAGGTTAATTGAATCATAACGTGGGAAAGTTTTCAGTAAAGCGGAAGATTCAATAATTAACTTTATCCATAAGTGGCTACTGATAGTGTGTTGGGCAGCTGTGCCGAATGATGAAACCCCCGACAGCTTGCCTTCAGGCTAAACAGGCAGGCGTGAGAAGTCTTAGACCGCTCGGTAGACCGCTTGGTAGACCGCTTGGTAGACCGCTTGGTAGACCGCTTGGTAGACCGCTTGGTAGACCGCTTGGTAGACCGCTTGGTAGACCGCTTGGTAGACCGCTTGGTAGATCGCTCGGTAGACCGCTTGGTAGACCGCTTTCATTGAAACCCCTGCTACCGCTTATATAAAGTGTATACTTTGATGTGTTCCATTGCACATTTTAACTTGGAGCCATAAAACCAAAGCCAAAGTAGTCAAAACAACCATTCATAACTAAAGAAAATATAACAAGGAGCTAAAGAGAACTTAGCGTAAACATCATGATTAGTTTCGTAAAATAGGTTGTGGTTTAGTGCTTCGCTTAGGGACGAGAGTTTCTTCGCCCGCAGGAAAGAGTGAGAGCTTGAGTAACGCGAGCTCTACCGAGGTCTGCAAGGGGTCTGGCTCTATAATCGAGTTAGTGCCAACCCCCCCGGCGAACCTCTGTTCGACTCGTCTCAAATCTTCCCGCACGCAGAGGAACGACCGTCCTGGAGCGTCAAGGATCAGGGCTTGATTTGTGCAGATTCGAAAATGTGATTACTTTTCCTTTGCATTTGATTGGTTTGGGGAGATAGCCAAAGTTTTGTGGACCAATCGCAGAGCATTCCTTAGTAAAGCAAATGCAACCCTTGATTATTTGCCGCACTATATTGAAAATTATTTTATGGTATTGATGAGCTGACACTTGAAACTACATGTACAAACGGTTTAATATATGTTCTTATATTTTACAATTGTCATATACCAGGAATTTAATAGTCAGATGTTGTGGTTTGATTTTCTCCTCAATTTACAATGCCCCAAAACAAATGCTTGTAACATTTTTTACACATTTTTATGTCCTTATGAAAGAAAACTTGTTGTATGCGATAAAGAGTATAGTGAACTTATTAAGGTTGTCGTGAAGTATTTAAAATAAGTAAGAATTAAATATAGTTACTGCCACCTTATGAAATACTTTGTAGTATATTTTAATGTTTCAAAAGAGAAATGTAATTGTTTGTCTCACGTTGTGGCCACTTCGGATGTGGATTGCGACTTGTCGACTGCATACTGCTAATCTTCTTCAGGCGATTGGGTCGATTGAATACGCGTCAGTTGTATGCTGTAGTGCTCAGCTGTGATTGGATGAAATTATACGGCTGCGATTGGTGCATCTTCGGATCAGGTTCCTTACCGCATGGCTCTCCTGCTCTTGTGGAAGACTAGCAGTATGCAGTCGAAACATCGCCATCTAAATCCGAAGAGACCACATCGTAAGACAAACGATTAAAATTCTTTTTTCAAAGTATTATTTACGACGATGACTACCAAACCGATTTTACGGTATACTAGTGTTATTAAAATAAGTTAACTTTTGTGCATGCAGCGGCCTGGATAATTGCGCACTGAACTTCGGAATGAGAGGTCTAGGTTTGATCCCAGGCCGTCATTGTTTTGTGTGCCAGGGCAAGAGTTAACCTTTCAACTCCTAGAAGTGATTAACATGTAACTTCTCCCTATAATATTCATACATTATTCAGCAAACAGGTTATGAGAATAATCAAGCTTATCTTGTAAAAGTTTTTTTTTAACTTGACCAGGCATCAAATTCTCATTACTAATTTATAACGAGATGTGTAGCAGCCAGAGAGGAGAATTAACAATCAGATCTCGAGGATTTAAAAGTTAAGGGGTTTCAAAGAGTAACCTAACTGTTTGCGCATGTCTTCAACCTTTAACCCTCATGCCCTAACATCAGTATCTATATTCTCATTACTGTTCTCTGTAGACATCCTTAGGTACTGGCCAGGAGAATTTGTTCAACATTTGAGAGCGTCTTTCGTTGGTTATCATTTCCTTTATTCTCACGACCTTAATGTTTGATTTAGCAGCGATATTGTGTGAGTAAATGAATTGCTTGTCACTTCTCGGGGTGAAAAAGAGAAAGTTACATTTGTGAAGAAAGTTCCAGACCTGTGTTTGTCGGCGATGTAATTCATGTGATCTAACAAGGTTACTTTATCGTTGTGTGTACAGGGATACCAGGGTTTCTCCATTTATTTCAGAGTCTAATTGGACACTGAATTTTGAGCATCATTTTAGTTATTCATGAGGTCAATGTTATTGTACGATGCCATCACTGATTTATTAAGCTAAGTGCGTTCTTCTGCTAGTGAAGCATGTGTTTGTCAAGGAAAATAACGAAGGTTATGATGAAAATTACTCTCCGAGAGTGAAACAACATCGGTTACATGGTATTTAGGGATGCCCTCTGAGTAGTTATTTTGACGTTAACATATGTTTTCGTGTACCTTGCACCCATGCAGTGTTATGAAAAACAATCAACCTAAACGGTTATCCATGACTCAGAAATCATGATTTATGTCGTGTAAACTAATTGCGTGTCATAAGTTCCAAGGCTCGATTTCCGCTGCTCTCTCGTATCCGTTCCTCGCTACTTCCCGAGAAGAGAAGGGGAGAAGCACGGGCTCATTTTCCCAAACAGTAGCTGGTAATCGAGCCTATCAAGTACCCTTCGATGTGAAGAGCATTATGAAGGAGGTAAAGGCAGGCCGTGGCTCAGGGGAGTTCTATAACGCATGCGCTCAACCTCTTGTAATAAAAATGTAATAATTCATCGGTAGCCCCCTTTTAACGGGGGGGAAAGTGGGAGGAGGAGGAGGAGGGGGCTCATTCGGAAGTTGAGGTGGGGGGGTGTGCCTCAGATGTCTTGAAACCATGACTTTGTTAAAGAGAACGTTCGTTAATCCCTTTACCCTGTTTAAGGCGACAAATCATGTAAACATTGTGGCAAGTTGCCCTCACTGAGTAGGTACCTTCTAGTAAATCGATACAGGATTTTTAGGATAAGGTCAAATACAGTTGCAAGTAATGCACCTGGAAACCACGCATCACCGAGTTCGTCCCCGCCTGTTCAAGATTTTGTTCATCATGACACCCTGTCTAGGGCACTAAATAATAAAATTGTACACCCTAATCCCTATATCACCACAATCGTTCCTGGAATATAGCCAGCTCCTGGCTGTCTTTAGTAGGGACGAGCGAAAAAGCGGAGCGATGGGGTGACAGTGAGGAGCGACAGAACCTCTATGATTTGTACTTGGGTTTTCACATGTTTACGCTAATAAGCATCTATCCAGCGTAGGCTTCTTCTAATGAAGGGCTGTTGATTTAAATTGATTGAACACGATGGCAGTGAAAGTTGCTTTTCTTATCGCTGATGATGTACAATGGAATGGTAAGGGCCCTCCCCGGAGTTTATGACAGGTAAGTTATAGCTTGTGTAACAGGTGTCGTTTTGTTTCCGCTTTACAAGTGAGAGGGGCAAGTGTGAAAAAAAAGCGCGTGGGTAGAGCCACGCGTAAGTAGAGGAGATACGAGGAGGAAGCGCTTTATGCGCTCCTTGTGTCGTGGGTGACCCTCGCGCTTCTCGCACTCCTCGTCTCGCGCGTGACTCACTGCTGGCTCTCATTTTATGCACTCTTTACGCGCTTTGCGCTTGCCTTTGCTAAAAAATTAGGCCTGTCTCACAGGCAGGATAAGTATGCAATTTTAAGGCTAAAGATTTAAGAGTATTTGTAAATTGGGTTAAAGGGAATTTGTGCTGCAACTGAGAACATATTAAATAACATGAAAGTGTTCATGTAAACCGCTCGCATTCGATTTATACGGTCATATTCTTTTTCGTTCTTCAATATTAGGGGCTAAAAATTCATTGGTTAGGGAATTTAGTGGCCAAATGTTGTGGTTTGATTTTCTTCTTGCTTAACAATACCCATTAATAAATGTGTGTAAAATTGACGTACACAGGCACATGGTTAAGTCCATGAATACATAGATTTGTATGTCCTTATGAGAGGAAATTTGTTTTAAGCGATCAAGAGTATAGTGAACTTTTTGAAGTTGCTGTGAAGTATCTAAAATACTTAAAATTAAACATATTCTTGTTCGTTCTATTTTAGGGGCTGTAAATTTATTTGACCGCCGAAAACATTATCCTGTCTGCAATAAGTTTTGCTTCACGCATGAGCACTAGAAAGGTCACACTAACCCGGTCGCTTTGAGGGCGCAATCTTGTTGACAGGAATCCTAAGCAGGGAATAGATTGCATATGAAGGGTAGTTCTTTTTTTGAGGGCTTATTTTATACTCCTTTCCAGTGTTGCTTTACAGGGCAATGATGATAAGGGAAGGTAAACGAAACGTTTATTTTACGTTCTTAATACCTCTGTAGTCTTTTATCGTCTCAAGCCTTCAGTCCCAAGATCTCATTAGTAATTCTCACCACTTTCTTCTATTCAAATCTCATGATTTTACTTCAGAGCATGCGATATTGCCGGGAACAACTAATAATCCCTCAGTTTTTTTGATGTTGTTTTTGTATTGTTATTGCAAGGATATATTCTGTCTTGGTTTTCTTGAGAGTTAAAAGGTTCATTCAAATCCGAAGACTGTATTTGTTGAATGCGTTTTGAATAAAACAGGACTTAAACAGGAAATATCGTCTGTCGTTTTTTGTGTTGCGTTCATTTTCTCTTGCATTTGCCTATCTCCGTTTTGGTTAGGACTTATCGAACATCATTTGAGGTGAATGAAACTCGGGTTGTCAAGGTGGAAAAAAATCTTGAGGGTAATTATTCGTGTTCAAATCAGGTGCAAATCTTGGAATTGTCCAGTGATGAGGGTGAGGGAAGGGTTAAATTTTTTCATTCAGATACTCAAAATTTTTTTAAAGGAAATATTTAAATATGTTTGTCCACTTTGTTTATTTTTCCTTTCTTTGCGTTAAGAGGTTGATAATCCCAGACATCCAGAATAGATCGATATGACACATTTATCAACTGGAAGATGTCTGAAAATACAATAAGTCCATTAATTTTACAATTGCCGCTGCTAGGAAATAGTTTTGTAGAACTTTGGAACTGAAGTGATTCAAACAAGGTCAGTAACTAAATAAAACCGGGACATGACTATTCTTGTTCCTCGACAAAGGATGGTTTTTATTTAAAAGAATTCTTTCACCGAGTGTTTCTTTAATTTTTTGGGCTCCTCCCTCGAACGTGACTTGCACTTCGCGCTAACCTTCGTTTGCCTTAAAAATGCAAACACTAACTTCTGTTCTTCAGGATACTTTGAGTTGTGAGATCGTTCATGTTGTTGAAGAATTCACGGACCAGTGAGTTATAAACAGAAGCGTTCAGGAGTCTTATAAATAAGCTAACATGTGTTATCAACTTTCAAACTTGGCTGTCATTAACGTCAGAAATATTCTAAAACACAATGTTTACGACTTATTGGTCATAAAAGATGCAATTTTTAGCCCAAGGCAAAGATTGATAACTTATTGTTGTCTGAAAATTGAGCCTAAGGATATCATTACTTTATTGAATTCCACTGATGTGTGTCGTGCGGACGTGTCTAAGTTCAAAGCTCTCATAATCCAGCGCTTTCAAACACTTGTTTATCATTGCTTTTCGCCGACAGCTCGTTAGAAAGCGATTAATGAAAGAGTGTGGTTCCCGGGGGACTTATGAATGAGATGATCAATATATATTTCTCTGTTGTCATATTAAACAAAGGTCTTACTTGTTTGCCTCTTCGATCGTTGTTTAATCCAGCATCTACGACTTCGTGCGGGGTCTTTTATATTTCTAAACGAATTTGGATATTGGCTACGTACTCGAAACAGATGAAGGCCGTGTTTTAAGACAGCAAGAGTAGAAACAGTTTGTCAGCTGTGGAACATTGCTTTGTCAGCTTGGGATCAGAGAGGACATTTGATTTGCACCTCTTTGTTTACTTGCGTGGATAAGAGAGATGACGTCTTCTTGTCTTAACCAAGCCGTGTGTTCTGGAAGACTTCACCAGATTCGTTTGCTTTTGGATATCGGTGTTAAACCAACCATAGTTGACAATGAGGGTCGTACGCCTCTTATGATGGCGGCATGCGGTCCTAAGGATTCCTTAGCGACTCGAATTGCTCGTCTTCTGTTATTCCGGGGAGCTCAGGTGGAAGCCGTTGACAACCAAGGAAGGACTGCTTTGTCATACGCCTGCCAACATGGACATTGTAAGCTCGTTAAACTTCTCGTAGACGACGACTGCGATATTAATTTGGCCGACAAGGTTGGCAATACCCCCCTGATGTACGCGGCTATGTCGGGTAGTGTGCCCACATTGCGTGAAGTGTTAAATGTCGTGTTAAAATACAGGCTTAGTGTGGATTTGAGAAACAAGAAGGGCTTTTCCGCTTATTTGTTAGCGGCCAAAATGGCCAACGGCGAATGCGCGCGGATCCTAAAAACCGAAGCGAATGCGTCGGTTGATGCGCGGGACACGGAATTTTTCTTAAACGGCAAAGAGTGGGCCAAGAAGGTCCGACGAAACTTGGAAAAAGAGAAACTTGAGAAGTCCGTGCAGATGAAAACTCAGCGACCTCGTCCGCAGACTTCGCTGGAACTCGGTCGCGTGGACAAAGTTGCGATTACACCGCGCAATTCGCGGACACTTTCGCGACTAACAACCTATAGTGAGCCCGCGGTGACTAGAAAAATTGGCGTAGTGGAAAAGTGGGCGGTAATTCATAAGGACCTTGAGCGTGATAGTGAAGGGGAGATTACACGAGTTAAAAGTGCCTCTTCAACGTCTTACAGCAGCAGACGGAGTACCATTCCTCCAGTAGCGCGCACACTCACGCCAGATCTACACGCCATATTTAATCAGTACGTGATAGTTGACAATAGGCCAGCGGTCACCGTAGCTGATCGCAGGCCACCCTACGGCTCGTCTTCACGAAAGATAAACGAATTACCTGCGAGACTTTTGATGAGAGAGGCTAGAAATTCTCGAGTAGGCGCCATGACCCGCAAAAAATTTTCCATAGCCAGATAAAAAGGACAGGTTTTCGGCGGTCGATATGATCTGTAAGTATGAAAAAAATAAAGGTATGTGTGTGGGGGGACACAGCCATCATAAAAGGCGTTACACGAAATTGAAAATACTTGTGATATAGACGTACTGCTTGGTGGAAATGGATAGCGTGTTAAGAAGTCGCATAGAGCGAAAAATATGCGCATAGCGTGTTATAAACAGTTGATCTCTTTTGAGTAATGGGCACAAGTTGACTCTTCACGCTCCTCCTCTCGCATGTGAATCACCTTCCGCACCCGCCCGGCTGGATTGAAAATCGCAGGCACAGAAATCAAACTTATCCGGGCCTTCGAATGACTTACTGGAGACGCTTGCATTTCTTGCTTTGATGTGTGATTCATGTTTTCAGAGACCTGACATTAGACATATAAATATAAGAGTAATTTTCGATGGTTTGCTGGCTATCATCGTGTAATAAAAAGAGTGTATACGTGTAGTAACGAGGTCTTTCATTACAAATTAAGCATTTAACGATCGAGTTTTCTTACGGCCGACGTTACATACGCAGTGGAGCTTGCCACATGTGTTGCGTGACAAGTTCAAACGACGTAAGTGTTTTGGATGAAGGTGTTGCGTGACTATCTAACAAAATGTCGTGGGGGTCTGCGTGACAATTACATGACCCAAATAGGACCAGGAGCCCAATACAATGGTCTCCTGACTCCTGACCTCACCTAATAGAGGCAATCTTTAAAGAATGAGGTCAAGAAAACGGACATAAAAAAAACCTTGGAGACTCTTGATGAAGTTCATCCAATTTTATTTTTCATTTTAAAAGCCAAAGATTATTACATTAAAAAACTCAGATTTCACAAGGGTAGATGAACATAACGTTAAGAAGCTCGAATATCTTTCGAGCAATGATCCAAGGGTCATCTTCTACGCTCTCCAAAATGCTCCTTCCTACAGCGCGCCCCTCGGGGGAGCACATGGCCCTTTGCCAGACCTTCAGTAATAGCCCGTTAGTGTCAACATTTGTACTGTGAAAGAGGTTGATAACCAAAAGGACACGGTTTTGCGCTGCGGTAAAATCTGGGATGAAAGGGACTTTGTCGCTGGGCTCCAGGATTCGCGGCGGCAGTGCAGTCTGTTGGTCAGCAGTTTCGTTAAAATTTGTTTGGAAGTAAGTCGCTGCAATGAATTCTACAAGTAGGGCCCAGCCAACTCCAAATTTTCTTTCAGGTAAGGACAGAAGGTTGGCCTCTTCAGTGAAGAGTGGTTGTGCTAAAAGAGGAGAACATGCACCAATGAAAGTTATTATTACACCATAACAGCTAATTATAACAAAGCAAATATCAGAAAGAGCCAATGAGACCTCAAAGTGAAAACGAGGCTTGACGCACATTCAGGAAAACGTGAGTGAATAAATTACGATTGCTTTTAACTTTGTGATTCGCTGAGAGAGTGACGCGAGTTTTCTAGACCAATCACAGAGCGAAGTAAAACTAAACCAATTCAATTCTAATGCTCAAGTGAAAATTGCTCTGTTGGGAAAAAAAATTTGGCTACTTTCTCTCCGAATCAACAAATTGAATTACTAAATCAATAAAAAGACGAAAAGCAGTCTAGATTGTAAAATGAATGAATATAAAAAAAGCCAAGATTTTTAGCCTAATTTAAAGAATTTTACCCGTCAATATCGATGTAGTGTGCGCCTTCCACATAAGGGCGATCGTTACGTCATGGTTATCATCTTCAGAACCACCCTTAACTCGCGTAAAGAACTCAGCCCAATGTTTAATTATTTCAGAGTGTTTTTCCGTGCACTCTTCAATACTTGTACAGAACTTCTCTTTGACCACGTCGCTTACATCAGCTGGCTTGGAAATATACACAGGATATTTCAAAGGAGGAAACAGCCCAGCTTTCAAGGCGCCTAAGAACGGTAGGACAGAGAGGTAATAATTCATATCAGCCCACCAGCTGTTTGGAGAGACACAGGGGGAGCCAGTGCAACGACTCTGGCCAACTGCCATATCATTTAGACGTCCAGTGGACATTTGCCATCCGAACTGGAGCGGAAGTCCCCAAAGAAGGTTCCCTGTGTTGTTATACCCCCAGGAATTGAAGTACCCTTGGGTATACTGCTCCATCAATTTGAAAATTCCCATTCTCTGTAGATACAACCATGGGTTGATGATAGTCATGGTTTCGCCGGCTATTTGCCCAACTGGGTAATCTTCGAAGGAGCTGGGCGCTTCAAACCAACCGGGCGGATAATGTCGAACGAGCACATCAGTTTGGGCTGACACAGGATTGGATAAGCGGCTTATTATCGCGCAGATAAGCACGGCTATGCAGGTCATGTGATTCATGTTTCTCTACCAAAATTACTAAATCTTAAGTAGATGATAAAAATCTGCGAAGGAAAATTATTATTTACAAGAAAGAGCAAAACTTTCACCTGAATTAATAAACAGCGGTCTCTAAGTGGCCATTGGTCTTTAAGAATATGACAAATGGAAACCATATGTGCACGTTCATCGCAAATTTTCGTGGGAAAATTTATTTTTAATTTCGTGTAATTTTCTGATGAAAGCAACCAAGCATTGTACGTAAATTCAACGACGATAAACGCGTCTTTTAAAACTATAAAATCAACAATATCCGTTATAATTACCAACATGCAAACCGTCCTGCCAATTTTTCGTTTTCTGGAAAAAAAAAGCCATTCTGATGATGGGAACATAAAAATGCAAATTACACATCGATCGCAAACTTGATTCGTGCAACTTTAGAAGAGTCGATATAACTTTTCTTTTGGTCAGGTTTGTAGCCAGATATCACAATTTTACTTACGTACGGTCCTTTATATAATTACAGGACCATCTGTTTCCGGCGACTTAGCAATTACCATGAATGTTATAAAACGTTGTTCTTTTCATGATCGCTCATAAGAACAAATAAATTAGAGTTATGTTGTAATTTACATTTTTTTTGGCGCATCACACATGTAATTATTTTTACTGTTATGTCCATAACTGGTTTCATTAATTGTGTTCTAAATTTGAGTTTTGTCTAGGGAGAAGCTCTTAGCCATATTCTAAATTGAAAGGTTCATTTTCTTTTCACTTATAAGAGGATTTCCCGAAAAAAAACTGAAACAAAAATGTTTCATGGTAGACCCTCTCCTTCATACGTTCCTATCAATTCTTGTCTCCCCTCCCCCCTTCCAGTTGTAGGTGGCATCAATTTCTTTATTTAAAGTTATGTTCGTGTGGAAGGTGACTCAGCTGACTATACGAAGATACACTTTCCTTTTTCGAGCGTGACCACAGGCAGTCCAAGCTTCAGCTGTGAGATCATGATCTTGCAAAACAAGAGTCATAGTGAATTTTTAAGAGTTTGTATGGCATATTTACGACCGCTCTTAGGAATAAAAAATTACATTCAAACTCTCAATGAAAATACTGCACCTTTTTTACACAGTGCATCTCTTGTTATCGACCGCTTACTATGTTAAAAAGAACCCATATTAGCGAGTTATCCATTTCTAAGTTTACTACGTACATATGAGACTGGCCTCTCTTTTGTACGTGGTAAACCTAGAAATGGATAACTCACCAAAATGGGTTCTTTTCGTCATAGTAAGCGGTCAGATAACAAGCGATGCACTGTGGAAGTGAAGTGAGGTATTTTAATTGAGAATTTGGATGAATTTTTTATTCCTAAGAGCGGTCGTAAATGTTCCCATACAAACTCTTGTAATTTTCTCAAGATGACTATCTCACAGCTGGAGCTTGGCCGTCTGTAGCGTGACATGCAGGTGATCAGATCCGCAATTAAAACATGACGAAACATTGTAAAACTTAACTTGCAACCGGTTAGTACTTATTACGCTAAATAATTGTTCAAATAAATATGATTTTCCTGCATTTTCTCGAATAAATCTCTTTAATTAGATTATATTTAGATGCTGTTATGGGATTGATAATCCTTTTCGCTGCTATCACAGGTCAAGCAATTGATGACTTTATCAGGCCTGGCTCGGCTAACATCCGTATGATATCATTATGAAACTCTGCGGAAATGTTCGAAGTTCCGATTGTATGTATTGTAAATTGAAAGGGGTCAGACAAATTCGTAATTTTTAGTATGAGGAAATGATGGATTTTGATTTTAAGCATTAATCTTAAATTTTAAATTTTAATTTTGACGAACGGATTTTAGCCACATTCGCGAAGGCCAGTCACGCAAGTCCTCTGATCCCTTGAGAAAATTTAGACTAAACCTCATTACGGTCAAAACAACAGCACTAGAATGTTAACAGATAATTTTGCTCTAAGATCAACTTGCCTTTCTCTTGAGAATAAACTTTAAACACTTCCCAAAGCCGGTTTGGCAAACAGGGTGGCACTCGTCAGTGGTACACCAAGAAAATGTGATCCCTTGGGCACACCCGCGTAGGGGCTGGTTACCATAGTTTGAGGTAGATGTCATAACCTCGTTTTAAAGTTTGAGAATAAGCTCCTTACAGAACCACTCTCTTCAGACCACCACAGATGAACAAACACACAAATAAAAAAACAAAGAAACAAGCATTACCGACCTTGGTGTTTTTGTTTTTTTAGTGTTAAACTTTTGCTCGACTTTTAGCGTGTTGAACGCTCATTTTCGTGTGGCGAACTGAGAGTGAAACGCCTTACTTCTAACTTTGCGACCTTATTTTTATTATCGTAGTGGCAACGGAAATGCAGTTATGTGCGATCTGGAGCTTGTAGACTATTGAAGCGAGATTAACGCCGGGCTTACTATGGGAACTTCCTGTTAGTTCCGGTCTTTTTGGGATTTTCATCTCCATTTCGAGCTCTTGACACGACTGCAATGAGTGGCTAGTAGTTGGCACGCTTTGACCCTAAATAAGTGATAAACAACCCTCCACTTAAACTCCCAGTAGTGACAAAGAGAGAATTTCTCCTTACAATTTCAATACAAAATCAAGCAGACAAGTGATGAGGAAAAGAAAAACCAAATCCTCCCAACTGACACTATAAGAATTATATGGCAGATAGTAAGGAGAATTACTAATGAGATCTTGGGTTTGAATGAGTTAACATAATAAACAGAAATCTTGTATTTCATTTCCGATAAGTAACTTGAAGGTTCGCCCTTTCCCCCGGACAAGGTTGCAAGTATTTTGATTGTGAGCATTTTTTAACACCAGGCAACATTGAAACGCAGAAGAGGGAGAGATACTGGTGAGGGTTATAAAAAAAAACAACAACAAAAAAAAGTAGCAGAAGACTCCGCCTCTCATTGTAGTCTCGTCCCTTGAGAGACTGTTTTCTCTCCCGCCACCTCGCGCCCGTCCGGTCTTATGTCTTTGAGTGTCATCGGGCTGAATTTTAATAACCTCAAATCAGATTATTCGCTAAGTTACGGCTGTGGTCGGCCAGCTGTCTTTGATCTTGTCATTTATTCAACCATTGAGACGTCATAAAACAACCCAGGCTGTTAGCTATGTTTAGCACTCATTGCAAGATATCATCTAACATGAGAGTTTGAGCAGCGCGCGGACAGAATAAGCAGACATTCGCCTATATCGAGCGTAAAAAGTTTATTCAAAACGCTGACAGTGGTTGTGTCAAGACAGTTTTGTTGTTTGCTGTACTGCTGTATATTTGAATGAGGTAAGTAAACTCCTTCGTATTTCTCGAACAATGCTCGTTTCTCTGGGGTCGTTTCAAAATTCGTGTTCACTAAAACATTGGCTTTTGTTTCATAGCACGCAATAATCGATGTAAGCGTGTACCAAACTAAAAATTTACTGTTTTTGTTCCAAAATTCAAATTTACAAGTGGCCATTGTCTCTTCATTTCAAGCTGTACAATTTACCGTGTAACAAATACAAAATCAGTTCGAAATAAAATGTTACTGCAACATTTTTGCTAAAATAAAATCTTCTACTGTTTTTCCGGCTCAGCCAAGATTAAAAATTGGCTAGTTTGTGGACCAAGTTTGGAAAAACAGTTTCTCTTTAGTAGGTAAAATATGAAATATAATTTGAATTCTAGACTTGGGTGCATTGAAACATAGTTTGCTTTTATTGCTTGAATCGTCTGTTTTGTGAATGATTAACTTGAGCGCACACGCGAGTTATGAAAAAAGCGGTCCCAAGACCAAATTTCGGTTGGATTATCTTAAGCCAAAAAGTTTCAAACTCTTCTGATTTTCGACAAAGTTTTTCTCATCACTGTAAGATTAAAACGACACTGTATGAATTAAAATCACACTCTGATGTTGTGTTAACGACAGATGGTAAAATTTAAAACAAAGGCAAAATATTAAGTTTAAGGTTTTTGAAAAAAAATAACTGTAGCGATAATAATCGATCTATGAACAATTTAAGTGTTGAATATCAAACTCAGATGCGTACCATATTTTTCAAAGGGTCGAAATGTTTTCGATTCAAATTTTAATTTTTGCGGAAGTGAAAGTTACAGTTTTCTCTGGAGAAGTATATAATTTAAACTGTGCGTATTTTTAAAATCGACCTTTCCAAAAATCACCTTTTCTTCGACACTTTTGTAGCTCTATGTCTGATAAATTGTCGATCTGTCTTTCAAAAACGACAGGCTAATGATGAATGTAAAATACGCGTTTCTGTTAAAAACAATTGGAAAACATAAATTACTGATAAAGCGTTGATGTGTTTTCGTAACTGAGCCTTGCTGGTCCCTGGTTGGCCATTATAAAACAAATAATTTTTTTAAAAAGCTGTAGTCGATCGACTTGATCTCCACCATGCAGATTGGTTATGATACAAATGGCAAAAATCCAAGTTAATTTACATCAAAGCCTTGTGACAAAGACTTTTTTCCCTGTGGCTTAGGTTGAGCTGTTCATTTGCAAAGACCTGATAAAGAGCGTTTTGATCTTTCAAAAATACTCTTGTGTTGACAGGTGTGTTTACAAAAGTTCTGCCTCTTCCTTTAAATTGCGTGCGGATTCATCTGACGGTTGAAATAAGAACACGCTTTCAATTGAAGCCAGAACATTTTCTAAGGCAAAATGAACTCGCTGAGTACTAAAGGAGGAAAGTTACATCCTATTTAAATCCTATCCTTTTTTAAAAACAAATTTTAGTAAGTAAAAAAAAGCCGTGTTTGGAAAGTTCAATTGTCCTCACCCACAAGACAAATGTTATGTCACAGACCTTTGAGAGAGTGTTTACAAACGATCGAGGATAGGATTCCGGAGCAATATTGCGGTTGTAAAAGAATTCATAAAACAAGATTGATTTTCTAAATTTCGGTGCAATAGTTTGAGACGAAATGAGGTCAGATGTTTATGTGAAAATGTATTTTCCCGGAGTTGCTTGTTGCCATATAGAAATGACAAAGATGCATGCATGGTTCAGCGAAGGGTGATAAATTAGAAACTCCGCTTTTGAATGAAGAAAGGCTGCTATACAATCACATGTTAGAATCCGAGTACCAAGAAAATTTTTTTGAATCCTTGGTGATATCAGGCACACCGTGGACTACTCAATTTCGCGGTTCCGATGCGCAACCGAGTGAGATTCAGAAAACCTGTTGGAAGACATCTGCCCCAAATGAAACAGTTGTAAACACAGTCATTTGCATACAAGATTTCAAAACAGTAGCAATCGGTTCACCTGCTCATTATCTGAGATGTCATTAAGAGCGAAAAAACACGCGAAGGATATGTAAACTTAATAGGAAACGCATATTGTCGAGAGGATACATTGAAAACTCGGCTAACCTGCTCTGTAAGGTAGTTTTGACTCTTTTAGTCGCGAGGATTCATTAAGGTAGGTTAAAAAATTAAATTTTTTTTGGAATGACGCTGAGCTTTGTAAAGACGATTTATTAGGTATTCAGAAATATACGTGCTCTGCGTACTCAGGAATAGATTGTGAAAATAATAGCAGATTTGATCTGTTAGACAACCTTGAGGTGTTTGCTAACTCACTTAGCGGTGAGTTTTTATATATATTTTCTCAAAATGCTACGCCGTAATCCGGTCAAAGAAGCTAGCATAATCATTTCAAAATTTACCAAATGTGCGAAGTTATGCAGCATATACAGACATCTTTGCGACGTTAATGTCCTTGCGAAACATCCTAGCAAACTTCCAGCCTTTTACCCGCTTGCAATGGTCTTGTTCATCATAAAACTCACGAATTTTATTTCAGTTTAGTTAGAGCTGATGCCAAGCAGACGGTTGTAGAAGTTGAGTTGATCTTCTTTGTGGCGTCGAATGCGACAACAACTATATGTAGCAATTTGTATTTACTTCGTATCTGCATAGAGTTCGCATTCGACATCACTTAGGTGTTTAATGTTTTTTTTTCGCCTCAGCTCAGAAGGCAACGATCAACAGAGCTATCTTGGTTTTTCTCTCCCGCCAAGCTAGCGGTAGAAAATCAGACATTGACAACAAATTGACAAAGGGAGATGGGGACGAGAGGCCAGCAAAAGTTTGGGGGGGTGGGGGTCGTATGAGGTTGCTTTGTCTCGTCGTCCCTTTTGGTGACGAGTAAGAAAGATCATCAGCCCCACGGGAACCCTCCTCACTACCTAGGGGGTTTTCGTCATTCATTATATCGTTTTATTTTCAGATATTCCACTATGTCCAGATGTTCAAAAGCTACTCGTCAGTTGTTGAGAACAGCATCGTTTTGGGTGCTCTGCTTTCTTCTGCTAGCATCCCTTGGAGCCCTTTTGTTCTCCGAGGTGGAGCGTCCCAGCGCTATGAGCAGATTGAAATCCAAAGACGAAAAACTCGCAAGTCTTCAAAACGAAATGAAAACCGAATACAACATGACCCATGAAGAATTTGCAAGGTTCGTTAATTTATCCAGTGAGGCTCTAAGTCTGGATGGGCCTGCGTGGAATTATCTTGACGGGCTGCGGTATACCTTCGAGACGCTAACGACAATAGGTAAGCACAACTTATGTGTCCACGTTTGGTTCTTTTGTGTTTTAACTTACGTACGAACGAACGAAGAACGGAAAAACGGTCAGAACCTTTTCACTAATTTTTTTGTGTGAAACCTTTTAGGTTATGGAGCCATTTCTCCTTCCACCAGACTGGGCCAGGCATTGTGTATAGTCTTTGCAATTCTGGGAATTCCTGTTACAATTCTGGCATTCAAATCTGTTGGTGAGCTTATCAGCCTCGGGATCAGTTCTACCATCGCATTTGTTGAAACGAAATGCTGCAGAAAAGAACCGACTCATGTTGAAGTAAAGTGTACGGTCGCCACATGCTTGCTAATGATGATAATGCTACTTTTAGGAGCCATAATGCAATCGAATTTTGATGATTGGTCATATCTGGAAGCGTGTTACTTTTGGGTCATTACCTTTACAACCATCGGATACGGCGATTACATCGCAGGATCCGAAACCCGCGAAAAGGGCACCGGAAATCCAAAAACCAAAGTTATTAAGTCTTTAAACGTAGCGTTTCACATTGCCTGGACCACGATCGGCCTATGCGTGTTTTCTAGCGTGCTTAACGCCGCAGCCACGTTTATCGAGAAACGAACGCTCGCTAAACGGAGATGCGGGAAGCGCAGGTGCTGCTGTTGTGCTGGCCAACAAGAATCGGATTCTGAAAAAGGTGACACACTGGAAAAATACACCTACCAACCTAGTGCCAATGGTCGTGCGCGTGACAAGATTCAAAGTCGAGAAGACTACAACTGCATGACTTATGTATAACACGTTAATTAGACTACTTCCCTACACCAAGGGTCTCCGTTCCATTTGACCAGTGTTTCGTCAAGCCTGCGCATTAAATAAAAAGCTAGAAAATTAGAAGAGACGGGAATGATTGGCGCGTGAAGGTAATTTTTTGAGCTGCGCACGTCTTCAGAAGAAAATATGGCCTGATGATTTAAAGCGTTTCTGTTCCCTCGTCTAAGGCGAAAAAGTGTATTAGGAAAAGGCTTGAGTTTTCTTGAATTAAGTTTCGTGGTCGAGGTGGGGTGAACTTCAGAAGGGAAGGTCTGCGCAGGGCTATAAGTTGAGTCAAAGTTTATTTCTGCAGCAACTTCCTTGTGGGACAGTCTTCTTCTGTGGATTGCCATTGCTTAGCATTTTAGAACAAATTTAAGGTACCGGGTGCCCAGATAGCGACTACTTCAGCCACCAGAACTTATCCCGACGTCTATTGTACGCATGAGTCTACTCCACCAGGGCGGGAAGCTGATCCATTGTAGCTTAACTTTCCTTCATTTCCTGTGTCCTCCTGACAATTTATCAGTACTTATCTATACTTGTTTGTGGGGAGTCACTTTTTCGCATTTGATCACATGCACATGTAAAATGCCTGTTACAAACAATACTTATTATATTAAAAATTTTAACACTAAATATTATAAATATTAAAATAAACATTATGAATATTTAAGTGTCTTTCTCTGAAACTAGACAAGACGAAGGCGGTCAGTGGTCGATCCCGGGCTTTTTGAGCGAGAGTCCAGTCCAGCGCGTCTACTGCAAGGCAACTTCCTTTACGCACGCTCTTTGATTACTACAAAATGTTACCTCTCACTGTTATTAACAAAATACAAGGAGGAAAATAAAAAAGCGCGTGTCTGAAATAGGGACTCTACATAAAGGAACGCCATTCAGAAAAAGCCATACCACAAAACAAATGGTTTTTATCTGTTGATAATTTTATGCGGAAAGTTTCTTTGAGCTAGAGTTTAAACGCATCGGTTGTTGCCGATCACAAAAGCGGTAACTTGGAAGCGTTTCATTCTCCGGGACTTTTAAAATTCTAAGGCAAAGATTGAGACATATGTTTGTTCTTAGGGGTTTATTCATTTTTCTCTCTCACACAGAACAACATGCTGAGTGCAAGGTATTCAGTTTTAAACGCGAGTGAAGAGACGGTATGTTCACATACTGAAACAGTTCTCGTTCCGTGAAATAAGAAACAAACAAGTGATCTAACATTTATACAAACGAATTTTAAAATAATATAGTACATCGAACATCAGAGATAATTATTTTAATTGAGTGACGTCAATAATAATCCTGAATTGTATTGGCCTTGCTTTCTTCGCTCCGTGATTGGTCGAGGCATTTTCTCAATAACCTCTCCACCAATCATATGCATTTTTCCCGCGCTTCAGGCAGGGAGTTTCCATTGGCTCCTTGAAACATTTTCTTCGGCTCTGATTGGCTGCATTGATACCTCTATTTGAGATTTACCGACACTCCATCAAAATACGCTATGGTCGACTATCTGTTGTCCTATCACTCGTTAAAAAGTAATGTCTCTCAAAGATTCCATGCAATAAATAAATAGACAAGTCCACTAGCAAAAAACACCTATTACATCGTAGACCTTTCCACACTTCTTGAACTGTGCAATAAATCTTTTAAATACTGTTCCCTTCGATAAAATTTGAATGGGACAACACCGTCATAACATGACATATTCCTTCGCCGTCGTCTGCTTGGTAGGGCTCGCATAGCTCCCTACCCCACCGGGTGTATCCAGGTATTTTTACTTCTCTTAATAACCTGGTAGCTTTCTAATATTCCTGCTCGCCATTTCTTCCTCTTCGAGTTGCTTTCTAAACTTGTTGACTTTTTCTGAAGGAGAATAGAACAAGTTTTTTCGTGACAAGAAGAAAAACATCTTTCTTTATTTCTTTACTGAGCTCAAAACTTACCATCTCCCTTATTCTATTAACAAACACGAGGCTTTCGACATCGCTGATCCCAGCAGTATGCTGGGCGCGTGTCATATATGGACCTCGTAATAGGCCTTACTCGCCATAGAGTCTCTGCAGTTCAGTGGTAGAGCATCGGAGCGCGGAATCGGAAGTTCTTAGGTTCGATACCTCATGGCGACTCAGAATTTTTTCTCCGTCTCACGCTCGGTACGAGACAAAAAACATCTTTCTCTGAGAACTGTACGTGACTATAAAACACCAGAAATATCTCCTTTAAAAAGCAGAAAATTTAGCGGAATTCCCACGTGGGCACGTTAAAAGGAAAAATAAATGTCCCTGGAGCAGTACAGGATAGATAAGGTTTTTACCTCGTAACTGCGTGAATTTTTCGATCTTCTGGGACAGCAGCTCATCCAATCGGCGCACGTAGTCTGAGAAATCAAAGAAGTTTCAAATCTTTTAGGATCGTTGAGTGATTTAAGTTTCAATTAACATCAGGGTTAAAAGTTAAAACAAATTTAAGTTTCAATTAACATCAGGGTTAAAAGTTAAAACAAATTCATGACAACCAAAACTACCACAATACACAGAGTAAATATTAATAATATTAGTAAATAGACAGATCAATAAGTAGAAAGCTGGATAGATAGAAAAGTTGATAGAGAGAGAGACAGATGGATAAGTAGATAGATAGATAGGTAGACAGATAGATAAATAGATAGATTGATTGGTAGATAAATAGAAAGATCTATACCTAGATGATACACAGACAGAGAGGTAGATAGTTTGGGTGTTGACTAACCTTCCATGTTGTAGTCGACATCCATATCTACTCTTTCGATCAACTTGTCTTCTTCTTGTAAAAGCATTTTAGTTTCCTAGTTATGGACAGAACTACATTCAACAAACTTTCCGGTCATAAGTTTTTCTTACCTACAAACGCTCTTAGCTTTAGCGAAGAGTAACATTACTTGGCAATAAGGGCGTAAGAGGCTTGGAAGGAGATTCTCCGTTGCCCCCCCCCCCCCTCCCTTTAGGAAATAACATTTTTTCAACACAATAATATACATTTTTGTTCAAGAGTCGAAAAGGCACGAATCCGAAGAATCGTCGGCGCCGCATCAACAAGAGCCCACTGGTAACAAGGTAGAGCAGCGGTTTGCACCATTTCATGCGAGGTGCGCAGAAATTCCTAACGATGAACCCCCCTACCCCTCCTTGAAAAATATTGACCACCCTCTGGACACTTCGTTCGTTCCCTCTTACCTCGATGTTTTTCCTGTGGTCGTCCACTAATTTATCCTCTGCATCTTGCAGCTGAGATACTGCCTCATGGAACGTGTAAAGCTCTTGCGACTGCTCACCAGAGCCCTGGAAAATAGAAAACCCTTCAAACCTTTCACTTGCAGTTTCTTGTGAGCTTTGAATTAAGCAAACTTTGAACTAAAAATCACACATTCAACCGAAAAGCACTCAAATCATCTCCAAGAGGATTTTACAAAGAGCACTTACGCTGTGATTGCAAAGAAGAGCAAGGTCTACATTGTTAAGGTGTCTCCCATCAGAGAGGGCCGACACGTCTTCAGCGCTCGTGTCATCTTGTCCGCCATCGGCAGGTGCTGCTTTCTTCTTCGCATTACTCTCTGGACCAAGCTCTTTGACTCTGAAGAGTTGAAAACCATAAAATTAATATGTAAACGCAGCTGTCATATAGCGATGTTCTTTTTTATTCAAAAGAAGAAATAAGATTATGAGCGGAGAATAATCGTCATAGCTGACCTGTCTGCGTAACGCAAAGTATTCAGTGTATGTTCACAGCAGCTCATGCCAGGGGAAATCATTGCGATCTATAAATAGGAATAAATAAGATTGTTAAAGGTTCAAAGGTTTAGCTTCTGTGGAGGGGTCAGATGTTGTATGGGTCAATAAATAATAATTATTACAATAATAATAATAATAATAATAATAATAATAATAGGAACAGCAATTTTTTAAAAAATTTCAATGATAATTTTTTCAATAGGTAGTTCTTGCAATAAAAACTGTCTTGTCAATAACTGATAACTATTTTCATTTCTAAAATTCTACATAAAAGAAGAGAATTTTTTATAAAATATTACACCAACAATATTGATAATAAAAATGGTGATGATAATAATAATAACAATGACAATAATAATACTAATATCAATAACAATTTTGAGATTTTTTAAAACTTTAATGATAATTTATCTTAATAGGTAGTTCTTGAAAATTTAATATATACTATAAAAAACTGTTTTGTTAATAACTAATAATAACAATTTTCATTGCTACAACTTTACAAAACAATAAAGAATAATTCATACCATACAAGTCTTTGATTTTTCACCAATGAAGGAATCTCTCAGAACCTGTTGGAACAGGACAACAACAATTTTTATCAACCTGGCACCAATGGCTATACAGATACGAGAAAGGATATGTCGTTTAACTGATGTCGATCGACTGATTTTCTGTCTATCTGTGGCTTTTTCAAAATTTTTGTTTCATTCTGTCCTTTTACCTGTGTAAGTTTGCTGGCTCTGAAAGGAAGATGTGCTCCTTTGCGTCCAAGAGCTCGAATACATTCCTTTAAATTCGACAAAGATGAACAGGAGGTTATCGTAAATCGTCAATTTGTAAAAAAAAATTTTTCAAAGTAGGCAAACTTAACCATGATTAGACACCAACCTTCAGAGCCAGTAAACTCTTGTTAATTTCCGCGCCTTCGAGACGCGTTTGCCGATCAGCGTTTGATGTGTCCGCTCCTCGTTCATTTCCTGAAAAATAGAAATAGAAAACATGAAAGTTAAGCCTTCCAAAAACACCAAAATAACAACAACAACAACCACAACAAAAACAACAAATGCAAAAACCAACAACAACGAAAGAGCTAATATGCAAAGTAATCTGAATAAAAAGAGTTTCGAACCAAAAAGGCAAACCGCAAAAAAAAATGTGTCCAGTTGAGATAACAACTTTAACTACCTGCTAAGTCAATCAGTGAGAATTTTCCATAGAGTTGGCCTCCACCACCATCTTTCCTGTACCCTCTACAGGTTAAACAATATATCGGTAAGACATGAACCTAGCAATGACCTGGCTCATTATAGGCAGTCTCTCCGCGGCTCAGTGTTAGAGCATCGGAATACGGAATCCGAAATTCCGGGCTTCGATTATTCAAGGGCCGTTTCTCAAAGGTAACTTCACGGGCCTGAAGCTTTTTTAAAGAATTTAAATCTACTAACGGATTTAAGCTCACAAGATCAGTTCAAAAAATATCTCGACCTTGAATATAAACAAGATAAAAGAGAGGTTTTCCTAGAGACGGGCTCCAGATGACCAAATGACCCAAGATGGCGGTGAACAAACAAGCAATAAAGAGAAGAGAGTGGAATGGTAACTAACCTCTTTCTTAAAATAATCTGAAAGACAGCGTGAGAACGGGACGAGTTTTGATTGGCTGACGTTTGCCCAGATGTTCTGTATAAAATAAACAGAGAAATAAATATATATATATATATATAGCTAAACCACTTAATTATACAAGTACATAGTAAAATTTTAAGCCATTTAAAAAGTATGTCAATAGCTAGGTAAATTTTTTAATGAAAACATGGAACCATCCGAAATCAGACGGATCCGTGCTAAATCGGAACGATCTTTTCGGAATCTCGAGCGGTAGCCGTCCGAAATCAAACGAAATCGTCGGAGATCGAACGAAACCTTCCGAAATAACACAAAACCGACCAAACTCGGATGATTTATCCGAAATCAAACAGTATCGTCTGGAATCAGACGAGAGGGTCCAAAATAACACGGAATCAGACGAATCATATACAAGGACTCTTTCCTAACCTGAGTTTGTTACCAAGCTCTATAAGCTTCAGTGTATCTTGTACAGAATTTACGATCTTTTCCTCCAGCTCACAGACCTGATTTAGAAAAAAAAACGTTGTGAAAAATTGACTTCAAGATTATTCAAGGCCTGTAGATTGAACATAGAAACGACATGCAAAACAGACTTCCATGCAAAAGTGTGCTTTGTACCGAATAGCTACCTAAACTCAAGAATTACAATTTATAATACTGTTTATTAAAAACTGGATCATTGGACGATGCAATTCAAGAGTTTTCACTGGCTTAGCCATCATGGGTTATGAGCCATTATACCATGCGGGCGCATGTAGACGAGTTAAACGGAAATTAAAATGTAACACTCTGTTTGTTCTTACAAAAGTAAAGTTGGGAAGATTTATCTTTAGTTTGGGGCGTTTTTAATGAAACAATAATTTAAACTCGCGCTTGTTGGATATGAGATGATTATAGCTATCTATTATCTCATATCCAACGCGCACTTGTGGAATAATTGTTAAATAAACAATGGCAGATCATAACTGTTGTTGAGATTTTGTTCAGGGGGAATGGGTGAGAGGAGGACTTACTACGGAGGAGGGAGGGGGAGGGGAATTAACATTTATTATTTCACACTGTACCTGAACTTGCTGATTGCCGTCCTCCAAAACTCTCAATCTTTTCCGCTTGTTGAGTAAATCGAAAACCTTCAAGCGCATAAAGAGAGACCATTAATAAATCAATTTAATGACCCGCTCTCCCACAACAACAATACAAGTTGTAACTAGTTTTACCTTGCTACCGTAGATCTCAAAATAACTTGCTGAAATAACAAGATCCTTGTTTTTGTGTTTGGGAGCTTTGCTCAATTTGAACACATCAGTAGCTGCAAGGAAACAGAATGAAAAGCATAACTCAACAAGGTGAGATGTGGGGAAAATTACACTTTCGTATACTACCACTGAGCAGATTTCAATTGAATGTTGAGAGTATTCCGGGTTCTTATTACTTTTGCTTCAATGTGCTCTGATTGTTCTAGAAAATTCGCACCACCTTTCCCAACCAATCAGGTGTAAAGATAAAACCAACCACAGCCTTGTCTCCCACGTTTTCCCGCGCTTCAGGCATTGTTTTCCCTCCAAAAATGACTTCTCATTGGCTGCTTGCAATATTTTTTTAACTGTTCCTATTGGCTGTTGTGCCTACGTTGTTTAGGTCTTATGACACCGAATCGAAAAACGCTCTCTCTGAACCTCGGGAGTACAAAGCAAAAATTTGCGCTCTCCCACCTTTAAGCTGAGCGAAGGTTATTTCGACTCTATTAAAAGAAAAAACAAATTAGAAAGAAAAGCACGACAAACCTGCCAAAGCATAAATTCCTTTGGTACAATCCTGTTGTTTCCCAGTAAAAGTACCACCCATGGTCTGAAAAAAAAAGTTTAAAAATTAAGAATCGTGTCTACTTCTTTCTTACAAGAAACGTGTAGTGATAAAAACCTCCCTCGTTTGTCGCTCTACCTCATCTATCGCGCTTTTCTACCATTTTTCTCTGTTTTACTAACTGTACATCTGAAACTGCCTGGTACAAAGTGCGCCACTTAAAAATCCCAAATACTTTAATATTACACCAAGTGCATTTGACGAATACCCCATAACCCTCATTAATTTGCCACAATCTCAAGTGGCAGAAATGTTCATTCATTTAGCGGGTTTCGCAGCGTTGAACACGAGAGACAAGTCTGAAGTCAAATGGTCTTGATCTTAGGTCAGTAACAAGACGTTTATACACAGATTTTGGATGTAAAATACTATAAATCATAACTTTTTCCCTCCAGGGAGCTTCGTTGATATTTTCTGCAGCTTATATTACTTGGATGTTCAATCGACATTCAGAGAAAGAATGTGATACACTGTAAAACATACGTGAGTTTTTCCGCTGCCTGTCTGGCCGTATGCAAAACAAGTCGCCATTCCTTGGTTAAATATCGTGTCCACAAGCGGCTTGGCTGTGTATCTGGGAATACAACGGGCATTGGATGGGTTAAAGATAAGATTTAGAAGGCTTTTAGGCCTTGATATAGTGGTATGACCATTAAATTTTCGACCAAGATCTCTGCATTCTCATGCATGAAGTACCTTAATAGGTATTGCTATTCTTCGTGAAAAGATTACAAATCTGTACAAACGAAAAAGGTTATAAATACAACCGTAATCCGGAAGTTTAATTTCGATGAATTACGATTACAAAGTTAAGTAGATAGAGCGCTTTTCGATGAAATGTTGTAAAATCAAAACCAAACTTATCGCAAGGACCAATACATAATCAGTAGAAAGTTCCATACCATTAAGAACCAATAAGAACTCAAAGTAAAACCCAGCAAACCGCCCAAAGCGCAGGAAAACGCGGGCGACCAAGTCGGGATTGGTTTTAGTTTTGCATCTGATTGGTTGTGAGAGAGCGGCGCATTTTTTTAGAACCAATCACTGGGCGGAGTAAAGCTAAACCAATCCAATCTCGGATTACCTACGATACTCCATTTAAAATTGCTCAAAGACTTACCTGTATACCAATTCATTATTCGCATTTTCGTCAAAAGCGTAATCAAACCTATCGAAATATAAATCAACAAAGAGATCACAGTAAGAAAGAAGGAATCTGTTCTGTCATAGGCATAGGGAGACAAATGCGAGACAAAATCAGCCGGTAAAGGGAGGAAGTATTTGTGAAAATAAATAGTTGGGAAGACTGTCCTTTGAAACATACAATTTGATGGCCCAATGAGACCAACAGTAAACATCGAAAAACGAATGTGAAAGACAGAGTTCTCATTAAACGTTTCTTCGAATACACAAAGTTTGAGAAGTTGCGTGAATTAATAGATGGAAAAAAAATTCATAACTGTTCTGAATACAGAACAACAACAAAAAAAACATTTACCAGAATTTGTGATTCTCCAGGTATTTTGTAAGGTCAACTTTCAGTTTTGGTTCATGAACCTTACAAAAGAAGAAAAAAAAAACATTAAATCAAGGTAAAAAGGAGACATGTTCCTGCCGAGAACTGAGTCAGTGCATGTACTACAATTCACAAACATAATTGAGTTCACAATTAAACAAGTGTGCATACACTTACCACACAATAATCACCCTTGGGTACAATGATAACATCAATTTCCTTTTTGGTGAGTTCTAAATAAACATAAAATTGTAAATAATCTGACTGCAATGACATTGAGCCAAGCTTTTTCATTCTAATACGAAGAACAGCAAAATAAAACAAAAAAGACTCCTAATCATTATTAAACTATTCTGTGGTGCCCTGTATTCAAGACTTCATCTGTATTGATGAACCCTGACAGTGTCTGTTACCTTTCTTTGACAGAGGCCGTTTGCGGACACATACACAAATCTGATGGTCCATCACCTGTTTGGAAAAAAAGAACACACAGACAACATGAAGTTTTTTTATTTCCTATTTTCCCATTTTCCTGTGTTAGAATAAAATCTTGGCACACACTAACTAAGCAGCCATTACTGACTAACTTCCAAGATACTGACTTCTTTCAGAGTATTTAAAAATAACCTCTAACTCCTAGAAGTGATTAACATATAACTTCTCTCCACAGTATCCATACATTTTCTGGCAAACCGGTAATGAGAATATTCAAAGCTATCAGGGGGAGGTTGTTATCTCAGTTTCCATCACCCAATTCTTACATCTAATTTACAAGGAAATGTATTGCAGCTAAAGGGGCAAATGAACAATCAGATCTTGGGAGTTAAATGGTTAAAATCCATCACCATTCTTTGACCACTTAGAATACAGAACAAGAAAATTAATTAACAATTTCAAAAAACCTACCGGGTCAGACATTGTTAGCCCTTTAAAATCTAAATCACTTTGATATTCCCTATTGATTTAAAAAAAAAGAGGCTCTTCATTAGTCATTACATGATCCATTGTCTATGTGAAAAAAGTAATGGACTGTGTAAGAGAAAATTGTCAAAAAAAGAGAAAAAAATTAAAATTGACGGTTAAGACACCTTATCATTTGTATAAATTCCCAATTAGGATTTCCAGGATCCACCTCTTGCTGAAGTCGAAGTTTCATTTCTCTTTGCTCTTGTTGTTGCGCTCTGAATGGTACACAAAGCAAATTCAAAATTCAAATTCTCATAAATATTCAGTATCCAAAAATTTTTCCTCTGGTAAGTGCTGACCAAATTCTTGACTCTCATTTCACTAATCATGCATTTTTAATTCTTTTGGTCCCCAAGAACTTTGCCTACCTTCTTTCCTCTCTGTTCTTTTTCAATCTCTCTATCTCTTTAACACAATTGGAGCGTCTCCTGTTCACTGGAAAAATTCAAGCAGGTATATTTCTCAATAACTGTTTGTTGAGAGGTGTGCTTCAAAAATCTTTCTACAGGAGCACACTCTTTGTACATATATAGTGGCTTCGAAATTTTTTTCACTGGAAACCAAACAAACAAACAGTGACAACAAAACAATAAGGTGCTTTCTGTACCTGGATAAGACTCAGCACTATCTTTCTGTGCTACTTCCATCTGAGAACCTCCATCATCATCATTAGCCAGATTAAGAGCCATAGGACGTTCAACTTTGGCTAGAAAAAGAAAGAAAAAGATTCAATGAACTCAGCACTCAATACAATATGTCCACAATGTGAAGTTTACATAGGTTTCCTTTCCAACAAGAAATATTGCCATTACCCATGTACCCATATCCCCATGTCCTTTTGGACCCCTGTCCCCCATGCTCCCCTGTTCCCTAACTCCTCCTTCTGTTTCACCCTTATTCCCTGCCCCTCCATTCCCATGGCCACTGTTCCCCTCCCCCTTCATTTCCTTCTGTTCCCCAGCTGATCAGATTTTGCTTCAATGTGCTGTACACTCCTAGGTGGAAAAGAGTGTAGTGAGAGCAAATTGTCTTGCCCAAGAACACAACACAATGACTTAGCCAAGTCTACAATGTGCCCCTCTACATCCAGAGCATGGCACCCTTGATGCTAAGCCTACCAGATACTGGCGTCAGTGTGCTGACACTTTGCCACTTTGTCTCTTATTTCAACTTCAGCTCAATGAAGAAAATGAAAGTCTTTTGATGGATAGGAAAAGGTCTTAACAGAGTAACAGGACATTGATGGGATCATTACCCTCTCACTAACATTACTGTATCAATTATTATTAAATTTCAAAACAAACAATAACCTGATTGTGGATGGACTTTGGGTGAAGGAGCACTGTGATTTTCATTCCTTGCATTCTAAAAAAGAAAGAAAGGTATTTTCACCCATAAATAACATCATAAGATAATGCGACAAAGGAAAACTTTTTCCATTCCTACCTTGTTACTGGGTGTGGTTGATATCCGTTTGTTGGACGGAGTGGGCTTTGGTTTGGGTTGAACAACAAGTGTTGGATTCAGAGCAAAGATCTGGTCAATTTCAATCTGTATTAAAGAAAAAAAATGGCACACTGCTTTGAAAAACTCATGCTTTCTTTTGATATGACAGTCTGTAAACAGAAGGAGAATGAAAAATCTCTGTCACATGATCCATGATTATATTAACCTTTTAACTCCCAGAAGTGATTAATATAAAACTTCTCCCTACAATATCCATACATTCTTCAGCAAACAGGTAAAGAGAATATTAAAACTTATCAGGTAGAAGCTGCTGTCTTGATCTAGCACCAAGTTCTCATAACTAATTTACAAGGAAATGTGTAGCAGCTACATGGGAGAATTAACAATCAGACCTTGGGAGTTAAAAGGTTAACTGTTTTCACCTCTTTTCCTTTTGTTTCTCCATTTTCATACCACTCAACAGTCACACTTTTGGTGTCCAGGTTGATGCCACTTATCATGGATGAATGGACACGGCCTAGAAGAAAAAGATAACTTATCACATGAAGGCACTGGCCATTAGTCTGTTAGCTTGATGGATTTGGAGTTTCTTAATTTCCAGAATGTTCAACTTTACCACTCTGCTTGACCTAAGTTGTTTCAAAGCACATCACAATCTGACCTTCTTGTTGTGCTTTTTCAATAGCTAACTTGTTTGATACCCACCAGCTGGGATGTTTAACTAATTATCATCATTTATCTAATTTTTATATCTAAAATTTATATAAATTTTTGTCTCCACAATTGGCACAAGGGTGCTTAATACAAGAAAATGTACCATCCCCAATTTTATTCTTATTTTTTAAAATGAATCTACTACTAAAACAATTCCAACTTTTTTTCTCAAAATCGGGATATTTGCATAAAAAATCAACATATTTTTTCCCAGTTACACTCTGAAAGAAAAACGCGTTAACGAATGCAATGTATACAAGTGTTAAAAAATCTACGTATTTTTAAAATGACTGGGGATTTTGACCAATAGAAACTAAACAAAGAAATGAATAAAAACAGGCTAAAATATTTATTTATCTTACTTTGAATCAACTACTATAATTAGATACATAAGCTAAATTGTACACGCTGGGCAGTTCGGTACTTCGACAAAGATACACAAACAGATCAGACTTAAATTCCTGGGAGACACCACGGGAGACATCGATAACGCTGTTAGACGACTGAAGCGTTGTTTGAATTAATAATCACAATATTTGAATTATTGCAAGTGTAAATAATCGATGAACACCTCTCTTATTGATATCTTGGCTAAAATGTACACCTGGGCAACCGTATTTTAGTCCTAAACTTCATAAAAAAATTAACATAGCATAAGGAAGCAGATCTTTGAATAGGAGAGCAAATTTTGCAGAAAAATTATTATTATGAAACGAGGCGTTACCAGGGAAAATATTAAGAGTTTGAGTTATTTACACGCGAAATAAGGACCGGTTCGCCGTTGACAAATAAATGCGATCGATCATCCAAGGTTACTAAAATTTTAAACTCGATCGCGGGTAACTGAATGTCGTAAAGAAACACTACACAAGTAAAATCTCTTTGTAGCAGATTTAGTGAAAGAGAAAAAAAGGATGTAGAAACGAGTCAAAATAGGCTGAGTCTGTATCAAGGCCAAAAAGTTGTCGTCAACTGCAGACAACACTTAGTTACTACTTTATCACGTACCATCAGTCCGTTGAATGTCGACTTTAATCCCCACCACAAGTTTACCGAACTTGTCCATTGCAGCAGTTGTTTACAGTTTCCCGCAAAAGTACGATCCTTAGAGTTGGGATCTGCAGAGATCAAGTGGCTCATTCGGTTCTGTATTTCAGATTTTCCGCTCAAAATCCTCTCCGCCAGCGCAGACACAAAAATTTACATTTGCAAGAAACGATTAGGCCCGCAATCAAACAGCGGTGGCTCGTAACCGTGATGAATGTTGTATAATAAGTACCATACCGTCCTCAAGAATATTCGGGACAAGTGGCTCAACAGGGAAAGTTCAGTTACAAAAGTGATTCTTTTCGACAGGTCGCCCAAACCTGAGCCTCGACTGGATGGAGGGAAATAGAAATGAGATTGTAGTGAGAGGAAGTTATATTGTAGAGAAATGGGAATGAAATTGTGGTGAGAGGAAATCGTATTGTAGTCACGCTGGAATTAGCAGACACTACTAAAACTCTGACCAAACGTTCGAAGACCCTTTTCAAAAGCGCTCGCAAAATTTACGTACTTAGTTGGAGAAAGGGAAGCGAAGGACTGCATGTCGACAAAAAAATGTTAGACTACGGCTTTTTGTGCTGAGGTGTCGCGGTTTTTTGTCAAAACTGTAGTATAGGTTTCGGGAACACAAGAAAACTTCTGTTTAAGTATCGTGACATTCTCCGGTGACACAGATCATAATCAATCAAACAACGAACAATAAAACAACACCGAACTGAACTGAGTCACTCTCACAGTCCTTTCAGTGAATCATGTACGCGCGCGCGCGTCTTGCGAGTGCAAAACGTCACAGAGCAACCGCGGGCCTGACGTGCGCAAAACGTCACATAACCGTCATAATGCACTTTGTTTCATCACAAAAACCAAAAGCTGTTCTTTGGGCTGGTTTAATTTCCGTAAAGATGAGAAAATGACGACTTTAGGTTACCGAGCTAGTTGATGACAATTACGCTTTGTAACTTTAATAATGCATTGAACAGAAAGCCAAACATTGGCTTTTGGTCGACTGAAAATATATAGCTACTTCTCTGAGAGGAAAAAATTTCAAGTTTCGACCCAAGTAAGTGTTTTCAATTTGTGTCGCAATATTTTACAAGAAATTTTATGCTGTGAAATGAAGCCTAAGTAATTCGTGTAGGGTAACGCAAAGGTGGATTGATGTAGCGTATTTTCACGTAGAAAGAGGAGCATACATGTCGCTGAAAAAATTCCTCTCAGATCTGGAACTTTGTGAACTGAATTGTGGTTCATGCAGAAATTGTAAAAAACAGTTCCAAGACTTTCCTCATCCACTTTTTTAAGACGTTGAGACATTTTAGAAGTAACCAAATGTCTCAATGTTTCAATTCTTGACACAGAATTTCCAACTTTTTTCCAATTCTTCGACCACTACACAGCTCAAACGAACACTTCTTTACTTGTGCGACTTTTCCAGGCCTGGATGTACATTTGCAAGCTGGTGTGAACTCTTAAATCGTGCACACCCTTTCAACTCCTTGCAGACGTTCCCATTGTGTAGCGTTGACGCCGATTTATAAAGTACTTACATCATGGTCGAGTTTCTGGGAACACGTTTTCTTTGCGCTGCAATTTCGAATCCACTGTCGCATCCTGAAAAGGCAAGCTTAACTCTTTCAAATAACGAAGGAGTATCGAGGAAGCTCTTAGTGTCCGCGCCAGGAAGGTTTTTGAGCATATCTATAAAACGTTGTCGTTCTGTTCGGCTTAATGAAGCAGTATAGGGATTCAGTTCTTCGCTAACCGACTTGAGATCTTGCCAAGCATCAATTTCCGCCTACCACTATCTTTAAAGTTTTCGTTTAAGCTTTAAAAGGTGAATATCAGGGCTGTGGTAAACTGGGTCTTGCTGTTCTTCTGGGATTTCTTCCACTATGAAGTGTTCTTTGATAAGCTGAGAACAAGAAAACGAGAAGGGAATTACAATTTTAGTTGGCCATTGCTCTCAGGTTAGGCTGCAGAACAAGCGTCATTTATTTGTGTTTTTCCGGTGACTGAGGGCAAGTACGAAGCGAGCGTGAGGAGCGAGACACGTGCGAGGGGCTGAACATGCGCTAGGAGCGAGACACGGGCGAGAGAGAGAGCGCCAAGAGCGTCCTCTCCTTGCACGTGTCTCACCTTTCGCGCGTGTTTCGCTCTTTGCGCGCCTTGCCCTCTGCGCTTTGCTCGCGTTTGCATACATTCGCCTGATACACTAAAACTGTCGTTTGTTTGCAGACTATCGCAAGGTGTAGGCCTTTATTTCTTGAACTCAACTTAGTGGAGGCATAAAAAAGCCCTTAGCCCCTTCTGATGGGCTGCTAGATTCTCCTTCCAAGCTCCTGCATTTCCTTGGTGAAACATAAGGAGAAATAAGTGTTACAACAAAAGTCTTGGGCTTCATACCTCACACCCCTTGAACTGAAGTTCATTACCTGATGGAATTTTTTCTCCAGCTGAGGCTTATTACCAGTTGTTCTCTCTTCATAGGTTATCAAAATAGTTGTGTTCTCATTGCTCAGATCACAAAGTGTAGACACAAGAGGTTCTAAGGACTAACAATAAGAGAAAATTTTAAATCATTCAGGCTCATCAAAAGACAAACAATTTCACAGGCAGGCTTGTGTGATGGACAACTCAATCACAGGCAACCATTTAACCCTCAAACCAAGCATCAGTATGCATATTCTCTTTACTGTTCCCTTTAAATTTCCTAAGATGTTGACAGGGAGAATTTGTTCAACAATCAAGAACTTCTTTAGTTGGAGATCATTTCCTTTTTTTCTTATGACCTTAATGTTTAATTCAGTAGTGATGTTGTAAGGAGAATTTAAATGCTTGTCACTCCTAGGGAACAAAGGGCTAACCCTTTAACTCCCAAGAGCTGATTGTTAATTCTCTCCCCTAGCTCCTACACATTTCTTTATGAATTAGTTCAGAGAATTTGGTGTTGGATCAAGACAACAACTTCAACCTGATAAGTTTAAGAATTCTCATTACCTTTTTTTTTTATAATGTATGGATTTGATAAGGAGAAGTTACATGTTAATCACTTCTGGAAGTTAAAGGGTTAACCCTTTCACCCCCACAAGTGACCAAGACAGAATTTCTCCTTACAATATCAATACAATATCAAGCAGGCAGGTGATGAGAATAGAGAAGAATATCAGCCATGGGATTATTAGTTGATCCAATACCAAATTCTCTGAACTAACATCATAGGAATTGTATGGCAGATAGTAAGGAGAATTACTAATCAGATCTTGGGAGTCAAAGGGTTAAACTTGAAGAGGAGAGCTCAGGACAACACTGTATAAGGGAAAGAAAAAGAGTATTAGGCTGTAAAGAGATAAGAGGCAAGAGCCAAGAATTTCTTGGATGGTTGGCTTGAGTGCAATAGAAAAAAAAAAAAGTTCAACAAAAGTATTCTAACCTCTTCATAGTAAATGCAATCAGCAACAAGGACAAGATCTGGGCAGGGTTGAAATGCTGACACATCTTGACCCCTAAGTTTCCAGACATGAAATACATTAGCCTCTTACATGTAACAGACTCTCACTAGGCTGCTTCACAAGAATATAATGGCCAGGCTTCTTGTAAAGCCTGCAGATGTGCTAGTAAAAGCCAGCTTGCAGGCTGAAAGAACATAAGAAATGATATCACAAATGACACAAATATCCTGTGAAGGAGAAATGCATGATGAGAGGAATGGAAAGGAAAGGGGCAGATAAAAATGAAGGTTTCTTACCATTTTAAGGTGGCAGCTGTAAATGTTCCAGTTATCATATACTGATTGCTAGTTTTGTTCAATTCAATAAGTGGTACAACCTCGGGCAAGTCTGTACAGCACACATGTGCACTGAAAATTATAGCAAAATAATTTGAGATAAAAAGAAGCTAACTTTGCGCAAATATTTGTTGATGAAGCAAACAACACTCCTTAAGGTGAGACACTTTTTAGGTGCAAACCATTTGAAAACTGGTTCAAACAACAAGGCGCCCCCTTAGTAAATGCTTAGAGGGTTCCAGAACTTCACAACAGTTGAATATTCCATCTTTTAAAACTAAAACAGGGCAGCAATCCTTTTTTTATAGAATTGTTAATATATGGAATAATTTACCATCTGAAATCAAACTTAGCCAATCTCTAAATAATTTTGAGCATAATTTAAGAAGGCATCTTTTGAAAAACTTTTTGCAATGAGCTGTTCCATCATCCTTTTACTTAGTCTTAAACACTTATTTTGATTACCCTTTTAATATTTATCCTTTGATTCAATAACTATTTATTTAAATTATCATTGAAAAATCCCCATGGGGAGTTGTTAATAAATATATCTTATTAGATGTTTTGGTGTGTAGTATTGCTGAGTATTTTGACGAGTTGTTCTGTATTTTGATGAGCCTAAAGGGCGAGTCAAAACACAAACAACAAGTAAAATACTCAGGGATACTACACACCAAAATGCCTAGTAATAAGTTATTTTTTATCGAACTAATTTTTTTTTCTGTTAAGTATTTCTGCTCATTATTCACAAGGTAGGAAAAGCAAAGTGGATAGAGAGACATAGTGCATGCGGCCAACTGGTTACACAGGTTTTTTTTTTACAGTAAAAAATAATCAACAATCCAAATGACTGTACAATATTGCAGGATATTTGTACTCTATTTGTATGTTATTTGCACTCTGCTTTGTGCGGTTGGTTAATAAAGTATTGTATTGTATTTTATGAACAACTTTCTAAGCTCGAAACTTCTCTTGAGTGGAGGCCTCTTCAAAGTGGACATCGCCTCTAGGCTGAACAGGTTTCAATGATGAACGCCTCCCGAGTGGACACCTTTTTAAGGTGGTAATATATCTATGGAGGACACTTCCCTATGATGTCTTCCTCTCTTGAGTGCACCCTTCCATAACATGGACACCTCTCTAAGTTGGAGAACTCTTTTAAGTGGAACCAACTCTGATTTGGATCATTTTACACTACGGTACTTACCTATTCAAGGCAAGTGAGCTCCTTAACCTACGCTTACAAAATGTTGGCCGCGGAATAAAGGGATTGGATAGTAAACGGGTGTCATGAAGAAGTAAAGAGGTGATCCTTTTAAAAAGGTATAATCATTGCTCATTACAACGAAGTGGTGTATTACCCGCACGAGGCAGCTATTAGTCCAACCACACCAGTACCGGCACCTAGTTCCACAACTTGCTTATTCACGAGGTGTTTTGTGGGGCAAAAGTGCTCTGTTTGTAGATATTTCGCAAGAACTAGGGCAGCATCCCATACAACACAACTTTCGTCACCTACTTCAGCTTGCTTGATCTTAAGTATTCCATCTTTACACTCGATTTCTCTCTCAAATGTACGATCGCAGAGATCTGCACCTTTGGCCGCCATGCTAAAGCTCAGACGGCAACCGCTGACTATTAAGGAACAGCTGTGGCTTAAGAGGAGATTAAAACGAGCATAGTAACTGCACCGATGGCTACACGGACCCCCAGGCTTAGGGCTCATTTCAAAGCTTTAGAACTAAGGGAAAGGGAAACATCTAACCCAACCACCCCATAGCAATCTTTCCAGGCTTCGCCTATCATTTTTATGGACGCTTTCGTGATGCAAATATTAGGAACAATTAATTCCCTTGCTTTGACTGTAAGGGTTTCCTAACAGCCCCCATTAACTTCTTCTTGAAGTGATTAACTTCCAACTTCTCTCCACGATATTCATAGTTTATCCTGCATGCAGGTATTGAGAATAATCCAACTTAGCAGCTAGGGGGGACAATTAAAATCAGATCTTGGGGGTTGGAGAAGTACCAAATCACTTCATTTTAAATCATTATTTCTACAACAAAGTAATTTCCATACAACAACGTCAAAACAATGTGAATCCTTTTATTAATTAAAAATGCAACGCAAGGCAAATCTGTACGTCAGTTGAATCTGACGTTTAGGCTTCAGATTTCGTTACAGTTCCTGATTTGGTGCAAATAACAACATCACCCCCTAACTAATGAGTTATTCGTGTGCCGATTCTCTCACATTTACGTCATTCTTTCTGTTTGTATTGAAAGATCATGACCTGTTATCAACATATATAATCTCATTACAATCATCCATACATTCCTTATAATAACATTTAGGAGAATCTGGAGTTTGTATGATCCAAGCACCAGTATACAATTTCTCCTTTAGGGTCTCTATGATTTTTTTCAATGCCAGCTGGGAGAAGTCCGTTTTTGATCAGGTTACACCCTTCAAGTCCTGCAAGAACTAGAGTTTTGGCGATTTTGAAAAACTCAGAGGTTTTAGACTTTACGGTATCATTAATAACAAATATTTGTTTTTTCTCCAAGTAGAAAATTCTGTACAAATATGTCCTTTCAGATTACAGTTCCCCGCCATGTTCATGTAAATGTGCGCCCTCTAGGTCAATATCCTGACATGCTGCAGGAGTTTTAAATTCCATGCGGTATTCACATCTGCTGGGCTCTGATACTTGAACCACCTCGTTTGCTGAGCCACAACGAAGGATTACCTGCAAAGAAAAGGAAAATTTTCTCTCTAAAATTGTTACATATCGGACCTTGTGTCATATGGAAGTTAACTTTGCTCTCGGTTTTTGCAGGTTAGGAGTTCGAGTTTCGTTGAAACCGTATGAGTGAAGGGATATCCTCGGAAAACGTCATTTACTTTTTCTTGTTCCATTTGGCTAGATTTTCGAATGGACTATTTCGCAAAAATCTTCGATGGCTAACACATGCTTTTGGAAGACTAGTAAACGATGATGCCACAGACAAAAGAAAACATTTGAGGAATTTCTTTGAGTATGAAATCCAAGATTGTATTGCTTTACTTTCACTACGCACTGCGATTGATTATAAAAAAAAAAAAAACTCACGCCACTTGCTCAACCACTCAGATGCAAAACTAAAAGTACGATTGGTTACTCGCGTTTTCCCGCGCTTTTGACAGTTTATTCGTCCTAACTTGAGTTCCCATTGGCTCCTTGGGGTATCTTCATGTGCTCTGATTGGTCATTTTGGCTACTTGGCTTAGGTTCTAGAAACTCACTGAGCGTCTAAGACTAAACTTTGAACGTGACGGTCAAAGCTAATCTTTACTCACCTCAGCTGATCTGCTAGGTCCGTTCCAACAGCTCTGTCCTCCTGAATATTTCATACGGCTGTACTTATTGGGGTCACCTGTCCATTCACCCCATGTTCTACAAAAGATTCACCTCAAAATTACAAGGTTACCAAATCCGCGATTTTAACATTCGAGGTAACTCAGTTCCAAGTTATTCATACGGCTTCAAAGATGGCCCTGCGCGTTCTTTTTCCTTTAACAATAAGCGACAACAAGGGGGTGACTACAAAGCCATGAAGATACATTTTCTCCGCGTAATCAGGCTTTTTAACTAGCAAATTATACTTGTAAGAAATGGTACAAACACAAATGGACTTCATATTTCCTGCCATCAGAACTAACTCTGCATGTTGTTCATACATTTTTCATGTAGCTATAGATAAATGACAAGTTTTAACTAAACGTTCTGTTTTTTGGGAAGCACGAAACGCTAGTTTTGAGAGCATTCATGTCGCCAAAGTTTTGCCTGGGTTTGACCCAAAAGTAAAACTCACCCCAGAGAGGTTTCTGAGCCTCCATCTTTGGGCTGCTGTGAAGCTCTGTCAAATGGACACAGTTTGTACACATACCTAACAATTGGGAATACACACAAGCGTAAACAAGATGTTTAGACCAAAAATATCTACTCACCATACATAAAAAAGGAAAGCAAAAACAGAAACAAAAATACAAGAAAAAAAAAAAAACTACAACAATACAGACAAACAAACAAATGAACAAAATAATTTCTTAAAAGGACCACTTTCCTCATTTCAGTTTTGGACTTGGGTTTGGTCTGTTCCATACTAGAGCGGTAAACAGACATCCTGCGCTCAGCCTATTCCCCCATGCACCACCCACGGTCCCCTAAATACCAGGGGGGGGGGGAAGGGAGAGGGAAACTTTTTCGGTTTTATATTGTATCACTTACTCTCTGTCGGTGTATTCAAAACATTGTCCCTGAAGGGGCGAAAACTCTTCTTGCTGGCCAAGGTTCAGATTCAACGTTCGCTCAAGGTCACTAAAATCCAGGAAAAAATAAAACAGCTCAATGAATGCAAAATCAAGAACCGATGGCGAGAAAAAAGAGGAACAAACGGACGAATAAATGGAATGTTAAGTGTACGAGTAAGTTGACAAAATAAGCGAAAAACTAACAGACGAACAAACAAGAGAGCGACCGAACGAACAGCTTCTTTAAGAATCCTCAAACCTGATTTCTCTTTCTGCGTCATTTGAAGCGGTATCTGCAGCATTAAACTCCTTTCTAGCATCATCAGCAGCTAAAATATGCAAAAAATAAAAAACAAAAAACGAAGGAAAAAATATTACATGAAAAAAATCAGACCTTGTAAAGATACAATAGCAAAAGATTTTAACCGTCATCAAAATGGTCCTCATAACGGCTCTGTGAGCAGTCACTGGTCTGAATATGAGCCCACGAACTCTATCCGAAGAAACTCGCCTCTTCTCGGGGAGGAACGAAGATCGGGCAAGAGAGATCGGAAAAAATCGAGTCCGAGTATAGACATGGCCTCCAAAGAATACTCTAACTAATGTGTTAACATTAATAACCCTTCAACTTACCAGAAATTTTTGCTTTTGTTTCCTCGTCATAGTCCGGCATCTTCAAATCATCATCTCTGCTATCTGCAAAGTTATAAGTTGAAAAAGAACAGAATCTTACTGTCAAAGAACTTGCTCGCGTCATGGCTAGCGGCCTTCGTACAGAGATTTTTCCAAAAGGCGCGCCGATACCCTTTAACTCCCAAGATCTGATTCTTAACCCTCCACAGTAGCGGCTACACATTTCCTAGTAAATTAGTTACCAGAATTTGGTAACTAATTAGAATTAGATCGAGATAACAACTTCATCCTGATAAGTTTGAGTATTCTCATTCCTTGTTTGCTGGACAGTGTGGGGATATTATCGGGAGAAGTTACAAGTCTATCACTTTTAGGTGTTAAAGGTTTAACTGGTTAACGCACCTTCTGGGTTTGGTTCAGGTATTTTCTTCTCGGCCTCCTCTTTGATTTCGTCCACGTGTTCGTCTCTATCATCATCTTCGTCGTCTTCGTCATCATCTTCTTCACCAGGAACGTCTGGAAGATCTTCATCATCAAAATTTTCGTCAGCTGGAGGAGGCAGAGGGGGAGACTCGGGTGTATCACCTGCTGATGGGGATAGGAAAATGTTTAGAGCACTTTTCGACTTAGTCTCGTTGCAATTTTTAGAATTTCGAAATGAATCCTGGACTGTCTCTGTGATTGGCTCAGAAAACTCGCACCACCCTCTGAACCAATCAGATACAAACCTAAAACCAACCGCGTCATGGTCATTAGCGCTTTCCCGCGCTTTAGCAATTTACTTGCTTTAACTGTGTGTTCTCGTTGGCTCCTTGTGATATATTCCTTCGTTCTGATTGGCTGCTGTGAAATGCGCACGACGAACTGGTACAATGAAGCAAGTAAAACGCCTGACGCACGGGAAAACGAGAAAAAGAAAGCACATTGAACAAATTTAAAAACAAACCTTCTGTGGGTTTATCTTCGCCTTCAGTTGTAACTGATTCATCTGCAGGTGGTGGCTGGGACTAAAATCACAGAGCAAACAAAAATGAAAATTACAAATTGTGAAAATTAACTAGTACTTTCATTAATTTTAGGACAGTTTTAAATTGTTTCCTGTTCAGATTGGGATTTGGATGAAATATTTGTTACATAAACAAACATTCTCCGTGTGACTTGCCGAAATGTCATTGTGACCAAGCCTTAAAAAAATCATGATAATAATACCTGCTTGGCACCAAATTTTTCTTTGAAATTGCTCCACAATGCAGAGAAAAAGCCTTCAAAATCTGACTCCTCATATCCTCCTAGCAGCTCCTAAAAATATATACAAATCTATTAATTTAAAATTGAAAATAAACAGATGGGGAAAAGGTACCAAAGCATCTAAATTACGTTTCTCTGATTTTAACATGTTGCAGTGACTAAGCATTACCTTGGCCTCTTCTTCACCATATTTTTTATCCAGAAGATCAGTATTAATAACCTCTTGTGCTGTCACACTACAAGAAAGACAATTCCTCTATGATTTAATTTAAAAATTGAATTATTTCTTCTGTTTAACCCTTTCACTCCTACAAGTGACCAAGACAGAATTTCTCCTTACAATATCAATACAATATCAAGCAGGCAAGTGATGAGAATAGAGAAGAATATAAATCATGGGATTATTAGTTGATCCAATACCAAATTCTCTGAACTAACATCATAAGAATTGTATGGCAGATAGTAAGGAGAAAAACTAATTAGATCTTGGGAGTGAAAGGGTTAAGAAGAGGAAAATGTGTAAATCCAGAAAGGGAAATGGAAAGAAATGGGAGATGATATAAGGTAATTACCGTCCATCCTCATCTGTATCCAGAGCTTTGAATGAAGACTCAGCAGATGCTCTGTCTCTTTCTGCCACAATTTTTGCTTTGGTTTCTAAAAATGAAGAAAACACCAGACAAAGAGGTTATGAGTCAATCAATTAAAAGCTTCAACACCCCCCCCCCCTCCCCTGCTCACCCAGGTAACCCCCCTGGCATTTGAACTTTAAAAGATTGTTCTGATAAAATTTCCACACCACTGGGCAAAAAATAGTGTTAAAATGCCCCTGCTTCGAATCTATTGGTGCATCACAAGATTATTGCATCTTCTACTCTTGAATCAGAAATTTTACACCATTGCAGTATTCACCTCATGAGTTGAACATTATAGTGTCCCTTACCTTCCCAGTCCTTCTCATGATTATCCTTAGCTTCCTTTTCAACTCCTTCAACCTCCTCTTTTTTGGCTGCCATTACACAAAAAAAATATATTTACAAAATCATCTCTATTGCAAAAAAAACAACAAATGTATCTATTCAAATATGTCAGTACCTTTCAAGTTTTCAACAACAGCTTTCTTCTCCTCCAGCTGTTTCTTCAATTCTTCAAGCTTTTGCTGTGTAATAAAATGTAGTGAGTAAATTTTCTCCAATAGAAAAATATTAAGTAACCAGAGCATTCTAAGACACCAAGCAACTGTACCTTTCTTTCTTCTTTTTTACCCTGACCTTGCTGACTGTAATCTTGTTTAATAGCCAGCCCCTTAAAAAAATCATCAAACTCCATAAATGACAGATATTAAAAGGAAACACTGTGTATCAAGCAAAGAAATAATTCTCGCAGATGGACTGCAATTCAAGCAATTGAAGAGAAGAAGTGTGAAAAATCTTCAGCTTTTACAGGATACCAACTTGTGCCTCCCAGATGCTAGTTGGATGCCACTACCAACTGAAGTTACATGTGGGAGAAAGGAAGATTTTAGAGGGTTCGTCTTTCACATGAAGGAAACTGAATGAAAATTGCTAGTCTCATACATATATACATAAAAAAGGTAAGGCTAAATCAGATCCTCTAGATTCTGATCCACTAACCTGCTTTGCCAGTTCAGCTTCTTCCCGCTGTTTCTGGAACAATTCTCTATAAAGTTCCCTAAAAATGTCACAAATAAATGTGCCTTTTATCAACAAGTGTGCACACTTTTCTAGCCAGTATGTTTATTTACTAGACTGACAGAAAGAAAGATAGAGAGACTGTAGACTTGAAGAGATGATGTGGACAAACAAACAGACAGAAAATCTGAATCCTTAGCTTATAAAATGTAGCCATGCAAACTTTCACCCAGGCAATAAATTCAGCACTGAATGAATTGGTAACAGGCTTCTCACTCTCCTTTCTCCTCTCGGCTCAAGTGAGCAATGGTCAGTGTTTGGCAAACTGAGTGCGATTCACAGAGAAAGGGTGCAACTTATCTCTACTTGTAGATAAAGTTTGTTTCCAGAAAATACTTTCAGTTATGTCATGAGCTAATTACAAAAGCTTCATTACAAAAGCTTAGTCTGGGCGCAGACCCTAATTTTTTTATTAGTACTGTGGCAAGGGCATTTCTTTGCCTGCAAGAAAGTTTAAGGCCTGAGACAAAGCCAGCTAAAGAGAGGTCTGCAAGGGATTCTGGTGCCTCATTACTAGTGCCAGATCCCTTACAGACCAATCCCTAGCTCACTTTGCTCTACCTTTTGACCTAGCAACTTATTTTACCTTATAACATCATCCCTGAATCACTCATCAAGGGCACGAGAATAAAGAAAAAGACTACCAACTTTAAATAAAAAGCTCTTGATTGAAAAACAAATTCTCTTTTTCAGTACCTTAGGAAATGTATAGAGAACAGTATGGAGAATATGCATACTGATGTTAGGGTGTGAAGGGTTAAAGCCTTAAGACGTATTTTGGTATCACTGACTGAATTGATAATGTAAATTGGCCACCTTAAAGAGTTTCAAAGCTGATGTTTGATCGTTAGCACTTTGTTAGTCATTCACTCTGACAAAGGGCTAATGCTCAAAACACCAGCTTTGAAACTCTTTATAGGGACCAATTTATGCTATCAACCAAGTCGATAACACCAAATTACCTTGTACCTCTCCTACCCATGCAGCACCACAGTTTCTTTAGAAACTTACCCCCTTTATTCATTTGGCTGATAATGATGGCGTACATGTACTTGTGGGCTAGCACAAGCTTATCAAGATTTATTTACCACAAAATGACCCCACTTCGGACCTCGACCTCGACCTCTTGAAGTCTAGGGACCTTTCTAATATAAATGTGGGTCACACATAAGAACAGCAAGGAAGTCTTTAAAGTATGCTTACTTGCAAGTATTTGGACAGGTTACGGTGCCATCATATTCATCACTGCCATCACAACAGTCTGAAAAACAATTTGGAAGTTTACCCCTTAGATTCATTATTTTCATGGCTGAGCATTATTAAATTAAATGTTGGCATAACACTAACAGACGTGCTTGTTTATCAAGCAAAAGGATAGCAACATACCACAAATTTCATCATTGACTCTGGAAGATGGAATATTTAAGGGCTTAAACCCAGCATTTGTACAGTGAAATTTTCCATTAGTGCAAGCTGATGTTCCTGAAAAGCATGGAATAGCAGAGTTACTACAAAGTGATTTGTGGGGAAAAGTATTGTTGAAAACCATTAGTAAGTAACTTTCATTTTACTTCTTGTTATAGAGAAATGCAAATTGTGTTGTTCTAAGTTGATTTGGTTTTAACAACTACGTTGATAATGTAAATTAACCACCCTTGAAGAGTTTTGCTCTGATGAAGGGCTAACACAATGCGTGAAACATTGGCTTTGGAAACTCTTTATGATGACCAATTTACATTTATCAACTCAGTTGATAAAAACAAATTACCTTATTGTAACCCCACTGATGCAGCACCACAGTTTCTTTGGAGATTTACCCCCTTTATTCATTTGTTCTAAGTTGGTTTGAAGTACATTAAGGTAAAAATACCATCAAAGTAAGGACAAGCAGCAACAACAAACTGAACCTAGGTGCGTTTATGCAGATTTAGGTTTGGGAGTCAAACCTGCCATAGCTACGGCAGCGAGAGACAAACACTTTCACTACTGTTTCATTCTACACCCCCTAAGTGCACAGGACATTTGCAACTCACAATGGAATTACTATATACAGTTGCAATTGCACAGACCTGGTTCATCAGTGCCATCAACACAGTCACAAAAATCATCATTTACACTATTAAATGGAACAGTTGCAGATTTATCCAAGCAAGTGAAGTCCCTGGATGGATCATAAAATGCTAACCCTGAAATCACAAAAAGAGAAGAGCTTTTGATCAAAATCATTTTAGAAGTCTAAAAAATACCTTAACACTTTAAAGATGTTGCATTTCAAACTAAAAATTTAGCTTCAGGGGTGTATCTTAAATACTTCTCCCTTTTTTTTTTATTCATAAGAACTTGAAAAGACAAATACAGTTACACTGTATCTTCTTGTTCTCTTTGACTGAAAAGCATATTCTACTTCAGTAGCAATCCACATCCGAAGTGACCACATCATGAGATAAATGATTTTGTTTCTCTTTTGAAGTGTTATTAACCACAATGACTAACCCCAACCCATTTTACAAGCATATACTAGTCTTACTCAATGTAGCATCAGACTACAATGCTCACAAGCGAACACTCCACCACCCAGAAGCAATCCATAAATAAATCATCCTTACAGTTGTAATGCAATGACAGGCAGACAAGTGGTGAGAAATCAGAACACTATCAATGATCTGGAGGTCAAGAACAGCCAACAAAGAAATTCATCAAAGGACTTCAATGACTGTTTCTCTCCCAAGATCTCATTAGCAATTCTCCTTACTGTCTGCCATACAATACTTATGATCTTAGTTTGGAGAATTTGGTGTTGGATCAACTAAGAATCGGTACATTTTTTTAAAATTTCTTCATTTGCGTGCTTGATATTGGAAGGGAAAATTCTGTCTTGGTCACTCTTGGGAGTTAAAGGGTTAAGATAATTTGTCATTTGGTGTCAAGAATGATACGATTTAAGCATCCAAGGATACATATCTTATAAAAAATAAATGACTACAGCGGATGGCGCCATTAATTAAAATTAAAAAAAACTGAGGCCGGCATAATTGACCTTGTTCAATTTCATGGCGCATCGCCAACTCGACAAATTCTATGTTTTAAAAATCTAACGTGCGATAACGCTGCCATTAAATCAAATCAGGCGCTTGCTGTAGCAATTTTTTTTGGCAACTTTCGTATTAAAAAATGTGTGCAAAGATATTAAATGCGAGATTTAGTCTTAAGTTACTTTTTTCTTCTAGTGACTTCAGTTCACGACGTTATCTTTCCTTAATTAAACGACGCAAATTAGCAAATAAATTCATATTGGGCCGTGATCTACTTACTAGTAAGTGCCACTCCTCTTATAGTGGACGCTGTAGCTATATACAAGTTAGATAGAAAAATCGCAATTATAACTAGAGAAATTTTTCCTATTTGAGATAAGCCCTGGAACGCCGCCATGTTGAATACACGTGTCGTCAGGAGACTGAGTCAACCTCGTTTCCAATCTTTGACCGCGAAGAACTGGAAAGCTGTAATACGAAATTCCCGCGAAATACAGAGCCCCGCTGTTCAAGGAGTTCGCGGGAGCGTTCCTTCGTTGTGTGATTGCCAAATTTCCCGATAACGGCGTGATGAGATGGCGACGTCCGATTTTTCGGTTGTAATCACGAAAATGAAAGCTCGCCACGTCACTGCAGGATGACATTTCACAAAGGATTGTATTGAAAGGCTATGGAAGCTCCTGAAAAGCTTTCAAGCGACGAACAAAGGTGAAAAACAACTGGTTATGGGGTATCATTTTCAAGCTCGAGTACTTTATTTAGGGACAACCGTATTTTGATTTATTCCGCTCTACTTGTCCTCATTCTTGCTTGCCTTTATTTACATCTCTTGATTTCTTGCTGAGAATGTGATATTTTTAGAAAGAAGTATAGCATGACCAAGCTTTCTTTATCAATTGGAATTTTTGAACCTCTTTCAAATAAAGCAATATACACGGACAAGTACTTGAAATTTGTACATGAATTGTCCGAGATGCGTGTTTTCGTCGCGGCTAAATATCCGTCTAGCTGCTTATTTAAAAACAACTTAGTCAGTCAATCAAAAAATTTTCTACCTGCCTTTCTTTTAATGGTGTGCTTCTCAGAGAATTAGTGCATGTGTGTGCGATTGGTAATCGTCATTTGGTTAATCATAAACCGAAACGAGGTGAGGAAGTTGTAAACAATGGTTTGACCGGATCTTCACTTTTTGAACGTGTGGACTGCATCATTTTGAGCTGAAGATCTATCACCTGAAGGGTGGCATGATAAATTTTTGTATGTTCTACACTGTATTACTGTACGGTGTTTTTCAGTTTATAATCAAAGGTTATTCCACAGGTGTTAATTTACTGTTAATGAGATAAGGAGTCTCTGAGCTAGACAGTCTGGCTCAGTTTTTGAGATCTCACCTTGCCCCTCTTTTCTATGCAAAATATTCAGTGAAAATGTGTTGAGAAGAACATATCCTTTGGTGTGGGACATTGCATTTCTTTCAAACAAAATCTGGAGTACAACAAAGGTTTCCAATTAACCCCATGTCATTCCAAGATAAAGCCTCAATGCTTGAGGAAATTGATAGTTTTTCTATTTTTTTAACTATCAAATAACAGAAATCTTGCCAAGCACAGTTCGAAACAGGAAAAACTTTGAAGGTTATATGTTGTTCATCTCTGCAATGTAACAAACAATTTTACACATGAAAAGAGGACAAATGGTTTTCCCACAAATCGGTCCAACTCATGGCCAGTTGCTGAACTCAAATTAAAGAAAGAGGCAATCAGTTTGGTAATAGTAACTTTTACTTGTCCAAGCAATCCATCATCTATTTGACTGGAAGGCCATTTACAAATGCATTAGGTATGAATCGATGACCAGGAAGGAGTTTTCCTTGGTATACCGAAGCTCCTTAATTTTGAAAATAGCAAGAAGATTATGTTATTTCATCTTTCAGTGAAAGAGCTGAGAAGTTCTATGACCAGGCTCTGCTTTTAGTGGATTGCTGCAAGATCCCTGAAGCAATTAAATTGTTTGAAAAGGTTTGTGGCTTTCACATTTAAATGAGCTGACTTCTGAATGAAAGTTATCTGTATTCAGGTCAAGTTAGACTTCACCCTTTCCATCCCATCTGAATTTTCTTGTTATCATTCCCCTTGAGATCAAGTTAGCAAACTCACATGATCTGTAGACACTGAACTTTGTATATCAAATCATCATCTCTCTGGGATCTTTGCCAAGCTGACTTAACCCTTGAACCTTAATTGTGATCAGAATGTACTGTAACTTCCTGTTACAATTTGATACATTATCTAGCAAATTGGTAGGGTGAAGAAACTAAATGATCAGCTGTAGGATCTCATGTTAATCCTTGTACCCTTACACCAGTATGCATGTTCTCCATACTGTTCTCTACCTATTTGCTACAGTGGTGACAAGGAGAATTTGTTGAACAATCAAGAGCCTCTATGGTTGGGAATCATATCCTTTATTTTCTTGACCTAAGTGTGTGATTCAGGGGTGATATTGTGAGGAGAAATAAGGTGTCAATCACTCTTATGGTTCAAGGTGTTTATGTTATAGTAACACCATATTCAGTTCATCAATAATCCAGAGGGAAATATAAATTGTATGGCAGTCAAGACTAGAGGGTTTGAAGTCATACATGTATCTTGTTAGTCAAAGTGTTGATGACCAGTCTATACTTGTTTACTTTCATCCATTAAATAGTTTATCTCTCTTCCTGTTCAAAGATATATGCACATACAATTTGAAATGTTTTTCACTGCAGGCCTGTCAGCTCAAACCTGACTGTGAAGTCTATAAAGAAACGCTGGATTTCTTTCAGGCAAAAGCAGATCTTTTAGACAACAAACAACAAGGATTAAGCTATGCCAGTGTCTCCAGGCCAAAACCAAGCTGTGGGAAAGCAGAACAGAAAAGTTATTCTGCTGAATGGAATGTAAAAAAGGCAAGAGGCAAAGTGCCAGAGGTTTCAACTTGTTATTACAGCCATGCTGATGAGCAGGCTACTATTGACAATCCATGGGCTTCCTATGTGAGCAGAAGTCATCGAAAGAGGAGTACTCCAAGCAGCCCAATCGATGGTCTTACTGAGATTGATCTTCCTCAGATGAGTGAGGACATGTGGTACAGTTCTGGAAGTCAAAGTTTGAAACAAGACTATGATTGCCAAGATCGGGATGAAGTTGATAGTTTTTTCAGTTCATCGCTAAACACACCCATCAGTTCACAGGAAGCATTGAATGAGGATAGCAGTGTTTGTGATCATAAACAGGAAAATCACAGTGATGACACAGTTGATGCTTTTGTTAACCAGAGGGAAGAATGCCCAGAGGAGTTTTATGAAGACAGTGGCAACTATGAGGAAGATGTAGATTCAAGATTTCTTGATGAATTATGTGCAGCACGAGAAACATTTTTAGATGACTGGGCTAAATACTATGATGTGTTAAATAGGGATTTGAAAGAAGAGTCACCATGCTCTGAATCAGGTGTTTTAAATCAGGGTGTTTCCACACCTTTGGAATATTCTGACAGTTTTGATGATGCAAAGAGTATTAAAGATAAGAAAAAGATAAATCACTCAGGGAAAGAAAAATCAAATTCTGAGAAACCTGAATCTAAGATCAGCTGTGATGTATGTGCAAATTGTGGGAAACCAAAGGAAGGCAGAACTCAACCTTGTAATACACCAAAAAACAGAATTCACTTTGTAAATGGTACCTGCATTTCTAGTGCTAATTCACCTATAAGTAATTGTACTTGTAACAGGAAACATTCAGTGAAGGGTGTTTTTAAAGGAAAATCTGGAAAGACACCCCTTTCTACTTCACAGCAAGAGTTTTATCAAAACCTTCAGAACTACTTTGGCAGTGGAGCAGTTAAGAGTATGAAGACAGATTCTAAAGTAAAGAAAGAAAGTTCCTCTGGTGGTATGGATGCAAATTGTGCCACAAACTTAAATTCGTCATCCTTAAGCAATGAACCATCAAAGGTTAAATCTAGTCAGAATGTTGCAGAAAGTGATGAGTGTAATGCAAAAGCTAGTAAACACTCTGATGACTTTGCTTCAAAGGAACAATTGACCGATGGGGTTGAAGGTTTGAGGTCATCGTTCAGTGAAGATGGAGTGGTGAAAGACAAGATGTCATTTGATGAGGGTAGATTTCACCAGGAAAGTTTCAGTGAAGGACGGAAGGTGGGTGACAATGTTGACAATAACACCAAGGCCTCAGTTAACACAGAACATGTTAAGAGTTCAAAGGAAAGAACTGATTCTCACTGGCGACCACGGTTTAAGGCTGGTGTGAAATCTAAAGTCAGTCATAGGGCAAAGAGTATAGATCCTGCCGAAACAAGGAAGCCTTCAAATACACATGTCAAAGAGAGATCAAGATTGAAACCAAGGACAGAGAGAACTGTTCACGCAGAGTTTGACTTGTCTAAGCTTACATCTGGTCTTTATTGCACAGGTATTTTTGTTCAGTTTTCTTTCTATCATCCCCTCTTACCTTAATTCCTTCTGTCTTACTTTCCCCTTTTTCTCTTTTCCTCTGTTCCTCATTCTGTCCTTTCCCACCATTCTTTTTTACTTCTTTCCTCACATTCTCCCTAGTTGGTCCCTTACCTTCTTATTTTTTGTCTCTCCCTCTCTCTCTTTTCTCTCTCTCTCTCCTGTCTTACTCTCTTCATCCTTCCATCCTCCCACTCTTCCTTCCTTACACTCTGCCCTACTTCTTTCCTCTCTCCCTCCCTCAGCCATTCCTGCTTTACCTCCCTCCATCCTTTGTCCTTCCTTCAGCACTCCCATTTTCTTTCCTTCCATCACTCTTCCTTCCGTTCTCCTTTCATTCCCTTGTTATATCATTCTGTCTTCACTTTGTTCTTTATTCTTAATGTGTAATTTGCCATATTTTGATATTTCTATGCTGTCTTTAAGGTGTAGCAGTTTTAAGTAAGAGTGGTCAAGCAGTGAAGTCTATTTTCTACTATGTTCTACTCCTTCTGGCTTTGCTTTTTGGCTTTTTCATTTATTGGTGAGTGGAAAGTTTGGTCTTTAAAAGATCTGTACTAAAATCTGTGAATATTACCCCTACACCTATTTCTTCTTTGTGTGGAAGTACCAATCATTATTGGAAATGTAAAGCCAACTGGGTTGTTTCTGTTTATTTTTTTTTTCACTCTAGCTTTTGGTTTGCTGGCTGTTGGGCATGCAGGAGAACATTTGCTTTTGTTCCAGTGGGCAGATGGTTGGCTGAGGGAAGAAAGAAACTGTCAACTTTATTTGAATTCCGTCGGAAACAGGGAGAAAGAAGAAGCACATACTCAGATGGGCAAACTTACGATCTACCCAAGAATGGTAATTTATAACAAGATTTATGAATTTTTCTTCTCTAATTATTTCAGTCCATTGTGCTCTGGGCAACAAGGTCAATTTCTCATCCTCTTGGTCACTTTTTGTGTGTTTTTGTTTGCTTGTTTGTTATAATTTGTAGGAGATGCCGCAGTGATGCACATGTTGCAAAACAAAGACAGTGATCCCTACAGGTTGGTACAGGAGCATTACATTAAAATTATATTTATAAGAACTTTTTTTTAATATTAGAAAATAATGCCTTTGATCAGTGCATAGGATATTGTTTATTTTTTCTCTCCTTCTGGAATGGAGCACATATTATGCAAAGTTAACCCTTTAACTCCTAGGAGTGATTGACAAGTAACTTCTACCTATAATATTCATACATTATCCAGCATTTGGTAACGAGAAAACTCAAAGTTATCAGTTTAGAAGAAGTTGTTATCTTGATGTAACCCCAAATTCTTGTGACCAATTTACAAGGAAATGTGAAATGCTAGTGGGGAGAATTAACCACCAGATCATGGGAGTTGAAGGGTTAACATCTCATCAAGCCAAATAATATTTGATATATATTTATTTTAACATGTGTAATAAACACAATTTTGAAAGCCCAGGCACACTGAGGTGGCCTTGCACGTGGGCTAAACTCACATCACATTATCATGTGATGTGACATTTTGCCCAAATGTCACTTAAGCTTAGATGACATCACTTCCTGTCACCTGCCTTGCATGCATGCATTGCATGATATTACATCATACATTGCATTATGATACTCAATAAAGGAACAATGCCTTTGATAAACACGAAAGTAAAATCAAACTGGGATGTTTAGAATTTTCTGTAAGCCGATCATGGGTGATTTATTTAGAATAATGATCTTCCAGTAATTTTTTGATATTCATTTTTTGTATGTAGTGTCCTTGGAGTGCCACGAGACGCAACAGATGATGACATCAGGAAGCAATACAGGAAGTTAGCTGTACTGATCCATCCAGACAAGGTACAATGAGTTTGTTTACAAGAGCTGGCCAAAACTTGTCATACAACTCAAAAATGGCTCACAGTGTAAAAGGCTTGTTGTTACGGTGCAAAAAAACAAAAAACAAAAAAGAGAAAAAAATTTAACATTAATTCCTACAAAGAATGAAGTTGTGATTGATAATAACAATATTATAATAATACAAAAATTTCTATAGCAGCCTATTCTAGAGCTCGAAGGCGCTTTACAATAAAATGTTTAAAGCAGTAACTTAATAAATATTAAATTCGAAAAATACTAGAGCAAAACTACAAATAAAAATAACGCTTAAAAAGATAAGTTTTAAGGTTGCTCTTAAAAGATGTAAGCCCCAGTTGATCTTAGCCCCAGTCGTATTTATGTACCTCAAAAAAAAAATAGGAAAAGAGGTGTTATTTAATGGTATTTCTTCCTCCTCATTTTGTTTTTTATAAAGAATACCCACCCACAAGCAGACGAGGCTTTCAAGACTCTTGCCAATGCTTTCGACATTCTAAGTGATCCTGTAAGTTGACAATTGTTCATATATTCACTTGCAATTAACAGGTAGTTATTGAATGAGTTTATTTAAATATATATGCTGCTCATTTGTTTAATATTCGCATCTTTTAAATAGGAGAAGCGTGCCAATTATGATGCCGAAGCAGCTTGGAGGACGAGAGCGGAAGAAAGGGTGAGTTAAGTTTGTAAAATCAGTGTAGAAAGGTCCAAACTTAAGAATCAATTTTCCTTTTCTTGTGGAGATGGAAGAGGTTCCAGGATAAACCGTAAAACCTGCCTGAAGATCTCTTAAAACGAGAGAAAATAATAACAAAATGTGGATTTAAAGGATAAAAACGGACTAAAAGCCGCGCAAAACCAAAAACGACCGCTGAGATGATGAAGCCTGGGGACTAGACAAATGCAAACAAATACAGAATAAGTTTACCTTTTATAAAAACCAAATTTCAAAGAAGGGCGGAAATGATTGTTGAAAATGGATAAAAACTAGCGATTTTTATTATGAAAGCCAGATCCAAAATCCCCATTTTTTCGTTATTGCATGCAGAGTAGCATTTGTTAGACTAGTTCCCAGGTTACGTCAATGAGTTCCCTGGACCCTACGAGAATCAGGCGACAAAAATTGTATGACTTTTTGTACAGTTTGTTTAAAATTTTTAACAGGGATTTTTTTTCCCTTTTTGCTGGATATTTCTTGTAGAAGGAGCGTTACGGTCGGCACACGAGTCCAGAACAGTTTTTTGCCGATTTAGGGAAAAAGATGGAAGAGGTAAGTAAATTTTTTCACACAAAGATTTTATTATTAAAGAGCCGCAAACTTGGGAAGAAGAAAAGTAAATCCGCGGTGGAGCGAAAAACGAGGGAAGTCTGGGTCGAGTCGCGTCGCGTCGCGTTAAGCGAACTGAGCGCCCGGAATCGAACCTCAGACCTTCGCAACTCTCGACCCAGTGCTTTTTTCACTGAGCTTCAGAGAATGTTTCTTAATAACGGAAACACTTAACCTCTTCACTACCACCAAAAGGTTAACAGGTAATTTCTCCCAACAATATCAATATGCTATTCAGTGAGAAGTTGGTGATAAAGCAATTTTCAATCGTGCATCAATCCTCTCTCCAGCAAACAGGTGAAGACAGCAATTTTCAATTCAGTGTCGGAAGAAATCAGGAATTACTGTCTTATGGCTTTCTTCGCTTTGATTGGTCGTGAAAACTTGCGCCATCCTCCAAACCAATCAGGCGCAAAACAAAGGCATTTGTGACTTGCTCACCAGCGTTTTCCCGCGCTTTTAGTAGCTTGCCTATACTGTTTTTACTTCGAGCTCTCATTGGCTAAAGATAATGTTAACCTTAGTAGTGATTGGTCGTTGTGATTACTTTGGTTTTGGTTTATCGACAGCTCAATTGAAAACAGCTCAAATAGACAAACTCATGAGCTGAATTGCGTAGTCTTGATGTAACACTAAACTCTCGTAACTTATTTAGAAGGGAATGTAAAGTAGCAGGAAAGGAGAATTACTCAGCAGATTTTTGAGGCTAGGTAGTGAATACTACATTGACGTAATTTCCTTTTGTTAAAACAGATGCATAATTCTCTACATTGCAACGTGTGTGATGGGAAACACCGTCGCTACAACACAAAGCGGTTTATTTTGACAGCTCGCTTCTGTAGTCGCTGCAACACAAGACACGCTGCTAAAGAGGTACTTGCACACGTTTGAAGGCTTACGGCGAAGGCTCTGCTAATATGAAGGTTAATGTAAAGCTCCTTCAATTGGAGGACGGGATGAATTTTGTTTTGCTTTATTGCGCTCTGTGATTGGTCAAAGAAACCCGCGCACTCTTTGTACCAATCAGATGTAAAATATAACCCATCCATATTTTCCTGCGCTCGAGGTCGTTTAGTTCTCACTGGCTATGTTAATTATTTAAGTTTTAGCGTTACGTTACGCAAAGCGCTCTAATGGACGGGAGAGAGGGGAGAGTGGGTATGGCACGTAAAAATTTACAAATTTCTTTTGATTTTTTTATCAGGGAGATCTGTGGGCAGAGAGTAGTTTTCTTGGCTACAAACTGCACTTTTATGCCTGTATGGAGGGTGAAATATTTGATGTCACTGAGTGGGCGGCTTGCCAGGTTTGCATCTGGTTTTATCTTAATTAGCCGAACGACTAGCTAGTTATACTGCACAATAGGGATGGATTTCCGAGCTGCTGTGTTCGAATTCGGTTAAAAGTGATAACAGAGGGGTGGGAAAGTAAGGAAAGTTAATTTCTTCACCCCGCCCCCAACCTGGGGGGTAGGGCCACATCCTCCTAGACGGTCTATATGTTTATCGTAATTATTTCAAGTCGAGTCTTTCCTTTGTTATAATTTGTTTTTCGTTTGTTTTACGTGAGCAGGGTATTGGTCGAGTGGAGGCCAATCCTCACACGGTCCATCTGAAGCTCAAGACCCGTCAGACACAACAAAGCAGCTTCAATTCTAGGTTTGTCTTTCAGTTTGATATCTGTCTTGCTATATTGACTTTACGATAACGTGATTGGTCTGTGACACCTAGGCACCAAAAGAAGGTCGAATTACCAGAGACTGATTTGAAATGCTTGTCTTGTTTGATTGCAGATCGGAAGAAAGGGAGTTTGAGAATTTCATGCGTGCGTTCTTCGGGCAGTTTGGCCCTGAAGGAGACAAATTTCAGGCAGCCAACAAGCAACGAAAGAAGAAGAAAAAGAAGAAACATTAGTAATGTTAGCGTGGGTAGAGGTTACAGATTGCTAGGAGATCGATCCGGATCTACTTAGTGGTGTTCGACGTATCCCTACGTCTGATTGGGGAAAGTTTGAGTGTGGCTTGATCAAAGTACTTAGGTAATTCTGTGTAGTTTTCTTAATTACAGTATTCTCCATTTGAATATCGAAAATAATCAGGGTTCCAATGGTTTCGCCTCATGGTGCTCTGTGATTGGTTTAGAAAGCTCGCGCCACCCTCCCAACCAATCAGATACAACTTTAACCAATCACGACTTGGTCACATGCATTTTCCCGCGCTTCGGGAAGTTTTCTTGTTTTAACCGTTTTTGTGTTCCTATTGGCTAATTGTGACGTTTTCTTTTTTTCTGATTTGACCCTGTAATTACCATGGTGTTCATTTCATGTCTCTCGATCGACATGCACTGAAATCTGATTTTCTAAGAAAATTCTGTGACCAGTTCGTCATTGCTGAAGTTACCCTAAGAAACACTCCTCAACCTCGTCTCTTTATCTTTCCAACTTCCAGAAGTGATTTACATTTAACTTCTCCCAAAAATATCCATATATTTTCCATCAAACAGCTACTAAGAATACTCAAACTTTTCAGGTAGAATTTGTTATCATGATCTAACACGAAATTCCCATGACTCATTTATAAAGAAATATGGAGCAGCTAGAGGGGAAAATTGGGAGTGAAAGGGTTAATTTGACGGAAATTATCATGATTTGTGAAATTATTCCCTATCACTGCATGAAACACGAAATACAGCTTTTAAAAAATCAGCAAAATCATGGAGAAATGAAAGGCTGCCGTTAAGAAGAAACAGATCAAAGTGTAACAGATAGTTGTAAGAGTCCGGTGAAAAAGGCGCTTACAAGTTGTGTATCTGATAAATTAGAGATTATGCTATAAGTTTAAATTTAAAAAAACTATATTTTTTCGAGTTAAATCCTATTCATATCAGTTTGAAGATATCGTCACGTTACGCTTTCAAAGAGATGTCTTAGCTTAAGTCAAGGCGTCAATAAACATTTTTGCGAATTATTTTCCTGCGTGTTCTGTCTTCTCGGACCCAGTCTCTCGTTTGAGAGGCCTCTGAGTAGAATCCCAATCCCTCTGCTTTATATCGGTGTATAATGCAAAGCTTTGAATGAAAAGTCCTTGTTTTAAGGTGTGGTTGGGGGGGGGGGAGGTTGGAACTCGGAAATGGCTCTAGTTTCTTTGTGACAAAGTGGCATTTGCGTAACCCGTCAAGATTTATCGCAAAGGAGAAAGTAAGACAAAAACTGAAATTCAGTTTAGAACTCCAATACATTCTCTTTAATGGAAAAACTAGAAATAAGCCTCTCCAAGCCTCTTTTCTTCGTCACACGTTAATTTTGCAGTCCTTAGAATCATTTTACAAAAGCAATTATTAAAGGAACATTTAGTTGTAACAACTTAGTTCGGCGGCCAATTTACATTATGGACTCAGTTGATACACCCAAAATTTCTTTCTTCCATACTCCCCCCACTCCAAACCCCAAGTTTATTTAATAAAATGTTAAAGAAATATGTATTGCATTTTGCAATGAAAAAACGTCAAAATGTAATCTCTAGAAAAGTTGTATCTCGAAGGAAAAGAAACCCGTCCCAGTAAATAATTGTTTACGAAACACGTAGTCATTGGGCGTGCGTCTTCATCTGTTAATGATGTAGAAAAGAATTATATGCAAAAAAAATCTTGATAAACAGTTAAGCAATATGATTATTAAATCTGCGAAAATTGAATTTTCAGCTTGAAAAAAATCTTACAATTCATCCTTAGGTAACAAAACGAAGACTATACAGTTGTTGTGAAAAAGCCAACAAAGTTTTCACTTTAATTAAAAGTAGTTACTGACGTGTTACTGACCACATCGAAAAAAGCATGGGCACGTCATTAAAAGAGCTACGTCAGGCCACTGAGTGTCTCCTGAATTCTTCATGTTTATCATTTGCAATCCTTTCCAACCTTCCTAAGCGTTTGCCATCCTTTTTCCTCCTTGGTTATATTTGCCTCTTGTATGTTTTTCTATCTTACCAAGGTAATATTTTCTCTCTCTCTGAACGAGTTATTATTTTATGTCCTTTGAGAGTGCGAACTATTTTTTTTTCTTTTTTGGCGACGTAGCTCTTTTAAGTTGCACTTAGAAACACGAAGGTCACTTTGTAACTCTAGTCTTAGTGCTTACGAAAGTACTGTGAGAATAATTCGTCCTTTGGTCCTTTTTAGCATGGCTACGGCAGATTCATGGGCGACTCCAACAAGACTCTCTCCATTCACAGCAATAATCTGATCACCGCGTTTGAGTCGCCCATCTCGGGCCGCAGCGCCAGTCGGGAAGACGGTTTTGACGTAGATTGGCAGGTCACCGTGTGGACTCCCATGACCACCCACGATACTGAAACCCAGACCTTCGGGACCGCGTTCTAATTCAATAATCTTCGCTTCTAGTGGCCTGGAAAAAGAAACAAAACAAAACAAAACAAGACAGCAAGTTCAAACAATTAATTTGAAACAAAGTAGAGGTGTTCGGTGAGGAAGGTTGACAAAAATGCAATGTGGAAAACCAAGGTGCCATAGTTTGGGCTGGAAGCTTCCTCATCGCGCAAAATCTTTTCCTTATATCTTCACGTGTTGTGACTGAATCCGTTGGCGGGAAGATAGTTCAAAATGATTCAAATGCTATTGAATGTTATGCACGATCAGGTCCAAAAAAACTTAACAAAGAGATCTGATTGCTTTCGTGGACATACCACTTTGTGTAGGAGTGCATCCCAATTTTTAACCTTAATTTTCTAAGCAACATGGTGTTTATTATTTTCGTGAGCACCTCGGAGAATTCTTGCGCGCCAAAAAGAGGCGAGCGCTAAGACGACTATTCACCAAGAAGGACATTTTTCTCCGCGACTGAATTTATGATTTGTGAATCCTTCAAAGCTTTAACAAAACTTACTTATTACCAGACTTAAATACTTCACTCACATTTCTTCTCCTTCCTCGTCAGACTGAACTAGTTCAATAGCCTCCTGCACCATTGAAGAACTCGGAGGCAGACCGACCGGAGGGAGACCGGAACCTGATGAGGGGCCAACTTCTTGCTGTTCAAAATCTGAAGTACAAACAGAATAAATCAACAAAAGCTTATCTGAAGTCTACCTTCGAAGCGAACGCACCTTGCATTAGGGACTCCGCCCTGTGATTGGTCTACAAAACTCACGACACCCTCTCGGCCAATCAAATGCAAGACTAAAACCAAAGTGATTGGCTCATTCCCGTTTTCTCGCACTTCGACCAGCTTGCTTCTTTTCACTTCGAGATCTAATTGGCTCCTTGCGTTATTTTCCTTTGTTCTGATTAGCCCACAGATAGTTGACAACAATTAACTCACCGAGTGGGATTTGAACCGCGATATTTTCCATGCTGCTCAGAGATTCGGTCCCAGGCTGCATGTTTGGTAAACTGCTCATGGAGGACGGCCTAGAACTGGTGCCGTGCTTCAGACGAGCCACCTCAAGAATAACACGGCCAGAAGTACGCTAAGGGGACAAAATATATGTGACAGACTTTATAATGGTAGAGGTAGTATTTGAATCTTACTTACCACGTATATTTTAGAGGAGAACACTACAAGGGACGGCAACGAGAAGGTGGTCAAACAAATTGTTTATGAGGTGCCCGAGCTACGCAAATAATACCATGGAATCACCTAATTGTGCACAAACTGAAAACAGAAAATCCAAAGGCAATTATTCGCAATTCTGCTTCGAATTATGTGTTCCAAAAAAGAGAAAATTTAGCGTCGTTAGAGACGTTTAACACATCGAGCCTCTGGTGAAAAACTTAGGAGAAACGAAGGTCCTTTTTTTTAATTAACGCTTTCACAGGGTTCGCCGTCATTACATATTAAACTCCCTTGTAAATAAGGACAAGGGTGGGGTGAGCAAGGAGATGGGCGCATCTCCTCTCCTTCCCCTTCCCTACAGCGACCAACACTCCGTAGACAATTATTTCTTCCCGCGATATTCCGCTGGTTTGTAAAATGGCAGCCACAGATTTGGCTAAGAAGTAACAGTAAGCGTAAAAACAATCTCTTAAGCTTCGCTAGTGTGTCATATATTGACCACTGGCCACAGACAAGCCATGTTTTACCTTGAGCGCAGCCGCTGCTACATCCTGAGTGGCGTTCTTAAGATCCTCACCGTTGACCGAGAGGATCTGGTCACCAGCTTGAAGACGACCGTCTGCCTCTGCGATACCACCTTTCACCTGTCAATCAAAGTTGGGATCAGTTAATAAAACTGCATTTAATAAGACTAGGCAAGAAAACCAAGGTCAACGGTTGCAAAAGCTGATCTGGCTCGTCAGAAATATCTGAAAAGCACAGATTTATCATCGTCTTGTCATTGTTTTCGTTATAATTACCTATAAGCGAAGGAATATGCAAAAGATATATCATTTTCTTTTGAAGAATGCATTTTACAGCTGCCTATATTCATGAATGATACCAGGCAGTAGACTCTTCTGATTACGAACGTTTCCGTCTGTTTTCGAATGGTTTCGTCCAATTTCGGTCAGTTCCTTCTATTTCGGTCAGTTTCGCCCAATTTCGGTCAGTTTTGTCTATTTCGGTCAGTTTTGTCTGTTTTCAGACGGTTTCGTCCACCTTCGGTGGGTAAATTTGTTTGATTTCGGGGGTTTTCGGTCAAGACGACATCTCGATAAAACGGCAAGCTGGCAACTCACTCGTAAAGGTAAAGCAAAATCAATGCACATTGCAACTTACCACGTCTGAAACAAATACTCCCGTGTCGTTCCTGTGAGGAAAAAAAAAAATGAAAAAAGAGAGTCGCTTTAAAAAAATAATTTCAGCTTCGGGACCCATTCATACTCCTAGGTGGAGAGAAGCACTGTGAATGGTCTACAAAAACACCTACCTAAGAATAAAACAAAGAAGGACCGCAAATGTACAACCTACCTTCTTCCCACGATACTCAGACCTAGTCCCTGGCCGGGAACTTTGTTCAAGTCGAGCGTGATGTACTCGAAGGCTTCTGTGAAAGAACAAACATAGCGGCTATTAAAATGATACAGAAAGCAGCTTTTATACCTCAGTAGCAGGCTTCTCATCAGTAGATATCCATAAATTGCATAAAAATGAGAGAACATTTTCAGGTTATCACTTCTTTAAGAGGAAATGTTGTGATCTGAGAAATTTTTGTATAGTTTTCATATAACATTTACCCATTTGTAAAATGAATTAATTTTGTCTACCTTAACTAACCTGTTTTTCATCGATTTAATTTTTTCAACTATCTAGAGTTTGTCTCCAAAATTAAAGAGCATAATGGTCTTTCTTATTTATTAAAGCCACGTTCAAATCGGGAAAATGATAAAAAAAATAAAGAGACATGGCTGAAAACGTGCAAGATACCTTCATCTTTAAACTGTGATTCGTCCCTTAAAACAGCCAATCTAACGACAGCAGGTGTTTGTCTCAACGCTGTGATGGCCATATCGTGAGTGGCTTCTCGCAGATCCACATAATTGACCTAAAAGTGACAACAGAACCAACATACGTGATAGGCTTACCACAGCTCGAAGGAAGGGAAGAATTTATGAGTAAATTGAATCTGGTTGATTAAGATGTCTCAGCAAGCAAGCAAGATCACAATAAAAAATTTCCCTCCTTCTTTCTCTCTTTTTATTCAACTAGTTCATCACTAGAAAATCCGCGGGTTTTTAACGCTGCAAAATAGGTGGAGTGAAAATAGAACTCGACTAATCGGGAGCGCGCCTAGAAAAAGAGGAGGAACTCTTTTCGTCTGTGCGCGCGTGTTTCGTTTACGCGCTCACTTATGAACGTACAGTCTTTTCATGAGTACGTCGGCTAGAGCTTTTCCTTAGGGTTCCTAGTCTGCTCTCACTGACGCTACGACTTTTTTATTGGAACAAATACAGAACAAATGAAACACATAGCTACAAAGATCGACAATCTTACTTCTAAGATCTGATCTCCAGCCCAAAGTCGGCCATCTTTAGCAGCGGCTCCGTCTTCATACACTTCATGAATGACTATAGCACCCTGAGAGAAAACTTTAAACTTTTAAACCTGTGGTAATAAGGCACACTGTAAATCTTCATAACACCACAATGTTGTTCTTCTAGCATGACTCACCAACAGAGTATCCGCGCCTCCAACGATACTCAGCCCCAGGCCTGTGTTGCCTTTGGGAATCTCTATCACACATTCCTGACCGGGAATGATCGGCGCAGTGCGGGGATTTGGAGACGAGATTAACGTTGGTGTAACTACTGCGTAAAAAAGGAAATAGGCCAGTGAGTTACTTAGTCTATCAGTAAGTCAGCCAATAGGTGTTACAAAAGTCATTACAAAGATGTCAAAATTAAAATGCCAATGACACTGTAGAAGGTGAAAGTGCACGTAACTCCTCCAGGTAGTTTACAGTCCCTCTACTCAAATAGCCACAAACATTTGAGCCAAACCAAACTTTACAGGATTAAAAGCCCCAACTAGCAAAAGGAAAAGCAGATGGCTATTTACAAGCCACAAACACGATTCTCTAGCTGAAGATTGGGTAGAAATTGCTTCCTGACAGTCTCTTCGCAAGATGTTTGCTGTTCACGAATGTAGAAGAACCTACCTGCTGCTTGTCTAGGAGACTGCTGAACAACCTGAACTTCAGGCTCAAATGCTTGGGACTGCTCAAGCTCTCTTCTTGATGCTGCAGGACTTCCGCTCTGGCCATTTCCGGTCTGTACAATTTCTGCTGGCACTCTCTCAAGGCTCCATTGTTTTCTTGGACTTCCTGGATTGCTGCTGTCTGACATTGAATCCCTGGCTGGTTTCGTAGCAACAGGAGGGCCTCTCCTTGGTGTACGGGGACTTCCGGTCTCCCTCCTGGGTGATGAATTGGCGGAAGTTGATTTTTCTGCTCCTGGTGAACCTCCGGGTGGAGTTTGTTTCCTAGCAACCACAAGAGACACCTTTCCTTTGGTTCTCTTCAATATGGCAACGGCCTGCAACAAGAATGTCGAGAGATCTCAATATCAATTCTCCTAACTATCTCCCTATAAATTGTAAATTTTTAGCTTTGAGATTTTGGTGTCAAATCAAACGGTAATGCCTCCACATAATCTTCATGAGATATCGTCACAGCTGACCTTAATAATGACCTTGCTCACCATTGAGTGCTCTGAAGCTCAGTGGTAGAGCGCGGAATCCAAAGGTTTGAGGTTTGATTCTTTATGAGAATTACAAAAACCTCCGTTATCCTCATACCTCTTAGCCATGAAGTAAAACTAGGGGCTCTCGTTTTTGTTTCTGATGTTATTGTTGATACGGCTACATTTTTTCCCTGAAGCTTTGACAGACAGCATTTTACACAGCTTACCTCAGCATGAGAAAGTCCCACAATCGGTTGATTATCAACTGCAATTAACTGGTCTCCTTTTTTCAGTCGCCCGTCCTGGCAAGAAGCAAAACACACCTTAAAAAATGTACTTACCACTAACCCCTACTCCAAAAGACATAAAAACTTCTGAGCCCGTAATGAAAGAGCCAGAAGAAAGCCACTCATGAACATGACGTCATTAAATAGGCCCTGACTCACAAAACATTCAACATAAGGTCTCTACACAGAAGAGATTAGGAACCTTTTGGGCAGGTCCTCCGTCAGTAATGTCCTTGACATAAATCCCTGTTTGGCCTCCACCGAATCCTGGGCCTTCCACAACAGCAAATCCAAGACCAGTTGGGCTCTACCGAGAAAAAGAAGAGAAAATAACACCTCATCCAAATGCTTTACCATGAGAATTAACAGCTGCACAAGACCTTTCCATCCCAATCAGCCAATCTCACGAATGAAATTCGTCACTGACATACCTTAACAAAGTCAATGCGTTCTACTTTCTGACCCCCAGACAGTTCTTGTAAAAGGGTTGGTGACACGGTAATACCCTCTGCAACCGGCGGAGGACTCGAGTGCGGACTAGGCTCTGATCGTCGTGGACTTTCGATCTCGCGCCTCGGTGTTGTCGGAGATGACTCGATGGAGTGGATATTGAGTTGTTTTGCTTCCTGTTCGGGCCACTGTTGGCCTCGGGGAGATTCATGAGCCGGCGGTGTCCTGGATCGACTGAGGTAATCAGCGGCTTCTTGGGACCTGCCTAATACGAGGTTGACTTTAGGTGGCGTATTCTGTCGGTTGATAAGAAAGAGGAATTAGAATCTTAATATTAAAGTCTGCATACGACACTGAGAAAATGAAGGGTTGATAAGTTAAATGTTTCAAAAACAAGCTCTGACTTACTTTCAGAATCGTAGAGGCCTCGTAATGAGTCAAGCCCCGAATGGAGACTTCATTCACCTCAAGGATCTCGTCAGCTTGTTTAATTTTTCCATTTCTCTCCGCCGGCCCGCCTGGTTTGACATCTACAACGAAAATGCGGTTTGCCGCTGCACCTTTTCCGCCCGCGATACTCAGACCTTATAAGTAAACAAAAAAAAAAACGAACCAGTTACAATCGTCATTAAACTAGGGAGAAATCCAATGGGAACTGAACAAACCTCAGAATATGGCCTGCTCCACGGACGCTTTGGGTGAGAATTCAAAGAGGTCAAAAAACACCACAAAAGAGCAGACACGCGTGTCTGCTAAACTTGCATCCGCCGATCTTAAACTTACCTAATCCAGTTCCCCCTTTAACCAGATCTACAAAAATAAAGTCACCAGTAACGTCCGGGTACTTGATTTTCAGTTGCCCTGGGTACGAAATATAGCAAGTGAATTGTGAAGAACTAACAACCAGGATATTTCCGACTTCACTTCGCATGTTTCTTATAAGTGGTAGCTTCACTTACTTTTCCTGTCCTCGTTGCTCCTGACAATATTAAAATTGGTCGGCAGGTTCAGAAGTTTGCTTTCAATTTCTGCCTTCACTCCCTCAGCCTGAACAACGCTCGCAGTTGGTTCCTCAGCTGCTAGATTCTTCGTTGGAATTGGGATGTCTTTCTTCAACGACTCGTCTGATGATAGATCGGCAGCCTCGGCTGAGGGCCTGGCACTGGTAACGGTCACATTACTGGGTTCCGCCTGAAATCATGAAATTGTATTAATTAGCAAACCAGTTCCCATCCTCCCCCCCGGAATCTCAGATAGTTTTAAAAGAGACAGGAGGGCCTCTACGCAGAAGTCGTACTGGGCTTTGTGAGGTATATTTTCTTACGGTTTAACGGACAGAACGTACAAATTTCGATTTCATTGTTTGCTTAACACAATGTCCAACAGACCCAGAACAACTGCTTTGCCAGAAAAAATTCCTATACACAAAACTTAAGAACAAAAATTGATTTAAAGGTTCCCTTGAAGCTTGGCAAGATTCACATAAAAAAATACGAACCATGAAAATCTTGCGTTCTCAAACAAAAACAATGCAATTCACAAAACGACCTTGAAATGAAATGTCATTAATAAACGTAAATGTCCATAAATGTTGTTACCTTAGATGTGTAACCTCTGGCGAGGGTTAAACCTTTCGATTTACGAAAGCGAAACGGCATTTCCAAAAAATGAAAATCACTAAAAACCAGCTTATCCTTGCAACTCACAGTAAGAACCGACGGTTACGTGTTCTATCCGAAATATTATTCTAATCTCTACTAAAATCTTAAGAGCCTCGCGTCTTGTCAAAAAATTGTCGTGAATGATGATAATCTTCGCCGAAGAGAAATTGTTTTCGATACAGCGTTTCCTCCATCGATACGAAGAATGCTTATCCAACACAAGAAGCACAGAGCCTTAAGCTGAGTGCGAGCTTTCCACGCGAAAACTCCTTCCAGTCTGTGGAATGTAATGCTCATCGGAAGCAGATTTATCTCATAAGCGGCTTAGCCTTTGTATTCAGCATTGCGAAATTCACGATAACATTAACAATGGCGATATTCGTACAAAAAATCGCATTGTTTTCTTCTCCAGCATTAAGAAATTTATAATGAAAAGCGTAACTCTCCAATTAGAAAATTGAATTGCAATCAATACAAAGAATTAATTAATTATTAAGAATGTTTGAGCTGTCACGACTACGAAACAATAGTTGGCGAAGTATTTTGTATTCATACACCTGGGAATTTTAGCGGTTTTTAAAAAAAGTCTTTTAAGATGTTTTGGTGCTCTGTTTTTAAAATTATTTCCTACAACATTTCAAAGTACTTCACACTGCAGACAGAAGTCTTTGGCATTAAAAATTGCACGAAAAAATGTATTGAGCTCTCTTGTCTTCAATGGCCATTAAAGATCGCAGGAAAAAATAAAAAATAAAAAATAAAATGTTACTCACACAATTCGTTAATTCAGAAGTGACAGTCGATCCTCAACTCCTTAGCACAGGACGAACGCATAGAGTAATTTAATTTATAAATAAAAAAGTATATTTTAAAGAAGCTTTTCTAGCGTAAAAAACCATGGAAGAAAATAGACATTTTAAAGTCTTTGTCAATAACTCTACACAGAAGAGGTAAGAACTATCCATCGCCGAATGGTAAAATGATATAACTCTTTTTGTTTCTCTGAACTCTAAATGTCATTTTATATAAAGTACTCTTTACTTACGTTGTTGAGACCACTGAGTTCAGGCATGCGTGGTGGTTTGGGCGGGGGGATTAAACCGGAAGTTGGCACTGTTTTGACCACAAACCGCACAGGATTCTTGGCCCGTTTGATGATCTCAACAGCTTCGTCATGCGAGGCGTCACGCAGATCGTGCCCATCAACCTGTAGACAAGAGTAGACAGTCACTTTGACTGATCACACAGAAATATCTATCAATTTAAACCGCATTTAAGTCAGTAAAAGTATTTGAAACACAAACTGAAAGACCCTCACTTCCAATATCTGGTCACCAGTCACCAGCGTTCCTAAACGCGCAGCAGGACTGGACTCCAGTACGTGTCTGATAAAGATCCCTTTAAGGCCCTGGCCTTGTGGGCCAGCTTTACCACCAATGATGCTTATCCCCAGTCCACTGTCAGGTTCTCGGTTGAGTTCAACCACATGGACTCCAGGTTCGTTGTAGATTGGTTGTTTAACCGGTTGAAGCAGGTCAGACTGGTTTTCTAAAGAGTCTGGAATGTCATACTCTTCGGCACCGTCCCTAAAATTTTCACAAGAATAAAAAAATCGTCAAACGGCTTGTATCAAACGTGTGATACAATAATAATGACAGGCTGAAGCAGATGCACGCTTGCTCACGCTTCGCCGTGTCTCTTCTGATGTCCTAATACTCAGTCATACTTTATCACGATCATTCACGCTTTGTCACGCTTGATCGCACTTTTCTCTTCCGTCTCCGGAAATTTCCTCTAAAGCAAGATCTAACGCTACTGCTTAACGGCTCTATAGAAAAATTGGTCCAAATTCGGCAGTCTCATTTAATTCCCACACCATGATACATGTTAAACATCTCTTTCATCGATGACCGAGCCCAAAAATTTACTCTCTCTCAATTCCTTCACAGAGGACACCTTCGACGAAGCTAGATCCTCTTGGAGGGAGAGGGGGGAAGGGGGGAATGGGGGAAGGGACTTGGAATTTTCCTTGTCTCACGCTCGTGACAAAATGATCAACACTTTTCTCTCATAATCACCTTTTCTGCTCTCGGTCAGCTTCAGCCTCGAAAGACTGGGACGAATGCACCGATGACGTAGAACTGTCTTCAAGGAATGACGAGGGGGACTGTTGAATAGCCCGTGCAGGTGTCATCTCGCTGCGAATGAATGTGAACCTGAAAAAAAAAAGGAAAGAATGATTTTAAAAAGAAATTTTTAATACATAAAGAAATATAGAAACAAATAAACCCTACATTTAATCTAAAACTGATGATCTGTCAATTTTACAGTATAATTTCTGACCCTTTCTTTTAGACTCACACGGAACTCAAAGGCCCATTGCAATGCGGGCCTCGTACGTATCGGTAAATCTTTTTCGCTATGACCCGTGTAACTCAACTTGCCACTAACACAATTTAAAAATTGGTCCATAAACTGTTTACCATAACTGGTCTACTATACATACACGACTTTTTTACTTTTGAGCTCAGTTCACCTGAACTCAATGCTAAGACCAAACAACGCGGATTAATGTGTCTACTTGAGTCTGAAAAGCTTCAGCAGATTTCTTTACTTACACGATGTCCTTCAACAAAGATTGCTTCCTGAGAACAGACCTATTGGACATTAAAACGATCAAAAACATACATGAGGTCAAAGATATTCTTAGTTAATTAAAACCTACTAGAAATTACTGTTGTTTATCTCCGGATATATGTTATTTGCGAAATTGACGTTGCCTCCCTCGATTAGTGAATATCCCTCGTTTTTTTTTTTTTTTTTTTTTTTTTGGGGGGGAGGAGGAGGGCCGGAGAATGGAGCGGGAGAGGGCACGTGCCTGCAAAGGTCAATTATTTAGAACTGCACCTGGCTCGGTGTCCCGAGAGTCCAATCATGCTTTCATCATTGACAGCAACAAGATGATCCCCGACCCCAATCCGTCCGTCCAGTCCAACAGCACCTCCCCTCAAAACTGACTTGACAACACAACCACAGCCATCCTCGTCTCCCTTCAGAGTAAGACCTGGCAGAAGAAAAAAGGAAGAAAGACAAAAGAGAAAGTCAACGAGAAGCTCACCTTCGGAAACAAAGTTCCCTGTCGAGGTAATCAAACGTGTAACCGTATTTACAAACGAGATTGTTCGCACGCTGGAAATATTGAAGGAAAAAGTGTGTGAGTAGAGCACTGCCACCACAACAGAGCAGTCTCAGATGTAGTAACTCGGCATTGCATTGGTTTTGTCTCAGAGCGCTCTGTCATTGGTTCATAAAAACGAACGTCAATCCCTCAACCAATCAGAAGCAAAATTAAAACCAACCGCGAACTAATCACGCGCATTTTCCCGCGCTCAAACCCATTCGTCTTTACTTTTTCCTTTTTCTAATTTCTCATTGGCTCATTGTAAAAATCTCCTTTGCTCTGATTGGCCGTGGGAATAACCCTCGTTTTAGTTTTACGACACAAAGCCGAAAAGCGCTTTCTAACAATCAGCTATGAGCACTTGCAATATCATTCAACTTACCCAATTTTCCAACCATCTGCCTTCGAATGGTTATGGTCTCCATTCTAGATTTGATATTCTCTGGCAAACTGTCCATATCGATAGAATCTCCTGAGAACAACAATGGCGGACCGAAGTCAAACTTGGATGAACGTTCACTTCCGCTGTCACTCAATTCATTGTCACTCTCTTTTTCGACTTCGATGTCACCCATTAAAGCAGTATGATTGTCTGAAGGAGTCGCAAGAGAAAAGAACGGATTAACGACTGCTTTACTAAGACGTCTTTACATATAACTCTCGTCTGTAACCTTTCAAGTAAAGCTAACGATCACGGCCCAGTTCTTCAAAGGGGTATAACGTTATCAGACGGATTAATCGCTATCCACCAGATAAGTGTGAGCAAAAAGCGCTGCGCTATCCACTGGATACCAGTTCTTTCAAAAGTTTCTGAGCAGGACACTGAGGTGATGCATCTTTGAGTTGATTATGTTGGAAAAATGGTAATAATACTAACACCTGTCGATGAAATCCTAGCGTGTTACTGTTCAAATGAAAGCTTTAAAGCGGTGATTTTATACGGTATGATTATATATGGAGTATAAATGGGTACTAGCAAACTGTCACGTAAACGTGAAGACATTATATCCTAGTATGCGATTATACGACAAAAAATGCTTGTATGGTACAAAACAGGACATTTAAAAAGACGGAGTTTACCTCTTCCGTTTTGTGCGTTACTTTCCAGTAACTGTTCACCCATGTACCTTGCAGTTTCTGGTGGAATCTCTTCATACTCTTCATCTTCAACAGGGATTGGCCTTGCGACACCAATTCGTACTTTACCTGAAAGGGAGAGGATTGTGTCAACCGGGGCCATAACAAAACACAACGCTAACACAGCAGAGGCGTGTTCGGTACCGTGACGCGCTTAAACCAATCAATACGATACCTTGTGGAGCCCCTTTCAGTGTCTCAACAGCATAGCTGAGGGAGGCATTTTCCAGATTGGTGTCATTGACAGACATCAGTCGATCAACTGGCTTCAATCTTCCATCCTGTTCTGCCACACCTCCGGGTACCAGACTCCGAATTACAATCACTGTTTTTTCGGGAGAAACTGGGTCCTATTAATGGTAACACGCTTGTCAGAGGATTACGTTAGGTTTACTCTACAAAAAGTTAATTTTCGATAATAGTGTTTTGTATCAATTATATGTCGATATTCCTTAACTATAAGAAACTAAAATTGAAATAAATCGAGACAAATGCTCAACATCTGTGTTAACTTGACAAAAAATTTCAAAATTAGCCGATCTTTTTCAATTATTATTTCACAAAATGCTTCGAAAACTTTTGATCCTCACTGTGTAGAAGAGGCTTGTCACATAGAAACCAACAATTACTCTTTACAGTAGTTGTCAGCGAAATCAGAAGACCATGACTTTTAACCCTCTAGGGATATTTTTGACGAAAGTATTTGTAAGCTCTTTTTTTTTTGTATTTTATTTGTTTTTGGGTTTTTACAGTTTTTACAAGTACGCAAGATACATCACAAATTTCTACATGCATAAATTTACATTACACTACTCTATTACACAAAGAAAATACCACTACACTGGACTACGAGAATAAAAAAAAAGAAAAAAAAAAAAAAAAAAGGCATCGCGTATTGATATAAATAATAAATTAGTTCAGCTATTTGTAAGCTCTTTCATATTTTTCAAAAGCGTGTCAAGCACTTTGTCTTTAGCGACTGCACTACGAGCAAGAATAAAACCGTTTCTTTGAAACCGCGGATCGAAATCCTCGAAAAGTTTTCGAGCCTCTCGAAACTCGATTCTCGGATCTCAATTCGCGATTCTCGAATATCGATTCGCGAATTTACTCACCTTGTAATCCAGGATACTAAATCCCAGTCCTCTGTCCTCCTTGTCCAGCTCAACATATTCGATCTCATCGGACCACATGGACATGGGCTGAGACATAGCGGACTCATTGAGACCAGTGGGACTGGGGCTATCAGGCAAGGCTGACAACATGGGACTAGGAGTTGTTATGGCAATCTCTTCGTAAGGATTATCTGAAAAGTAAAACAAGATTAAACATTACGATGAGAACCGACGGGGCTATATGTAACAGTATCTCATCGAAGACCACTTTTCGAGTGAGGGTTGTGATGCCAAAAGCAAAGAAATCAATTTTGGAGGGAAGAGCAAAAAATTATGCGAGAGTGAGGAAAAAACTTGAGACTGTGAAGAGAACAGTCGCTCCTTCTCAGACAAGAAAAGTGTTGAAATGAGCCAATGAGAAGCCAAAGAAAAATCAAGCAAACTACCTGGAGCGCGCGGGAAAATGAATTGACCATACCACGCTGGGCTTTATGTTGCATCTGATAAGTTGAGTCAGGGAGGCAACGCGAGTTTTCTGGACCAATCACAAGGAAAAAGCATTGCCATCTCAGAATCACTTCTATTACTACCATATTTTGTACGTATAGGGCTACGCTGCGGGCGCGATGCGAGATCCGCGATTTAATCGTACAATGTAATTTGCCTTTATCAAATTCTCTTTCCATCTTATACCTTCTCTTTCAGTTTCATTTGGTTGACTCTCCACCTCCATTTCAGTCTCTGCTGCGATGACTTCCTCGTCCGCAGAATCTCGATTTCTGGCAACAACCAGTCGGAAGTCCACGGGCAATCCTTGTATGAGCGTGACAACGTCAGAATGGTTCATCTCTAGAACGCTGACACCATTTACCTTAAAATTTCACAAAAGTGTCATACACAGATGAATAACACTGAAATACAACTTATGGTGCGCAAATTATCACTACCTACGTTTAAATCTAAGCAAAAAATTTACGTCGCAGTTTCATACACAAATGTAATCTAAGAATAGCTCTCCTTTCAGAAAACAGAAGTAAAGGTCGACTTAGACCTGCAAGGTTTTTCTTTAAGCGTATCACTTATTATAATTCTAGTGTAGGAATAAATGTGTTAAGCTAATTCACGCTTTTAATTCAAGATTGACTAGGAACAAAGTTCATGGCGCTGAAATATTTCTTTTTCACTGTTCTTAGCATTCGCGCAATGGAAGCTGTAAAAGACGAGCTACTCAGGAGCCCTGCTCTTGACAGGCAATATTCATGTCAAGAACACAACCAAACATCTGTTCCTAATTTACTCGTCCAAACGAATCTTCTTTGCTTAATGTAAATTACCCAGCAAGCTTTAGTACAAGCAACTTTACACCATACTGTACCTCGACCAGATGATCACCGGGTTTGACAATTCCATTCTGACCCACCGGTCCCTCAGGACTAACAGCATGGATTCTGTGCCATGGCAGGGAACCATCTTAAAAAAACACCAAATGAGTCTTTTAATAATAATAACTTTCCCTTGTCTTCACCATAAAATATATCGTTGTTGAGACAACCAGTCTATTTTCAATCGTAAGTATGCATTACTGGCGAGCGAAGGATTGAGGTTGCTGAATTTTAGCAAGTTCTTTTTAATTTGACAGTTTTGTTTTGGACAAAAAGGAACGCTTACATCTGAACAAAAGCTTATTTTGTGTCCCACATAGTGAAGTCTCTACATTGTCTCTCCTAAATTTCTAACAATTTAGCACTGAAAATTTAATGCTTAAGTCATTGTCAAACATTATCCCCTATCTGATATTTTTGAGATTCTCTTCATCATTCTGCTGGAAAATGTATTAATGCTGTACGGATAAATTCGGTTTTGGTCAGTCTTGGGACCAAGAAGGTTACACCTGATTCCGAAAAAGATTTTACCGTGTGGATTCTGTGTTCCTTCTAAACTGATCCCCAGGCCGCCTCCTTCGTGGAATTTGGAAATATCTGCAACCAGAACATCCACACCGTCTCCAACCAAATGGCTGTAATGTTCTTTAACATTTTCTGGATCTGAAAAAGTTAACACAAACATTCTAAATTTACCTTTTCGTCTGTTTATTGATACATATATGTAAACTCTTGAAAGATCGCCAATACACAGAGTTCTAACTTCAGATTGAGAGTCAGTTGCTGCATCGAGCAACAGTCCATTTTACAGTTGCGTGCTTAGCCTCACAGGAGTGAGGCTAAGGGTGACCTTTTTATGATACAAACCTTGCTCAGTGTTTTTGAAATGTAAATGACTCTGTTATCATGCAAACCAGATACTGGTCTTTGTCACAACAAGGTCACCTTCAGCCTTACCCTAAACCAAAGGCTTGGCAACTACATCAAGTGCACAACTGTAAAATGGCCTATCTGAGTGTTGTAAAACCAAAACAAAGTAATTATAATGCCATTCACATCAAAAATCAAAACAAGGATCTATCACAGGAAGCCAATGAGACCACAAAGCAAAAGTAAACAAACTGACTGAAGCACAGGAAGAAAATGGATCACCAGCTGGTGGTTGGTTAAAGTATAGTACTGGATTAATTTTGTTGAGAAAAAGTAGCCCATACAGTGAAGCTTGTATCAAGCAGTCAGACACTCAGACACATGAGAATGGCATGTTTGACTGTTTACAATGAGCCCATTATAGAGAAATACACAGTTTGACTGGATCTTAATTTACGGTTTCAGGCTGCTCAAACTCAGTTAACCTTTAACTCCCAAGATCTTTACTCCCAAATGTGAATCACCTCTGAGGGTTAGAGTGAATCACCTCTGAGAGTTAAAGGATTAAGGGTGACCATGACCACTTAATAGAGGTGACTGCTTTATAAAGGTGATATTAAAGTAATTAAGGGGTAAAAACTTCAGGACTTTGAAAACCAACAACTTAAAAAAATGCTGCTTAACCCTTTAACTGCCAGAATTTGTAATTCTTGTTACTGTCAACCATACAATTCTTATCAATAATATTAATTTAGAGAATTTAGTATTGGATCAAGTAATTATCCCCAAATTGATATTTTTCTTTATTCTCATCACTTATCTGGTTGATATTGTGTTGATGTCGTAAGGAGAAATTCAGTCTTGGTCACTCATGGGAATTAAAGGGTTTGTAAAGGTTTGACTGAATTTTCTTAATGGTAGCCAATTTACATTTATAAACTCATTTAATAACACTAAATCACCCCCAAAAAACAAACAAATAAACATAAACACAAACATAACACATCTGTGAATTTGATTAACTTACCAGTATGATGCTTTCCTTCAGAAGCAGCCGAATTCAGGCGCTTCACTGAAGACTCTGCTAGACTTGCACTAGACTGGGCACTTAGTGATGTAGTTGGATGATACTCATCTGTGTAAGACATAGGTACCATTTAATTATTCAATTACTTAATAGTAGAAATAAATTATCTTTAGACCAATGTTAAAAAAAATGCACAGTGATAATTATGTACAATGTAACTTACCAACGGGAGTCTGTTGTCTACTGAGGCGGTGCTTGACATGCCGAGCTACCTTCAGTCGAACAACTGGTCCAGTTTGTTTCAGAATTTCCACAGCTTGTTGGTTATTTTTACCATGCAGACTAACGTCATCAACCTGCACGGGAATTTGACAAGGAACAGCACTTAGCGATGAGCAGCAGTTAATAAGGAAGGGTCTCTCATAGCTAGGTGGAGCAGATGCCGTGGAGGCTGTAGTTACTCCCCATACAAAACCCCTACCCCCTCTTCACTTGAAACTTTTGCTTGAGATAATTGAATGAGGCCACAGGTTTTTTCAGTGTTTCTACCATGGACAAGAGTTACACTCTATAAATGAAGCCTATAAACATTATGGCTGGCACTAGTATCATACCTCAATGATTTGGTCGTTAATCCTTAACCTTCCATCGACAGCAGCAGTGCTTCCTTCTGCAATACTTTTTACAAAAATTCCTGACAATTCCGCTAAAGGTATAAATATCAATTAAAATAAAAGTTAATAATAAAAAAATCAGGAGTTCAGAGATGGTCACCATGGCAACATACATCACACAAACTTACCTGACGACTGCTCGACATATCCAGCAATGGTTATTCCCAGGCCTCTGCTGTCCTTTACCAGTTCAACATCAAACGCTTCCACATCTTTGCCTTCCTATACAATTTAAAACATCAAAATGCTCAATTTGTAGACATAAGGAATTAAAATTTTTTTATGTCTATGAGATCATTAAGGCAAGAGTACCTGAAGGTCTACAGAGGATCATTTCTCACTATCAAAATTTATCAATTCTCTGCATCCTCTGCCATAGTGTCACATGAAATAATATCCCCTTGTTGACATTTTGCTTCCTTCTTGTCACTCTCTTGCTTGAAAATGTACGAATACTTTGGTGAGAAATTCCTCTTTGGTCATTCTTGGGAGTGGAAGGGGTAACCAACAGGCTACCATTTGTCAATTTGTATCTCTGCAATTGTTATAATTCTTACCTCTACTGTGGAGGAAGCATCAATATTGGATTCATCAGTTACCAGTCTAGCAATAACAAGTTTCACATGCTGTCCAACTTTACGTAAAACCTGGGCGACCTGTTCACTTCCCATACCGCCAACATTTACTTCTCCAATTTGAAGAATGTGATCACCACTGCGCAATCTCCCATCCTAAATTGTTAACAAGAAAATAAAGAAGACTAGTGTCAACTGAAATCAAAGATGGCAACAACAAAAGTACCCAGCACAGAGATGTACTCTGTAACTAGCTTGCACCTTGTTTTGTCATTCTTACGTCTGCTCACAAAAGAAAGACAAATGACTCAAAATAATACAGATGAACTTGGTTGGGTCGGCAAAAAAAGGAAAGGGAAAGGCCAATTCTAATGTTTGTTGATTCTTGTAGTATCCTGTATATGTACAACACCACTCAAAGGTACATGTATAGTGTAAGTTGACAGTTCCTCAAAACTTGATCCTTGATACTTGAGAATTTTGGGGATCAAGAATATAGAGTGTAGTTTCCAGCCTTTCCAGGCAAGAAAACAATGAAATTATTGCAATACATCAATTAGTTTTTCACACAACTTGAAGCTTCCTACCTTTTCTAGGTTGCATGATAAAAATCATTTCACCTTGCATTGTGCCTAATGCAGCAATTAAACTTTCCATCACCCTCATTAGTATATACAAGTACATACCCTATCGGCAACACCTCTAGGAAGGATGGTCTTCACAATAACACCTGTACTCCTTCCACCCACAATACCAAACCCCAGACCTGACCCGTCATTGTGGAGCTCAACAGTTTCAATGTGTCGCAAGTTCTCTCCATCCCCAGCCTAAAAAGGAAAAAGGCATTATAGATAAAAAGAGCTGTAATTTTATATTTTGGTCACAAGCATGAGGCCCTATGAAAATTGAAACTCAGAGCTTCTAATCCCACATTGGTCTTTGAGGTACCATAAACTCAGTAACCTTTTCACCCCCAAAAGTGATCAACATGTTACCTCTCCCTGTAATGTCTATATATTATCCAAAAAACAAGTGATGAGAATACCCCCTAACTTAACAGGTAGATGTTACATGTATCTTGATCTAGCCACATATTCTCATGACCAATTAACAAGGAAATGTTAAGTACCAAGAGGGGAGAATTAACAATCAGATCTTGGGGGTTAATGGTTAGTGAGCCACTGCAGGCCATTACTAGGCTGAAATAAAATTTACATGCATGACAGGTGTCTCGCATACTTAGTGCTCTCCAGAAGCATGCATGTGTTTTTGCAGTCTTCCCATTTCCAAAGCACCATCAGACAAGGAAGTAAAACACCTGTCTTGATGTAAAATACATCTTGACCCTTTGCTTGCTAGCTAGATTTTTTCATGGTTGGAAACTAAAACACCCTAGGAGAGCACTGATACTGCTAGGATTAGCAAATGTCAAAACTACTGTATGCATAAATACTTGACAATTTCAAGGTCCTGTGTCATGTCCAACATACACTTAAAATAAATAAATGCTATCAATCTTTGAATAAGTGTATCAATAGAGTAATAATATTCTGTGGTTTACTTACAGGTACTGTCACAGATGTATGTGAAACAGTACTGACATCTGAAGGCGTCCGTGACAATGCTGAACTTGCTCCAGAAGTAGTGCGTGACAGATTCCTTGAGCGTGGAATTCCACCTCTAGCAACAATCAGTTCAACTTCACCACTAGTTTGCTGCAAAACTCCAATAGCCTGCTGATGAGTCATTCCACTGTCGAGCTGTTTGCCATCTATGGCAAGAATCTGGTCACTTTCTTGCAACCTTCCATCCCTGAGAATGAAAGTAAAGTATGAATTCTACTACCTGTTTACAGCATGTACGTGTATATAAATTTATATAATTATATTTAAACCTGTTTTCCTATGTTAATGTGCATGCACTTCTAATATTACTGGTTCCTCAAATACAATACAATGAATCTTGTAGTGAAATTAAGAGATCCTCGCAGCTAAGAACACTACTGAAACGAGTAGTTGTAAATAGGACCTGAAAAAAATTCAGGCCCGTACGGGATTTGAACCCATGACCTCTGCGATACTGGTGCAGCGCTCTACCAATTGGGCTAACAAGCCAACTGGGAGCTGGTCAATGAATTGGGTCCAAATAAACATCCATCATCCATCCTGTAATGTTATTGACTGCCAAATAGGCGAGGCAAGCCAATTTTAACTGGCAGAACAAGACAATGCTTTATGTAGTTACTAGTTTCAGCTATATGTATAGTTCAAAGGAAACTGTAGTTTTATTTTTTTTTAAACAAAGAATGGTTTCCAGCACTTTACACAGCCAAGAGTTTTGTGAATTTTTTCATATACAATACACTTGTACTCTTGGCCATAAAATAATTCATTTATTGATCAAGAGTATTTAGTTTAGCTAGTTATAGAGCGACCCTGATCTTTATTAGGGTTTTCATAAACCTTTAAACAAATCTAACCATATAGACCACCCGTTTTAACTCAGATTACGAGAAGAAAGTATATGATCACCAAATAAGAAAGCTCTCGATTATTCAACAAATTCTCCTTGTCAGCACCTTAAGAAATATATGGAGAATAGTATGAAGAATATGCATTTTGATCTTAGGGTGGAAAGGGTTAAAGAGATTTACCTTCCTGCAACACCATCAGGCTGTATCTCTTGAATAAAGATGCCCAACTCTCCTCGATTTTCACTCTTCAGTCCTACAACACTGAAACCCAAACCACCTTGATCTGGTTTCATCAACTTCACTGTTTCAATTTCTCGACCCTGTGCCAGCGTTTCTATCCCTTTTTGAAAGTCTTCACTTTTGGCAAATTTGGACTTCTTAAGCTCTGCCATGACTTGATCTCGATTGTCAATGGTTAAATCATAGTCTGCTTCAACGGCAGGGTCAGTGGATGTATAATGGTATGATGATGATGCATTCAGCCAATCCTCTGAATGATCATCCCTTGTAACTGATTCGTAGTGATTGGGTTCTTGATTGAACACGCCTGCTGTAGAAGGTGGTGCATTTATAACTGCCACCTCTTCGCTGTCTGATACAGAATGGTGTGGAAATACAAGCTCTCCTGTGGGAGAGAAGTCAAAATCCTTTACTGAATCTGGTGGTGAATGTGTAAGTTTCCTGTTCAGTTCTTTCACTGACTGCTGAATCATCAAAAGTTGTCTAAACAGAGGGCTTTCGAGCATCTGTTTGATCCTTTCAAGTTCTTCATCGTTCTCTGTGTCTCCTTGAGACTTGAGCTTCTGTTGAAGACCATCTAAAACTTCTGCAGCACGAGATGTATCTGTTGAAAGACGATTGCAAAAAAACAGAAAAATTCACTTTTTTTTTAATCTCAATGGTACTAATAATAATCATGACTGCCACATCAAACCTTGTTAACTCTAGGAAATGTTTTTTCAGAGTGGGTCAGCCATCACAAAGAGCGAAATTTCCAGACCCTTGTGACCAATGCAAGATGTTATTATCATTTAACTAATGCTGAAATATGTAAGGAATGCATACTAGCTTGACTGCAACAAAATCGTGCATAAACTTCACGGAACTTTAAATGCAGGGTAGTTTCGAAAGCAAGACACAATACAACCCTGAAAATTACTTATGTTACTTTCAACGTGGAAATCGACGAAAAATTTGTGCGGCGCACTGGAGGAGGTAGATGTTCAAAATCGTGACATCTTAGCTCAGGAATGACCTTGTATTTAAGCGGCATTAACGTAAATCTAACTAGAAATATCTTATCGTACCGACTTGAAAACAATATGATTTTCATAAAGCTGCAAAAAATTTAAAAAACATCACAACATAACCTTCAACTATAGTTCGATTCTCAACATGTGTCTCCAAAACGGATAAAATTCAATTTAATTGCTCTGACCTGCTAGAATCGGCATGGTGGGTCGAATATAACTTGCAATTTTTCTCTAAAACAGCGACAAATCCCGGCGTTCTCTAAACTTTAAAAGCTCTTTTCCTCCGCATTCACGAGTCATGGATTATAACAAAACGATCTCATCAAGCTTCTGTGTCTAGACCACTGAATAACAAGTGTGAATAACCAACGATTGTTGGATAATTTTGGAATTTGTCTCGTTTGTAAATAGAAACATAGAATGTTGGCCAGGCTACCAAGCAAAAAAAAAATTATAGCGCCGATCAACAATGCACTTCGAGCGCGGTTATATGCACGCATCTAGGAGGGGTCCTAACGATGTCTTATGTAACATACATTTGAGTACCGTGATAATGATTTTCCTAATTGTGGACAACCACTGCTCGAACTAAAATGAAATTTTTTGTTATACAGCCCAGTTCATATCATAAAGTAGAAAGCTCCAACAAGAACAAACCCAAATTAATTAGAATAAATCAGCCTGAAGCACTGGTCACAAGGTGCCTTTTGGAATGTGTGTTTTGCGTTTTTACTGTTTTACTATATTCAGTTGATGCGCAAGTCGTGCACAGACAAAGAAAACCACAAGTATTCTATAATAGTTCTAAATTTTTTTCAGCGGATGCAACTTGAGATTACACGGTCATCAATGATCATTCCATGAAAACATTGCGGCAATAAATAGTGGACAAATGACCCAAAATATATTTGCAGCCATATAACTAGCTAGGGAGTTTTACGAAAACACTCAGATGTATCACCTTCAATTTCTTCTGTTTTTGTTATTTAATGATATGTAAATAGAGATCCTAAAACAAGGCGGCCGAAATATCCGAATGAGATCAATTCCGTATGTGAGGCGGATTAGTTCAACTTCAAATCAAACTCTTAATAACAAGTAGAAGTGTATTTTTATGATGGCAGATATCTCTAGCACCAGTGCTTGAAAAAGCGGCACCAGGTAAGAGGCGGCTACTAAAGTATGAACTAAGAATAACTGGACGACGGGTACTGTCTAGGGAAACTGGTTCGTTTTAGTTATAACCAGGGCTTGTCAATTGTTAGCAATTTTTCTATGATTTTAGCTTTCAGATACTTTTCTGTCGGAGGAGCAGAGCTAGGGCGGGGGTTCAGAGAGGGGGAGGGGGATGAGGGCTTGAACGAACTTCTTCCCTTGCCTATGGATTATTTCAGCACTATTTTCAATTCAACTACGTACAAACCTTGAAATTTAAAGGACAAAAGGCGCAATTCTGAAGAGTCAACACGACGTTAATCATGCATGAGTCAGTTACGACTAAGTCCACAAACTGAAAACAGCGTGGATATCAATACGTAGTAGAGTTGTTATTTTAGGTGTAAAACAATGAGAAGCCTCCCTTCCCCCCCTCTCCTCCTTTGAAAAATAATAGCAACGCGCCTTTAGACAAAGCTGAGCCCTGGAACAGGGTGTTCTGGTGATTGTACTCTGCACTAGCTTCTTACAAGCATTCGAGAGCGCTATTAAGTCTTTTTTTTTCCAGTATACCACCACGACATTATATGTTCTTGACGAAAGGAGAGGTTACGTGTGATCCAAGATCTATTGATTAGTCACGTTCTGTCTAGATAAGGCAGATTCCTCACTTAGTAATAAGTCCAATTTTCGGTGCTGATAAATTGTGTTAGAGAAAAGACGGTTCCATAAAATTTGGAGTTTGAGCTAAATTTTAAACAGGGATTAGCTGCGTCTAGTGAGGGAGAGCACGGTTTCATCGTTCAATCCTCTGTTGGTTCAATTTTTTATACTGGTCGGTTACGAACGAACTAGAGAAAACAGTCAACCAAACTTCCGAACTATGTTTGGCAAGAAAGAGCACAGAACTTTGCTTGTATTTCACCCAATTGCAATTTTTAAAACTGATCAGTTACGCTCTGCGTGTGATGGGGAAAGCATACTCCTTTGTTCGTAGTTCGGGCTCAATTTTGAATTCTGATCAGCGGTCTGATTTGAAAAAGCTCTGTTTCTTTGATATTAACTGGCTTAATTTAGAACACAGACCAACTGCGTTCAAACGAGAAAAAACCACGGTTTCTTTGTGAGTGATTGGCTAAATTTTCAACACTGATTGAATACGTCCTAGCTCGGGTAAGCACGATATTTTTTCTCGTTATTGGCGAAATTCTTTGTATTGATATATAATTTCAACGAAAAACAACTCTTGTGAAAACAATGGCTAGTACAATACACTATATTGGGTGAATCGCGGTATCTGAAGTAGATGACAGGATCATCTACATGTTGTTCAAAATAATGTTCGATTATTACATGGATACTGGCTGTAAGTTTGCATACAAACATTTCAAAAGTATTAAGCCTACACATAAATCTGTGGGTGGTAAAGATGTTTGGCATGCCAAAAGGCAGCAATTCGTTTTCAGCTGAAGTGGTCATATATTTATTTTTCATTTTCGGTGCTTAGTGAAACCTTGAGTTACCCTAGTTTTGTAATGCTGCTCTGATGCGTAACCATGTCTAATATTCAATATTAATACAATTGACTATTTTAATCCCCAGTTTCGCATGTTTTACTCAGGTTTTTATGGAAAAAGAATTGGCTTTGACTATGATTTTATAGGAGCAACACACTCTTCGCTGAGACTGCCCGGAACTTTTATCGCATCCTCTTGAAATAACGTTTGATCACACTTCAAGCATAATTTACAGAGTGTCTTCATCTGATAACCTTTGTAACATCAACGCCCACAAACCAACCAACGGAGAACAGGAGTATTTGTGAATTTTTTTTTTTTTCTGTCGAATGAACTGTTTACTGCTATTGCTTAATATTTTGAAATGCTTATGGAATCTGGGGAAAGGCAATTCTTCGATAAATTATAATGATATTCAGTCTGGATGCAATGATGAGCTTTTTTAGCTTGAGGAAAGATTGTTCTTAGGCTTGGTTTTTAAAAAGGATTTCAAGTTGTTCTAGGAAAGTTTCTAGCTTTTTCTGACGACGAATTTTTTGTCCTACACACCTATTGTATTGAGGATTACTGCGATGAAATAGTAAGCCCACGTCGTACTGGCTGAAGATACTTACTTGGAAATAATTTTCTTTACTGGCAGCACAACTAAAATCATTGCCACATCTACTCTAGATCAAGTTACAAATCATTTAGAATTTCTTTCTGTATATTAGTAGTCTAAAAACGGTTAGTTCTGAACTTTGAACATTTTAAACAATTTAAATTATGCGCTGGCTTTTCCTGGTTGAATTCGGCCTGAAGCGAAAACTGAAAAACTTGTGTTCGGTAATTTTTTAGATGACAAATTATTCACATTTTTGTGTAAAAAGATCTTCAGCTCATTAAAGTGGAATTTATATGTAAAACTATACCGATAAACAACAAATAAATGACATTATCACGGACTTCTTGTTGCAAATATTGCTTCAAACTTAACTCAAGGGTTTGTCACAACGTTTAAAACACTGTTATACTTCTCTATTTGAAAGTCTTTATCGAGTTTTTTTTGTTATCACGATCGTTTTTGTTTTAAAAGCCCTCCAAGAAGGTTCAAATAAATAATTAAATCCAAGATAAACCACAACGTGTTTTCATTTATTAATCTCCTCCTAAGCTCAAGAGCCGGAAATGATATTCAGCTGCTCGTTAAAGAATCTTCTCAACGCACGAAAGAGTCGATTTTTTAATTTCACGCCAAGAATCATTGTTTCCAGCTGTTTTGCAGCTTCACCAATAAGTTGGAAATCTTCCAATTTGATTCACTGAATTTTTGCATCTAAAGGCGTTTAACAGCAGAGGAACGAGACCCTTTTATAAGGTAAAGTCAAAATCCTTATTTTGTTTTCAGTTACTGAAATGTGTAAAGAATTAATCTTTGTTTTTTGTGGGTTAACTTCCAAAACTCCGCTACCTTTGTAAACTGGTAATAAAAGTACTTTGAAACAAGGGTCTAATGTTAGAAAACATGCGGAAGTTTTGAAAGCTGTTTATTTTGTTAAACCACTGAATTGAATTGATTACATTCAGCACACTAGAATGATAAAGTAAAACGAATTTATTGTGTTACCTAACGCTCTTGTAATCAGAATACTGATGTATCGACGAAAGACAAAAACAGCCCACGCCTCATTAACATAAAATGCATCAATTTTGTAAGGAGAGCAACTGCCACAATAAACATGCATGAAAAAGTTGTTACATTTACTTTTGAAATATCTCAGATTTTCTTTCAATGCTGTTTATTTCAAAATTATTGGTAACGGTGTAATGCATGTGCTCTAC